ACCCGCGTACGTATTCATGGGGGCCGTCTCGTTACACCCGCCCCGCCCCGCCCCGCCCCGCCTTGACGAATGCCAATCAAACTTGGGCCATCTCCGGGCCGATAGTGTGACGGCGCGGAGCGGCGCGCCCGCAAACGGGGCAGCCGGCCGGCTGGATCCGAACCGAACCGTGCTCTCTGTCTGTCTCTCTCCCTCGGCCGCACTCTCAAGGCGCCCCCCAGGGGTGCGAGGGAGACAGAGCGCCGACGCGCCCCATCGCGGCCTCGCGGCCCGGCGACTCGTCCCGCGTCCCGTCGCGTGCGCAGAGCCGTTAGCCCTTGTGCAGCAAGCGAGTGCAGTGGCGGGGCCGGGGGAGGCAGTGCCACAGCCCCGTCCTCCCCGTCCCAATCCGTACCGACTCGGCGAACGCCGCCGCGGCTCGGCTGCCAGCCAACCTTTTTGTGTGCGGCTGGGATGGGAGGGCATGGCCACCTCGCAGACTCATTCCGAGCACCGCCGTTGTCGCCGTCTCTCTCGCACCCTTACGGCAAGCCCCGTGAGTGCGAGAGAGGCAGAGCGACGAAACGACTCGCCAGAGGTCAGTGCGCAGGCCCTGCGGGGCGCGCAAATGAGACGCATCGGGCCGGGCGGCGAGGCGGGGCCACTTTCAATTTCTTCTCGGTGTCAACAACTTGCTGAATTATTCGGGACACGAACCCCGAGGACTGCACGGCGCCGCACAGCGCCCCTTGTCTTGGCGTCCTGTCCTCCCCGGCGGATCACCGGGACCAAGGGGCGGAACCAGAGGGGAGGGAGGGGGGGGGGGCGACTCGGCTGTCGGGAAGGTCGTACGACTGCCGACAAATCAAGGCGAGACCCTGCGCACGGACTGCCAGGAAGACTGTAGAGGTGTGCCAAATCGTTCGAAACCCAATCGGATCGAATCTGCCTGCTTCGATTCGATTTAAAAAACGAACGAAAAATGTGTAATTTAAGAATAAAATTTCGGAGCCAAAACAACTTGAACCGAGTAATCGACAACATTCGATTAGATTCGAAGAATTCGAGATTCGATTTGCGATTGGAAAACGCCGCTTCGCACACCAATGCAGTGGGAAGGGGAGGGTCGAACGGCGGGCAGGTACGTCTGGTACGTCCGGCCCCGGTGCTCCACCTCGAGCTCCACCTCGAGCTCCACCTGCGCGCGGTCGTCGCCATGCATGTTTCACGACGACTACCCTCCCCGCCCGCCTGGGCGAGGCCTGGAAGTCGTGCAGCAAGACACCACACTTTAGGTGCACCCCGGCCAAGGGCCAGCGTGCCGCACGGCGCCTTGCCTCACGGCGCCTCACGGCCTCGGCCCGATGGCGCCACAAAACGAAGGCCGGCCCTAGCGCCGCCCGCTTCGCCCTGCTTACACTGTGGTTACGCCGAGAGCAAACGTTATCACATCACGTCGCCGCCCCTCACGGCCGGTGAGGCCCCCACACGCCGCTCCGTCTCCCTCGCACTCACGGCGCCCCCCGGAGGGGCGCGAGAGAGACGGGCGACGAAACACTGGCATCGCTCTGCGGGCCGAGGCCCGGTAATGCACCGTGTTGCAAGTCACGGCGGCGGGGCGACGGGGCGGCAGGGCGGCCCCCGCGCCTCGGCCAGCACCATCTTGGCCTCCATCTTGGCACGCGCTCAAGGGGACGCGACGCACCGCGCGACGCCCGCCAAGCACCGCCATGCCAAGGCGGGCCAAGGCGGGGCCCTCCTCGACGACACCGTGAAACAATGGGGCCGCCTGGAACGTCTCCGCGATGCACGGCGCGGTGCAGCCAGCAGGTGCTCGCCGCGTTCCAGGCGTTCCAGGCCACGCCAAGGCCGTTCCAGGACGTCCCAGGCCACGCCAAGGCCGTTCCAGGACGTCCCAGGCCACGCCAAGGCGGTTCCAGGACGTCCCAGGCCACGCCAAGGCCGTTCCAGGACCTCCTAGCTCGGTCCCTTCCAGGCAGACTCACACGGCCCCACCTCGCGTCAGATAAAATGGCACCACCGCCGCGCCGCCCCCGCCAGTGCGGTGTGGCCCGTCCATTAGATTACGCTCAATACTGCATGGCTTAAGTTCCTGACAAATAACCAACCCCAACTCGGCTACCCTGCTGGGCCTGCCTCCGCTCTGCCGGCGAGTGGGCGCGTCGTACGTGAGGGACCGGGACCAGGGGGGCGGAGTGCAAGTGGTCCATGCATGTTTCAGACTGCGTGCGCGCCGCCCCGTGCCGCCCCGCGCAGCGCCGGGCCTTGAGTGGTCCCGCGGGGTCCGACCGCTCCCGCCCCCGCCCCCACCCCGTGTCCGCAGCCCCCGGCCGCTATTACCGGATCGCAGGCAACCATTACGGGTGCTAATGCCCAGCGAGGCCCAGCCCCGACACGCGCGAGACAAACTTTCCACCAAATTAAAACGACGTCCCAACTGGCGGCGTGGCGGAGCGGAGCGCCTTACGAAGGAGGGGTAGGCCGCTGCGGCACGCGCGAGCGGAGCGGGTTGCCTATCCAACAGGCGCTCAGGCAGTTGAACTTGAAAAGCTAGACCACATTTGATCTCGAGCCATTTCGGGCCCGGTAGCAGGCAGGCAGGCAGGCAGGCAGGCGGCCGCCGGGCCATTTGTCTCCACGCCGCCCTAATCTCCCATCCCGCGGGAAGTCGATCGGGCCCCGCCGACGCGCACCGCAAACAACGCCGCCAACTTCGCCGTTTTCCGACACTTTCGAGGTTCGGGCCGGGGCGTGCATCGCCCGTGCCGTTCCTCCAGGCCGTGCGCCGCGCACCCCGGCGCCGTCCTGGCCAGCTTCGAGATGGTATTGCTCGGGGATATCCCGCAGGAGGGGGAGGGCAGGGGAGGGAGGGAAGGTCGAAGTGGTCCTGCGGGATTCCGGGTGCGGTGCCCGGCCGGCCGGCCGCACCCCTCGGGAACACGGCGGCCACCGTGCCGTGCGCAAGGCCGTGCGCCGTGCGGGCCATCACCGAGACCCACAGCCAGCCCAGCCGAGAGTCGGCATCGTCGCTCTGTCTCTCTCGCACCTGCACGGGACGCCCCGCCCCATGAGGGCGAGAGAGACGGAGCGACTCTCGGAATCAGTCTGCACGCCGATGGGCCGCTGTCAGGCCGGCGAAGCCTGGCGAAGCCCAACATACGCCAGCCTTTTTACAACCCCGCGACGACCCGCGCACCGCGGCAGGCGGGGCAGGCGGGGCAGGCACACACCACTATCGGCGGCCCAGCTGACACACGGCCGCACACGGCGACAGTCAACAAACAGCCCTGGCCGAATCAATGTCGGCCTCAGTCCCCGCTGAGCCGCGCCAAAGCCCACCACCATGGTGTCTCTCTCGCACTCGCGGGGCGTTCCGGAGGGGGTGCGAGAGAGACAGAGCCAGGCGGCTCTAGGCGTGTCGGCCAGGTGGGGCGGGCTCCAAAGTCGAGGGCCGCGCTGGCGGCTGTGCCCGTGTCGCGTCATCTCATCCCCCGGGTCCGGCCAGGCCGGCCAGGCCGGACCGCTGCACCCTGACATCTCGCTGCAATCAATCTTGGAGTGGGGCAGCGCGGCCACGGCGAGGGCCGCGGAGAGGGCCACTGCAATATCCATTAATGTGGCTGCTGGTCCGCCCCGCGTCCGCCCCGCGTCCGCCCCATGCAGGGCCACCTGCTGCAGACCACCACCGCACTCGACGCCAGCCTCGCCGCCGAAATGGAAAAAGCGAGAGAAAGACGGAAAAACAGAAAAACAGGGGACGTGGTGAAAGGATTCGGAAAGGCGGAAAGCGGTTCATTTCCAGGATGCATTGTCCCCGAGCGGGGCGGGGCGGGGCGCCACTCGCTCGGCCTTGTTCTCCACGCAGCGCCGCCGCACCGCCTGCTTTGCCCAGGCTTTGCCCGCCCTGCAGCCCTGCCCTTCGGCTCCGGCCCGGCAAATAGAAACACCCGTCTTCCCCGGTGGGGCCCTGGGGCCTAGGGCGGGGCCCCGGTCGAGGCCCCCGCCGACCCAGCGACGTGCGGAGCATCAAGGGGGCGTCGAGCACCTGTGCCACCAGCCCACGGCCCTGGCCGCCAGGGTTCAGCTTTAGCCCGCTCGGTTCACCCCCAAGGGGGCCCTCGGGGAGCCCTCAAGGGGACCGCGCGGACGGCCAGCACGGCGCAGCACGGCGCAGCACGGCACCGCGGACCAAGCAATCTCTAATGGGCCGGGCCGGGCCGAACCTCGACCAGGTGCGCGCACCGCCAGCACCGCCAGGGTACAGGTGCACACGGTGCTGCCGTACTGCCCACCCCCTGCTTCGCCACCGCGCCGCCCGTCTCCACTCGGACAACAAATGAGGACCACCGCGGGGCGCGCGCGTGCAGCCAGCCCGTCGGATGGCCGCCGCCGTCATGCTCCCCGTTATCAAGCCTCCCCGTTCGACCCGCGAGACAAGGGCGCAGGGAGGGGGCGGGGCGGGGCGGGGCGGGGCGGGACGGGGCGGCGGGGCGGCCTGTTTCCGGCCGTGCCGGGGAGGGAAGTCCCCGCGTGGTGTGATACGAGGGGGCCACACTTGAGCATTGGCACAGACACGCCGCGTGAGACAGAGATAGAGACGGAGAGAGGGGGCGTGAAGGCGCAGTGCGCAGCGCGGCACTGTAACGCTGTGGGGCGGCCGGACGAACCCCTCGCATCATATGGAATGCACCTAATTACGTACTCCCTTGATCACAGCACTTGGTGAGAAAAGCGCTGCAGAGGCAGCAGTAAAAAAAGGGAAAAAGTAATCTTGCCGCAAAGTGCAAGGAAAATTTTTACATGGCCGAGCCAATAAGATAACACAAGCACTCAACTGAAAGAAACTAAGTCAACTTCGTGTTTAGAAACAAGAATTTTAAAACAATAGAGAAAGGGGTGCTCAAATTAACGACAGTAAAATGAAAGTTGACGCCAATGAAACTTTAAATTCTAAATTCACAGTAAACTTAAAAATCTAAAACATGAAAGAAGTGGCTTACCTTTACAACATCTTCTGATTCAAGTAGTCTCTGAAGCCCTCCGGAGGTGACCAGGCTCGGGCAGGTAACAAGGTCGAAGATGAATGCTTGTCCTGTCATCAGTCCAAGTTGGATGGATGTCAACTGTCCTTTAGTACCAAGATTTATGCCTTCGCAATCCATCGACACAGCAACAGGAGGTGCACCAGGTTTCACTCTTAAGAAGATATCGTCAATCACTTGCAAACTCTCCTTCACATTGGAGATAACACGGGTTGATTGGAACACTTTTGCTTTATACGCTTCAACACTTTGAGCAGTCTGCGCTGCAGGAGCACTGCTTGGCACAGGTGATGGTACGGCTACTGAAGCAATGCTTCTGTCCTTTTCGGAATTGTCAGCCAAGGCTTTCATTACGACTGAATTCACTCGTTGTTTCAAGGATTGATTTTGAACGTTTGTTGACGGGGGAGGAGACAGTGGAACCAAAGGGACAAGGCCACCAGGTCCCAATTGATTATTGTTGACATTGTTGCCACTGTTGGTATTGTTGTTAGCCTGGTTTTGATCTTCATTTGTTTCTTCAAACTTCATGTTAGGGTTTACCAACGTGACAAGATTAGACTGAACATGAAACATGTCCGAACGCATCTTCAAAACAGTGGAAAGATCTTGAGAAGTGTGGAATATATTATGATACAAATCTTCAGGTAGTGAAGTTAGAGAGGCCTGAAACAGCTGCTCTACAAGCTGCGGTCCATTCTTGTAAATAGCCTTAGCAAAAAATTCATAAAGCCTCTCAAGAGTTTTGGAATCAATTTTAACTTCTTCGAGTTCATGGAAAGGTTGAGGTTCTCTGCCCTCCCACTGCTTGAGCATCACGGTGTCCTCCTTCACAATGAACGCTTCAGGGTAGCGGCACAAGAAATCATGGAACTCTTTGACATGCTGCCCTGATATGTGACGAACCTCAGGTGATGCTTGAGATCTGTGTCCCAGCAAGCTCTTGATCGGGACTTCGGTCCCTGCCCCGTATTGCAGAAGTTTGTTCACAAAGTAATCCACAGCTTCTTTGGCATAGTCTCTCTTGGACCTGTCACCGTCCACAGAATCGGACGGCGTAGAGTTGAAGGCGTTCACATGCACGTGATCGCCGTCCACGGTGAACAGCGAGGGGTACTGGGTGAGGAACTTCTTGAGGCCGGACTGCGACCCTCCGGCAATTTGCCTCATTTCTTTGGTGAAACCCTTCGCTCCGAACTGGCAACTCAGATCGTGGAGTGTCCTGGGGCCGCCCTTGTCCAACAGCTTCTCAAAGAAGAACAGGAGGGTCATGTTCCTCACCATTTCGTACTCGGAGCTATCCATTCTTTACTTTCGGTGTGGTTTCTTGAGGAAGACGAGCACTCACATCAACAACCTCCTCCTCCCGGACATGTTTCTCTCCGTTCCCGTTGTGTACGTTCGCTCCCCCACTGCGGCTTCGACACTGTACACTGTACGCCGTGCGTGGTGTGAGTGGAGTGGAATTCGTCGGAATCCACTACGCAAACCAAAATAAACGGGAGCGCGTTCCGAATCCGAAGCCCAACCGAGTCCTCCCTGCGCAAGCGCCACCTACGTGGCGACCTAGCGCACTAGTCATTCATTCCGCCGGTCATTTCAGTCAGTCATTCATTCATTCATTTTCTTCGATGAGCAAAAGTCATTGAAATATCAAGCGAGTAATAAACCGAAACGCTTCATCACTTGCCCTTTCTTTGAAAACAACAAAATTCTACAGTATGCCGCCTTTTCTCGAAAGGTAGAAACGCACAAGTGGCTGGCAAGTGTCCGGAATTAACGAAATTTTGCTGTCCCAGTCAGAAAATTGAATTTGCGGCAGTGTTCATGCTGAAACTGCCAACTGGAATTGGAAAGAGCACGTTCCGAAAGCACCTGCCACGTTCACTGCCACGTTCCGCGTTCCGAGTTCCGCGTTCCAAGGGGGCCGTGACGTAAAACATGTAAACATCGGCTAGATCAGCTGTGTTGTGAGTTGATTCACACAAGTTAAAAACTGTTCGCTGACGACAACACAAACTAAGCTAGGTACTTTAAAATGTTGATTTTTTTTCTTTTTCAAAATAAATATTGAAAGATTCTTAAGCCCCTAGTTGTTATTAAGTGTATTGTCACAACTATAACCTGACTCTAGAGGCCGCTCCTAGAAGCACCTCTCTCTTGTTTTCATCTTTCAGCAATGAATTCAGCGCTGCCGCATAAGCTTATCCTTTTACCTCAATATGGCTCTATTTTCCCATGATAATTTATTCTCTAAGTCACGGTTTAAGTCATTATCTTGGACTGCTCTAAGAGGAAGCCTTTGAATGTACTCACTTTTCATGAATTTATTTTGTATTATTTTCAGGATGGCCCTCACAAAACTCATGCAGTGGGCTTTGGCTTTCGCCGCATTTACAGGCCTGTGGGCAACATTAGTTGCAAATGCAGCACAACCTGAAAATTACCTCCACAACCACGAACTTCTAGTACTAGCGCTCCCCGTTATTTTAATTGGCTTGTTTGGGGTATGTCATATTAGATAAAGATTTATATCAGTATCTGACAGTTTATTTATTCTAAATTCTATTGTGTGTGCAGCTGTATGCAGTTTTCATCATCCTCTACCGAGTATTCACCTTTAATGATTGTGAAGAAGCGGCAGCAGAGTTGAATAAGGTATTTTATGTCCAATTATGCTGTATTCCATTGTTACCTGTGACTGTCTTCTCTGTACTGTAAACTTTCTAACATATAATTTATTTTACAGCAAATCAAAGAAGCCAGAAAAGACCTCAAGAGCAAAGGTTTCTCATTCTCTGAAGACTAGTAGAATTGTAATTGCCATGTTTTAATTTTGAAATGATCTCTGTAAATGAGTGGCAACAGTGTTGGGCCAGTCTCTATGTACGTCCTTGCTAGTAGCCCGATGAAGGTCTTACCTTTCTTAATCTAATTTTTATTAACAACCAAAGAGCTTGATACCTTCTCCGAATTTACTATAATGTTGATTGAATTTTGAGGCAAAACAATACCATTCCATTTTAAATTAAGTAACTTAGGGACAGGTTTCAGTTGTGCTCTGTTTTCTTTGTGATATGGCCAGTGTAAATAACGATTCTGTAGCAATTTTGCAAATGATGAAATACCCTTAAAGATGTTACAATAAATATTTATTCTTGTCCTTTTTAGCTAGCTAACATTCATTAAGCTTTCCCCTGAAGGCGAAAAAGTTAAACTTATTTTAATTGGCATCATGGTTTTACTATTTCAAGTGTATTAGTTGCATTAACTGGAAAGTACTAAGTTGTTTTCTGAAAATTTGACATTGCTTCTAGTTATTTCAGGATTGTAGACCACTAAGATATGTTTAAAAAGGGCCATCTTAACATCTACACCGTCTTTTCTTGAATCCTGTCAACACCTCACTCGAACAATTTAACTTTTCTGCAGTTCTTAAAAACAAGACCATAGGAGGCTTGTCTCAGACAGGAACAAATTCAGACCCACCTACAACTGCCGCTTGTCTGCGGAGACTCTGGCCGAGAATTCAAACTAGACAAATCTTTGATCAGTTTGCTAGGGAAGAAGTTACCTCAAATCTGCTGAGGAGAAATCCACAGGGCTCTCGAGGGAAGTTTCGGTTGGTTCGTTGGTTTCGGGTTTCAAACTCGCGGTCTTTCGTGGGACGCTCACCGATGAGAAGGCGGTGGAGTAACTAGGTCGAGTCAAACGCCAATATGGCGAATGTGAGGGATAGTGACACTTCGTTGTGGCTCCACAATAAATTAGGAATATCAAACGATTCGTGGACTGGAGGCTCTATATGTTCACAGTTAAATGCCGAAGTTTTGCGCAACATAAAAGCATGTTTTCCGGACCTGCAAACTCAAGTCAAACTAAAACTTCTGCTGTCCATTTTCCACATCCCGCGCAGGAACGTTGAGGAGGTATGCCCACAATAACAATGCGTTGGTTTGTCGATTTGATCACTGTTTCTCTTTCGGAATTTTTTTCTTGTTAGAGCAAGTCTCCTTACAGCGTTCAACGCATGTTTTCATTCATAATTTGGTCTAACTACATAGGGGGCGTCGTTTTTGGTTTTCTAACCTCACCATTCGTTTCTTTCTCATGTAAATTTTATTTGTCAGTTAATTTTAAACATATTTCGAATTTGGTGCATACTTAGTCAATTTTTCTTACTTTAAAATTTTAATTTCCCGCTGCGTACAATAAACCTGTTTAAGATTTATATTTTAAGGAAATGTTTTGAATTTGAGGCTATGTTGATTTCATGATAAAATACACTGTAGATTATATTTCATTCTTGGTGCTTTCCTTTGACACTTGTTTGTTGTATTCTTAGGAATATATTGAGCTGATTCATGATGTAATTGTTTGATATTCATTTTTCTTCATTTCATTCCAGTGGCGACATGAACTTGATGATATACTTGTTGTGGCACTGAACGATGGTGAAGCATGGGTGTCTATGTTAGCAGAAACTATGAGAACATTACCAACAACTGGATCTCTAAATTTAGAGATTTTAAATAATGATGACAATCAGCGAATATTTTCTGATCTTGTAAATGACTTGCGAAAGTTAGGTAAGGTGTCGAGTTCATTTCATAATTCTAACTCCTATTCTAGCCAGTTTGCTTATCCAGCCATTAATTTTCAGTGAGAAAACAAACTGATGGTGGAATGCTGCCCCTTGAATGCCACTACTTAAATAAAAATGCTTTGATCACTGTTGTGGGCCAACAGGTTTGTTTGTTTTTATTTTGGCGTGATAATGTATTATCTTATAATGTTAATCGTGGTACTTTATAAAAAAAAATTCCTCCTTCATTTCAACTTTTAGCCTCAACCAGTAAAACATTTTGCTCTGAAACGGAAACCAAAATCTGCCACTCTTAGGGCGGATCTACTATCAAAATCAGCTGATGCTGTGACTCATTTAAAAAAGAATGCTGCTCCAACAGTACCGGTCCGATCAAGAGGCATGCCAAGAAAAATGACTGATACAAGTAATGATTTAGATCATATTATCTTGTTTCAAAGGGTTATTTCCTTGTTTTAATTTAAAAAAAAAAAAAAAAATTTATTTCAGCTCCCCTGAAAGGTATTCCTAGCAGAGTTCCAACCGGAGGGTTCAAGTCTCCTGTTGTGAACAATCAAAACAACCAGCGCACCTCATTAGGCCGTACTCCAGTGAATCGTAAAGATGGTGGTATTAAACTCATTGATATCAATGAACAACCTATGGGATATGCTCAGGCTAAGAAAAGGAAGAGGTTACAAGGTATGTGTGTTCATGGAACACCATCTGTTATCTTCAAAAGTCATCAACTTTTTGAATCTATCAGTTCTAATAATTTACATTCTTATTTAGAAACGGAGGATGCAAGGAAAGCGTCCGAAGCTGCAGCAAGCCAACAAGCCACAAATGCTGCAGCTACCCCAGGGTCTGGTGCTGCAAATGCTGGCGCTGCTCCAGGCACACCTTCAACACCTGTCACACCAGACTATGCTGCTGGTCTCGCACCAGTGAATCCACCTGCTGCAGCCCAGTCAGCTTCAGCCACAGTCCCAACTGTCCTTACGGTTGCAAATCCAGGTAGACGTCCTTACAAGGTCTTTTCAATTTTATCCAAATCAATCTGTTAATTGTTCTTAAAATAACTTCTTTCATCTGTAGGCACACCTCAGACAGCCATCCCGGCAGCAGAAACTGTTATAATTCTGGTAGGTCTCTTTTCAATTTGCTCAAATATAGACAGTGGTATAAATATTTTTAGCGATGTCAATTTTCATAACATTAAGTTCTGGAAGATAAATGATTGATATTTCTGGGTTTCAGAATCCTTCCACACCTCTGCCAGCATCAGCAGGGACATCCATCCCCGTGTCTCAGCCGCGTGTTATTGCTGTCAATACTATTGCGGTTGCTGCGCCAGTGCAAGCTGCAGCCACACCTTCAGCACAACCTGTTGCTGCAACAGCCACTATAGTGACACCAGCCACTGCTGGAGCACAGACACCCACATCTGCAATTGCTTCGCCTGCTGTAGCAGCCGCCTCTCAGGCTGCCACTCAACCTGTACAACCAGTCGCAGCCAAAGAAAGAAGGCAACTCTCTCTCACGGTACGCTCACTATTCCTCCTTGTGAATGTTACTGAAATTAAAAAGTACATTGTTTTAATAAGTTTTTTTTTTATCTTCTGTTCTTTAAAAACTATGATAGAGAGAGCAAATGGTGGAAGCTCAAGAAATGTTTAGAACTGCCAACAAAGTTACTAGACCTGAAAAGGCTCTTATACTTGGGTTCATGGCTGGCTCAAGAGGTAAGATCAACCTATTATACATTTACTTCAAAATATGCTTGATTAGTTCTGGATTTTAAACTAATTATTATTTCAGATAATCCATGTCCCCACTTGGGTAATGTGGTTACAATAAAATTAAGTGAAAGTCAAGAGAATGTTCATCAAGAAGGTAGTATCATAACTATGATGGTAGAGACTCACTTCCAAATGAACTACAGTACTGGTGAATGGAAGCGAATCAAGAAACTCCGCAAAGCTGAAGATGTTCCTGCCTTAGCCACTCCTGTTCAAGCATCCACTCCTCAACAACAACATGCAACTGCTTGATTAGAAATGTTATTTTAAAACTCACAAATTTTACCTGAGCAAGTTCATCTGTCAACCAGTGAATTATTTATCTCCCATATTGTGTTGCCAGACGTTTTGGATCATTTTTCCTCCTTTCAATGTGCTCTGAAATCAATGCTCCTTACTTTTGGGCTATTATTCCGTGGTGCTAGATCCCACCCAGCCAATAAGATTTTCAATCATCATTCTTAATAAATCTCTTTAATTTGTAAGGTACTTTGTCCAAAGTATCAGTTTGTACACATATACTTTCCTGAATAAACTTGTTTTGTATACAGGTTGTTACCCATCTATTCTGATTGAAGGAAGTATAAAAATTGCTTTCTTAGATTAAGTTGTTTTTTTGGGGGGGGGACAAACTTGGCTAAATCTACAGGATGCATCATGAAGTGTTTGTGCTTGATGTTATGTTCATCAACAAACATGGATATGAGGAATAGTGTATGTTCTAAACATTTCTCTTTCTTTTTAAGAATTAACCAAAATTTATGGGTGCCCTGGAAAGCAAAGTTGATAATGAATTTAATTATTCCTCATGTATTTGTTATGTGAAAAAAGTTACCTACTGATTTATGTTTGACATATTTGCTGAACTAGGCAACAAGGCTTTTCTCTTACTTGTCCGTCCATACCTTGTCTCAGTGAAATTGCACCAATTTTATGAAAGTTAGATAAATTAACACTATTCTTTCAATTTGTCTGATCGAGCAGCGGTGTATTTGTGTGTGTTTCAGTTCTAGTTAGTTGTTTATATACTGGCTTCCAGAGTTTTGAGATTGTAGAAGTAAGGGACTGTATCACAATTTCAAGTGTCTGTTGTCAAGCAGTTTATGTCAAAACACACGTCTCCCTAGTCATCTTGATATTTTGATCAGCTTTCATGCTTTGGTAAGACTTCAGTCGGACAAACCCCAAATTTTTCAACTGGAGGCCTACTTTTATGAAAGGTACACATGTTCCTTTAAGTTGTCTGATCATGATCTCAACTTTTGTCAACAAATTTGTGTTCTGAAATTTTATGTCAGATTGTATCTCTTTTTTGTTTGTTTTTCTTGAAGGATTTTTTTTTTTTAATCATTTGCTGAAACTCTTTTAGGTTGATTTAAAATATTTATAGATAGAAGTTTATTGAATCATTTTATCATATGGTCTGATATATATTGTTGCCACCATCACCACCTAAAATAAAAATACAAAGAGGACTCTCCTCGTTTGGAATGTAACATTCTTTCAATATGTCTTTTTTTTTCACCCTTTTTTTCCTATTTTTATTGTGTATGGGAGGTTTGATTGGAATTGTGTGCAATAGTCCTGAAGTGATTAATGATGTGATTTGTTATATTTTATCTTGTAGTGTAAATCGCATATGTACATAACAAATAAAGTGACTATCTGTATATGGCGCTGTGATTTTCTTCGGCGATGACTAGGACCGAAAAATGAGGTGGTGTAAAGAATGCGAAATGGCTTCCAAGAACTCTATTTTTTTTTTTTTGAACCAGTAAGGGCCGCGTGCTGCGCACGACACCCTGACCTGCCTAACCTGCCCCAGCTTGAGAGGCCCGAGCCATTCAGTTCGTGAGGCAGCGAGGCCGTGCCGTGGGCCGCGCAAGAGCACAGCACCGACGCGATTCGCGGGCTGGCCCAGGCCTGGGCTGGTCGGCTGGTCTCCGACACTGGCCACTCAGGCGTATTTCGGTTCGATAGTTAGGCCTTGGTGCGCTTGTGCCTCGGCTTGTGCCTCGGCTTGTGCGGGGCTGGGCTGGGCGGCCGGGCGCGGCGCGAAGCGCGCGAAGTGGCTGCACGTTCTCGTCCTTGTCACGAGCTCATGCTCGTTCCGGACAGTGCCTTTGTCTCTGTCTCTATCTCTCACCCGCACTCGTGGGGCGACCCGCAGGGATGCGAGAGAGACAGGACGACAATTCACTTTGCTGGCCGTCCACTAAATGTCGCCGGGCCGCCGCGAATCAACCCATCATAACCGCATGGACTCGATGAAGCGCAACAGCCCAGGCACGTGGGCGTGGGCACTGCAAAAAGAAATTACATTCACAACCCGGGGCCCAAGGGAGGGGCACTCAAAGTCTCAGCGCTAGGCCTTTTTCGGTGGTCTTTTGTCCGGCCACCGCTGGTAACCGTGATCGAAAACTGCAACCGAGAGAGACGGCTACAAAGCGCTCTTCGGAAACAGTCGGCTGCTCCATGGTTCCTGCGTGCTGCGGTCGCGGGACACCCCGGGGCCCTGTCCCCCTGCCCTCAAAATTAGCAAAGTTAAGTCAGAGGGGCGTAGCAGCTGAGACATGGCGGCATCGGGCAGCACCGCTTGGACGTGCCAAGGCAAGTGCCAAGGCTTACGGCCACGGCGGCAGCGCGCACCGCGGTTCGGGGAGGGGGTTGTTGTGACGCTTGGAGCGGGATGTTGCCCTTCCCCTCCGCCCCCCCCCTCGGCCCACCCCCAGCCCGGGAGCTTCTCGCCCCCAGAGCGCCAGAGCGGGCGGCAGTCGTGCGGCCTTAGTCACTGAGTTCTGCCGTGACGCTGCCCTGCAGTCTCCGCTTCCTTGCGCCGCGCACTCCCATTGCCCGCGTCCCGTGCCCGCCAAGCCAGCGGCACCGCGAGTAGCAGCGCCAGCCGCGTAGCCGCGCCGCAGTCAACCCAGTCAGGACAGCGCCGACCTCGCCCACACCCTCGCCATGGCCAAGGGGAAAGGTAAGCGCCACGCAGCCACGCAGCGACGCCCCGCGGGGACGGCCCGCGGAGACGCGGCCTCGCGCGACCCAAACAAAGCCCCGCCAAGGGTCAACGCCTCAGGGCCGCGGAAGGGCGCGCCTTCCAGTGGACTCATTGCGAGAGGCGTTTTCGTCGCTCTGTCTCTCTCGCACCTGTACAGGAAGCCCCGTGAGTGCGAGAGAGGCAGAGAGACGAAAACAACTCTCAGAATCAGTCCGCTGGCTCCGGGTTGAACGCGACGAAGAGCGCGGCGAAGGACGAGACTCCTGTTCGGCGTCCCCTGGACCGTCCGGCCGGACGAGGGGGCGGGCGTCCACCAGGGAAGCGAGCTTCACCGCGGCGGGCACGCGAGGAGGAGGGGGCGCCAAGGAGGAGCTCGCCTTCCGGGAGGGGGAGGGGGCGGTGTTGTGTGCGGCGCAGTACTTCCCCGCAGAGAAAGGGCGGGACAGCCGCGCCAAGCCGCGCGCCCTTAAGCCGGAAGGGGGCGACGGACGCGGGACGCGGGGATGAGGGTGTCATCAGCCGCGGGGTCCGTGGTCCGCGGTCCGTGGGGTGGCAAGGCTCCACAAATAGTCACCCCCTGCCCGCTGCCGCCGTGCCGCCCCCGCGCGGCCGCTTCCCGTCTCTCCCGGGGAAAGAGGGGGCAATCGATACAGCTGGGATGGCCGGGCCACCAGGCCCAGGCCCGCCAGGCCCGCCAGGCACCGGGCTAGGGGCGGCTGTGCTGCCCTGCCCTGCCCTGCCCTGCCCGGGGTCCGGGGCGCCCACCTTGGCGGCGCTTCATCTGTCGCGGCGCGGCACGGCACGGCACGGCGCGTCGCTGGACGTGCACGCCGCCGAAGGGGTTGTCAGGGATGTCAATCGATCCCCTCGGCGCGGCAGAACAAAGGCCCCGGCCGACGCGGACCCTCCAGGCCTGCAGGCCTTCAGGCGCCTTCAGGCCTCCATCACCGCATCCGTTACCGCCGGGACGGGTCAGGCCTGGGCCCTTGCCTGGGCCTTCCCTCCCCCACGCTGTGCCGCCGCGAGAGGCTGGTACCGCTCTGGTTGCCGGGTGGTCGGCGAGACCTTGCAACTACACGTAACCCTTCGATCGCGGCTCCTTCGCCGTGCCTGCCGTGCCTGCCGCCTGCCGCGCCGTGACACGTGTCGGTCGGAGATGCCGCGACACTGCCGTGTGCCGCCCGCACGAGATCGCATCAGCCGCGGGCCGCGCGTCACTGGGGCCGGCCATCATCGTGGGGTATAAATACGAAAATGCAGGAGGAGGCGCCCAAGGCCTAGATGGACACGGCGATTACGCACGCTTCGAAAAAGGCTGCTCCGCAGACTGATTCCGAGAGCCGTTTTCGTCGCTCTGTCTCTGCCGCACTCATGGAGCGTTCCGCACAGGTGTGAGAGAGACAGAGCGACGAAAACGACTCCAGGAATCAGTCTGTTAGTCGCGGAAGCGGCCGTGCCGTGACGGACGACGGCGACCCGAGCGCCTGCGAAGTGCGGGATAGGCAGCCCCGCACGCACGCGCGCGTGACGGGCCGGCCGCCGCGCGGCGCTCTGCCTCCACAGCGCCTGCCAAGTGCGGGGTAGGCAACATGCTGTGCGCGTGCGTGTGGCGGGGCGGGGCGGGGCGGGCGGGTTTTGGTACCGAGTGGCTGTACTCGGCGGGAGGCCAGCCTCCCGGCGCGTATTTTTACCCTCCGCGTTGTTGACGTTGCTCCTCTTGTTTGTTTCAGGTGGCAAAGGAGGAGACGAGGTGAGTGGCGTGCCAAAGGGCGTGCCAAAGGGCCGTGGCGGCGGTGCCAGCGAGGTGGGGCGTGCCTTTACCGACGCGCATCGTGCCCGACGTCATGCATGTCTTGTTTCTGATTGCAGAAGAAGGCGGCGGGCGGCGCCAAGGGCGGCGAGAAGGGCGGCAAGGGCGACGGCGGCAAGGCCGCTGGGAAGAAGGGTGAGTTCGCCTCCGTCGAGTACCGCGCAGTACCGCGCGCCGGCCGGCAAGCCGCGGCCAGGCTATGTCTTACGTATTTTTGTTTGTGTTTGCGGCAGGAGGCAAGAAGTAAGGGGCCTGCCCAGCCTGTCCCGGCTGCCCCGGCCGTGGCGCGCGCCGCCCTAACACCAGCCTGGCCGTGGCCGTGACCACAGCCACCCTCGCGCGGGCGCGCTGGCACGGCGCCGTGGACGCGCCGCGCTTTGGCCGCAGGAGCACAACACCGCGCAAGCCGCGCAAGCGCGAGGGGCAAGGCGAGGGGCCGGGCGGGGCTGGGTGCGCGCGCCGTGCGCCTCGCCGGGGCGGCCGGGCCGGGCGGACGCGGCCAGTGGTCAACACGCCTTCGTCTTCGTCTTCCTATACTCCCGCGCCTCGGCGTCTCCCGAGATCATCGTCATCATCGTCATCGTCTTCATCGACCCCATATTCTCGCCGCATTTCCTCACATATTGCGTTCCAGTAGAACAAATGTAAAAGTAAAAATGTAAACACTGCGTAGCAGGCCTGAGGGGAGATGATTTGTTGATATTCTTTTTCTGTCACCCACTATTTGTTGAGCTTTGTGGTTTGATTTAGTCTCATTCTGAATAGAGGGTTTCGTCGCGGTTACGGTTCCAGTTCAGAGGACCAATATTAATCAAGATTAACGGCTGTCGTTTCCAGCATTGAAATTTCTCCCCTTGTTGTCATTCTTTATTTCTTTTGTTCACTTCTTTTCATTGGTCAGCCTGTGATCCATCCTATCGTTAGAGGATAAGTATGTTTTTGTAGAAATGTCAGAAATTAGACTGGCAGGAGAGAATTGCAGTAACGAAATAATTTGTTGTTTATTTGTTCACATTCTTTGTAATACTTATTTTGTATATGTTGTACACTGAACTATGACGTTCGATATTCTCTGCTAAATGATTCTTTTGCGTTCCATTAAAATTCCTAAAAATGTTTATTGCTATTCGTTGTTCTTTCCCTCTAGCCTAACACTACTCGAAAATCAAGAGAAATATATAAAAACTATACTTGATTCGTCATGACTCAGCCGGTGGCTTTGAGCTCGCTGCCACGTCGAATTGGACAGTTTTGGCACGGCAGGTGTTGTCCTGGCATAGTCCTGCAGGCCTTGGGAGCCGCAAGTGCGCATCTAGTCTGTAGGACCTCTAGGACGTCTTGGACCTCTAGGACCTCTAGGACGTCTGCAGGTCGTACAGAAAGTCGGAGTGGCCGCCCTGCAGGGCGAGGGCCTTGAGGACCGACTGGGTGGTGGTGGAGCCGTCCGTCGGGTACTCCGCGGGGTCCCTCATGTCGAACACGCCGATGACGACGTTGACCGTGGTGATGAGCACGATGCAGGAGAGCACGATGTCGTTGAGGACGGTCGCGCCGAGGTGGTGCTTGGTCTTGTTGATGTTGTACGACGTGCTCAGAATCACCTGGATGATGCCGTTCAGCACCTAGAGAGTGGCAGGCAGCGTAGGTGTGAGAAAACGAGAAAACACAAACCAAGGCGGGTCACTAAATTCAAAGCGTCCACTACGCAATTAAGAATCCGTTTCTAATTCGGGGTTGCGGTGCAAACAGCTCAGCACAGCGGCAACAGGAAAATAGTTGCTCAAATGCTTTGACAGCAGCCCCACGGATGTCGGCTGTTTCGTAACGCCGAGCGCCTGCCAAGCCAAGAGAGCAGGCAATGCACAGGCCACCCCATCAACACGGCACGGATGGCGCCTGGCGAGGGCAGGCTAGGCAATCCAACTCTCTGGGTCTGTGACAAACCGATTGAAAATGAAAAATGCAGTGTTTTTGCGAGGGCACCCTACACAACAAACAATGGGAAAGCCGTGCTGAAGCTTGAACTCTTTTGCACTCAAGAATGCCACAAAGCCGCGCAAAGCAAAAATACATTTTAAGAAAAGCTACTTGCTTTCGTGATGCACTGTAGTTACTGTACTTACTGTTTGGCATCGAACATCGTGTGGGCTGAGGAGGGGAGGTTGGTCGGTTGTTGTTTTAGAAATGAGACTAAACCACTAAACAGCTTGTTGTTTACATAAAATACTGAAGTCACGTTTATTTCCGTCACAGACACTTACAAACTATCTTATTTTTTTCATTTTTTTTTGTTAAATGCATCGTTTGTTTACAAAATACTGATAGGTCAGATCAACGCATAGAAATTATGAGATTTTTAAGTTACCCCCAGATATTGTATATTGGTCCTTAGAAAAATGTCCACTCCGTCCTGCCGACCAACGAGTCCCTCTCCAGCCCCGCCCCTCCCTACACAGCTGCCAGCCCCAGCCCGCCTAGCCTCCTGCCTGGCCGCCTGGCCCTGGCATCGTTAACGAGTTGAGGAGGAAAGTCATTTGCTATGTATAGCGGTGGAGATGAAGCATGCCCTCCCAGAGAAGCGTCCCCACAATGGTCTCCAGCAGATCAATTTCAGGACAAACAAAAGCGGCCCATCGCTTCTAAAGTTTTTGTCAGAACCCGCCTTTTGTATTATTATCTTTTTTTCTTTAAGAAATATTAAGAAAATAGGGAAGTGTTCGCGGAACGTTAGGATGTTGGCGGTTCGTAGTAGCGCATGGAGGCGTTGTAGGGGAGGGCGGGGTCGAGGCCGAAGCCCATCTTGACCACGTCCGAGGTCATGGAGAGCATGACGCAGCCCACGGCCAGCAGGTGCAGCCACTTGGCGCGGCGGCGCTGCGCGATCACGTCCTCCGGCGACAGGTTGGCCAGGTACAGGGACAGCGCGCCCGCCGACACCTGCGGCAAGCGGCAGCGTCCAGCAGCGGCGGCGGGGGCGGCGGGGGCGGCGGCCGTGGTGGCGGTCGGGGTGGCTATGGGGCGGCTGGGCCGGGCTGTACGGACTATCTGCTGTACGGGCCGCGCTCGTCAGAGAGCAGGCGCAGCGGCCGGCTCGCATTGTCGATGCCGAAGCCCGCGATCACCACGTTGGTGACGGAGATGATGAACACCATGATAAGGATGATGTCGTTCAAGATGACGGCGCGCCGCTTGTCCTTGTCCTTGTTGATGTTGAGCGCGCCGATGAACAGGAACATGATCCCCACGAGCACCTAGCAGAGCACAGTGTGGTTGTTGCGGTGCGTCGGGGTGCTTCGCGTCGTGTCGGCGCGTACAGCGCGGGGCCGTCTCGGCTCGCCTCTCGGCCGGGCGAGTTAATCAAACCCTTCGACGCGGCCCGTCAGAAGCGCCCTCTTATCCGCCACCGTGAGTCACGTCCGCGTCACGGCGCGGCGGCGCGACAATGAAATTCAGATAAATCAATCTGGTCGCGATGCGCGATACTTCGCCTCCTCCAAGGGCAGGCGGTGACCTTGGCCAAGGTCGGGTCAGGGCAGAGTGGTGATGGCGGTGCTGGCCGTGCCGGTCGTGCCGTTGACGAGGGCGGCCGCGATCGAGTCGCTCATGGCGGGGATGTCCGGGGAGGGGCGCCCGGCCAGCGACGCCAGCCCGGGGTCCAGCCCCGAGGCCAGCAGGTTGATGGCCGTCACCAGCACGCACCCGCACATGCCCACGTAGTTCATGGTGATGGCCGAGCGGTTGTACTCCTCGCGGTGCAGCCGGCAGTCGCGGAGCACGTTGAGGGACAGGAAGAGCACGCCCAGCGCCACCTGCGGCAGGAGAGGGCCTCGTCTCGTGTCTCGTGCCTCGTCGTGGACCAGAGCACGGCGGCACGGTGGGGCGGGGCGGGGTGCGGCGCGGAGGGCGTGGTGGCCCGGCTAGCATCCCCGTCCCGTCCAACGAGGCCCTCCCCGCGCCGCGCCTCGCGCCCGCCCGGTACCGGCGATACCCCGCAGTCAGCGGGGGTACTTTCACGCGCGGGGTAGCGCCACGTCGGGTTAGTGGTCAGGGCGCTAGACGCAAGGGTGCGTGTGGTTGTGCGGTTCCTGCGGCGCCGAGTTCGAAAGCGAGCGGCCCGTGTTGATGGCAGTTCGACCCCTGCCGTCCTGGCGCGTCCTGGCCTGCCCGCGTCGGCGGGGCCGCCGGCCCTTTGACATTTCGACGAGGGGAGCGGGGGGTTGTCAGCACAAAGGCGGAGGGGAGGTGGGGATCACGTTCACACGCTGCTCGTTTGCCCATTGCCATGTTCCATTTTCGATTTTCCGATTTTCTTGATGGGGACACTGAGGACGTAACCGCGCCCCAGCCACGCCGTGCCACCAAGACCGCCACCACCGCCATCACCACCACGCCGTACGCGACACACACTACCACCAAGTCGAGGCAAGCCGCCAAATGCAAACAAAGACGATGCACAGGGAAGCACAGCGACGACGGCCCGGCCACGGCCACGGCGAGCCCCAGGGGGTGGGCGTAGCTGCGGAGCCCTGTCGACTGATTCCGAGAGTCGCTTTCGTGGCTCTGTCCCTCTCGCGCCCACACGGGACGCCCCACGAGCGCGAGGGAGACAGCGCGTCGAAAATGACTCTCGGAGTCCGTCTGCTGGCCGGGCCACGTCAGGCAGGACCGCCAAGACGAGCACAGTGAATAAAAGACGAGTCCAGCGCAGCCCGGGGACAGCCCGGGGACAGGACAGTCGACGGGGAAGTGCAGCGGCGGTATTTGCCGGCCGATGGCTATGGATATTGATCGGGCGGAGTGCCCCGTGCCGGCCGTGCCCACGTCGGCCATCAAGGCTCAGGGCGGGGCGCCAGTGGCAGCGACCAAAAATAAATCTCAAGCATGCAAGTGCTATTCAAATATGCATACGGTCTGCACAGATAATGTCCCTCTCTCCTCTGTCCCCGGCACGCCACACGTCTCCCCGACGGCTGCCCGTGGCTGGGCTGCGCTGGACTCAGCGACAACTCAGCCTCGCTGGGTTGCCTAGCAACCAGGCGTCGAAACGCCCGCCTCCGAAACGGGGGTCTGAGCCTGGCGGCCTGGCGGGTCTCACCTGCAGGATCATGGAGGTGGAGATGAGGCCCAGCATGAGCGTGTAGAACTCATGCCGCGGCCCCACCTGCAGGATGTACTTGAGCTGGGACGCGTTGGCCGTGAGCAGGGCGATGTCAAGCATGCCCTGCGCGATGGTCTTCTTGGTGGCATAGCGGTTGGCGTCCAGAGGCTTGATGGGCTGGAAGCACGCAAAAAGCGAATGAGTTATCGCTGCAGTGGGCTGTGCTCTGTGAGCCACGGGAATTGCGGGGTCCCTGGAACCATTGTGCACCAACAGGCCTCCTGAAACCCCACAAGAGGAAGGCTACAGGAATGCCGCCTATCTTCCTGGTGCTCACCAAAGGATGAGAGCTCCACACCCTGCTAGCGCCGGCACGCGCCATGGCCGCTCAGTGCCATTCTTGTCGCGTGGCTTCGTTGGCGTGGAAACACTCCTCCGCGTCCTCCAGGGAAACAGGGCCCCAGGACGCCAACGGCGCCCAGTGCGAACACGCATTAGGATATCCGAGTACCGGGCCTACCAAGCCGGCAGTGGGCCCCCAGCACCCGGGCCTCCAGGTCGATACGAGCTCCGCGGCCCGCCCCCGGCCTCAGCCATCTAGGCATCGACCGAGCAGCGCGAGCCGCGAGCGCAGTGTTGTCCAGCGGGACAATGCCTGCAGGTGCCTGAAGGCTTGGAGGCCCCGACAGCTTGGCGGCCCCGCGGCCCCGCAGCCCGCGCCAGGCCCACGCCTCCCCCTGTAGACTGACGCCGGGCAAGCCCGCGGTCCGCGGCCGCTTTCTCCCTCGCACTCGTCGGCTTTTCCGCACGCGTGCGAGAGAGACAGAGCGACAGCGCCCCACGCACCAACCCCTGGCCGGTGCTTGGGGTCGACGACCTCGGTCCTGGTGCGGGAGGCCCTGCCGCCCCGTCTGGCCCCACGGAAGGCGGGCACAACACCACCGCCGTTTGATGTCCAGGCCGCCCAAACTATTTTTGAAGCGTCTGTGTGTCCACGCGAGAAGTGGGGGACGGCCAGTGAAGCACAAAGCGGCCTCGCCTACCAATCGCAGACGCGGCTTTAGGGACGGCCCCCGACGCGGCGGCCTGGCCGGGCGTGGCGGAGCACTGTCACTGAATCTGCGCGGCTAGGAAGTCCGTCCTGTTTCCGCATGAGCGGTCGCGCAGTGCCGATGCGGCGATGCGGCGATGCGCACTGGGGACGCCGGGTAACGGACCCGGCACCCAGTACCCGGAGCCGCTGTCCGGGCCATGAAGGGTACGCCAGAGACGGAGCCACTGTATTGCGATTCGAGCGTAAAAATCGGGAGGGAGGGGAGGGGGGGTGAAACCGAAGCATGAACTGATAGAGCAACCTCATAGGTACACACTGCATAGGCGCGTGGAAATCGGGATGTCATAGTGGAACGCAGTGAACGCGCTGCCGCGCGACACCCGGCGCCACCGTCACGCGTTCGTCTGCCAGAGCGAGCACCACCACTTGAAAATAAAAGTAAAAGTATGAAATAGATTCCATGATCCGATCGGTGAGGACGCGAGGACGCCAGGACGGTGAGTCGGAGAGAACCTCAAGCGCCGCACCGCCTGCTGCTTGACGTTTTGCTGTTTTGCTTGACGCACGCCGTATGCGTCGCCACGGCGCCTCGGCCACAAAGGGCTTTCGGCGGAAACGGCATCGAGAGTTGCACGTCCCGAACGTGTCTCTCTCGCACTCGTGGGGCGTCCCATTCGGGTGCGAGAGAGGCAGAGCGACCAAGTACTTGTTCGGAGTGAGCCTTGCCGTGGCGCTGGCGCTGACAGTGCTGACGCACCCACGGCGCGGCGTGTGATCATCGGCCCAACAGGTCCCCGTTGGCTCGCCAGGCGTGCAGTGCATGGCGACTGGCGACAGACGCAGGAGGCAGGCAGAGGCTACACAGGTGCCTCCGCCACCTGCTGCTGTTCAATGCCCCGGTGGAAGGTGCGCTTTCCACGGCGCGACGCGGGGCCGCGGCCGCGGCCGGGATACGCAACGTCCGGCGCCAGCGCGCGCCAGCGCGCCGAACTGGCGGCGCGGCACGGCTTCGAGTGCAGGGAGCTGCTCTGGTCTCTGCTGCACCGCGATATGCGCCGCCGCCGAGCCGCAGCGCGCCTCGCGCCGCGGGGTTGCGATGGTGTGGCGGACTTCCCCCGGTACGGTCCGCAGCCTCTGCAGCCTCCGCAGCCCGCACGCGAGATGCGCCTTGCGCCGCCGGCATGCCGTCCGTCGGCATCCTCCCCGAGGCGGTGGCCGATGCTGGCGGTGGCCGTGACCCGCGGCAAGGCCAGGGCAAGGCCAGGGCAAGGCCGCGGGCGGCGTTGCGGTCTCGCACAATGATCTGGGGCTGATCCGTATGTGCAGCTCAAGCTCAGCAGACTGATTCCGAGAGTCGCTTTCTTCGCTGTCTCTCTCGCACTCGTGCGGCGTCCCTTATAGGTGCGAGAGAGACAAACGACTCTCGGAATCAGTCTGCAGCGCAGCTCTTGGTTGAGCTCGAGGGGGAACGGGAGCCGCGCCGCGTCCGTCATGGAAAAGTTGTCGCACGACGGCCGGCTTTGAACTCAAACGAACGACCCGCCGAATGCACGCGAAACGCAGCGCGGGCGCACGGAGGTCCACCGTGAAAACGCACGCAGAAGGTGACCGGTCGACTCGTCCCGTCTCCGACGCCATGCCGACGCCACTCGACCGGAATAAATCTAAGCGCCTTATCGCGGCCATTGCCGTGAGTGCATGCCGATGGTGCCGGCCATCGGTGAAGGGCCCGTTGCGTCAAACACGCAGTATTGCACCCAAGACGTGGCAAAAAACAACCGCCCCTGACCGCGCAACCCCGCCCTCGGCTTTGCGACACGACGAAAGACGGTACTGTTTTAATTTCAGTAACACTGTGCTGCTTGTGTCCTCCAGATGCGGGGCCAAGATGGCACAGAGCGTGGGTTCGAGTCCCGGGTCTTTTTCCTTTCTAATTTTATAAGAACAAACCTAACCATAGAGGTTCGAGCAGTTCGCGCGAGCACTGGCCTGGCTCAGCTTTTTTGCAGCCGCGAGTTACTTTCGTCTGCTGCGTGTTTACACATGAATGCTGCGGCAGACGGCCCTTTGCATTTGCAGCCGTGGGCCGCTTTCGTCTGCTGCATGTTTACACAAATGCTGCAGCAGACGCCTCGACGCCGCGCCGTCGGACTGGTCGGTCGGTCGGACATGGGTAACGGGGAGCCGTCCACCGCGTCCGCGGACAACAGGTTGGCGCCCTGCTTGTCGATGGTGTCCTCGTCCTCACCGCGCAGCGCGCAGCGCGCAGCAACACCCCGCTCGGCCGTGACCGTCGAACCTCGAACGCCACCGCCACCCAGTCGCTGCACTGTAAGCCTTACCGTGCTCTTCTCCTCGTCGGCGTCGGGCAGGGCGTCCTTGGTCGGGGGGTTCACGTTGGTCTTGCCGCTGACGGCGCCGCTTACCGTGTCCATTTCCATCTTCAAGTCTGCGGCGCGCTGCACGTCTACCGGTGTGATGGCCACGGCGACGGCGACGCCTCACGGCGCTGGCCGCGCTGCCCCCGCTTCGGGCGGCGTCGGCGTCGCGCCCAGCGAGATCGGCCAATCAGCTCGGCGGAGCGGAGGATCGCGTCGACCCGAAGTCCTTGGCGGCGTCGGCGGCGTCGGCGATCACCCCAGTGCCGTCACCCGGGTGCCAGCGGAGCCAGGATGACTGAGCGTCAAAACAAAACGTTATCTTAACGGTGACGCTCTGGGCCGGCCCACAGTGGGCCGGAAGGTCGGTCGAGGCGGCCAAAATTCTAGACGCGTTTTAAGCTTCAAAGTCACACGTTCGGTTCGAGCCCCGGTTGTAGCGCCTCTGGAGCTCAAAACGCGTCTGGACTGTTGGCCACCGCGGACTCACTGCGTCCACGACGCCGTGCCGTGCAGGGTGCTGGAGGGCGGCGTGCTGGAGGACGGCGTCCTGCAGAGTGGAGGGCGTCGCGTGTCTGGCAGCGGCACCGCGACGCTACTGAACTGGAGGCCCTGCCTGCACGGCACTGCACGGCGCGACGGCGAGGCCGCCGGGGAAGGCCTCGGGGAAGGCACGCTCGCTGGTGGGGCGTCGGCGTGGGCGGGCGTCGGTACGGCATGAACCGCAGGGGCAACCAGGGCCACATGGCCTCATGACCAATGGGTCGGGGAGCCGGGGCGGGGGCCACCAGCCACCTCCACCGGCCGTTGGCGCCACGACGCCCGTTGGCTCGGCGAGGGTGGGGCTGGGCTGAATGAACTGGATGAACACCCCGACGGCACGCGACGCGACGCTACGCCATGCGGGGTGGCCGATTCGGCACTCGGCCTCCACTCCATGGAGATGTCGACGCGGTGGCGGCAAAGCGCGGCAAGGCGCGGCCAAGCCCGTCCGGCCCGAGCTCTTGCCTTGCCTGCCTGAGCATCGCCACCGCGCCACCGCGACGCTCTGTCTCCCTCGCACTCACGGGGCGTCCCGTCCGGCCCGAGCTCTTGCCTTGCCTGCCTGAGCATCGCCACCGCGCCACCGCGACGCTCTGTCTCCCTCGCACTCATGGGGCGTCCCGTTGGGCACGAGAGAGACAGAGCGACGAGGAGTCGCGCCGCTGTTGGCGCCTGCGAACTGGGGATAGGCAACCCTCCGCCTGTCAAGACGGCTCAGCGTTGCGGGCTTGCCTATCCACGCCTGGCGCCTGGCGTTTTTTGAGAGCTGCCGCTGCTTGCCGCAGCTGCCGTTATGTACGATACATCAGTTTTCCCCCTGCAATCTGTAGGGATGATAAGCTGTCGGCAAACTGTGCACTGTACGCACTGAGAGAGGGCTTCAAACATTTCAAGCGGCAGGTGTAAGCGCGCGTTTTCGTTTCTCGCGCCACAAGACGCGCACTACAACAAAAATAAAGTTCCGGACGCGGTATTCGTGCGTATCGACTCGTTCTGTTTGGATCACAGCCACTGTGTAAAGAAAACCTCTAAAATCCTAAGAAACGGCGTACATTTTGGTGTGCGCACGGTTCTTTCAATTTCTGTTGGATTGGCGCGTGGGCGAGGCGGTTGGCACTCTTGTCTGGCCCTCCCCCTCCGTGGCCTGCTTTCTCCGCCCCCCGCCCCTCTCCCCCCACCCCAGCGCCCTTTGCCCACGGTGAAGGTCACAGTTGAAAGGGGAACGAAGGGGAAGCAGCTGAAAACAGGGGTCGGTCCGGACACGTTCTCTTGACCAGTCTCACTGAGATCTGACACTCGGTCGCTCACAGCGATTCTCTCTTCCAATCAACAGTCAAATTCCAAAACCCCCAAGATGAGCCGCAAGTTCTGTGTTGGTGGCAACTGGAAGATGAACGGTGACAAGAAAGGCATCCAGGAAATCGTTGCATTCTTGAAAGCTGGACCCCTGGACCCCAATGTCGGTAAGTTTCCTTTGATTCTACTTCTCAAACGGGATTTCGGCCACGCCCTCCGATTCATAACTTAGTCTGCTTGAGTTTCACACTCATGAAACTGCCTGTCTTTGCCTATTGTATGTCTGCTTGACCTGTTCCACAGGTTCAGGCTGGAATTGATTTTTCAATGTTACTTTGTAGTGCACCAACATTTTCTGTATGGGCATAGAGCATTATCTAATTTTGTCGAGTTGCTAAAGCTTGATCCGAGCATTCCATTATTCTGGATGTCAATGACAGCTGTCGAAATGTGTTTAGTTGGTTACGTTTTGAGCACTTGTATTTAAGCCGAACTTTTTGTGATTTTTACAGAGGTTATCGTGGGATGCCCTGCACCTTACTTAGAGTACACCAAGGGTCTGCTTCCAGCCAATGTTGTGGTTTCAGCCCAGAACTGTTACAAGGTCCCTAAAGGAGCCTTCACAGGTATGCAAAGTGATTACTGTGAAGTGAAATCATTGCATCACACATTCTCATTTTGTCTTGCAACTCCTTACAGGTGAAGTCAGTCCAGCTATGCTGAAGGATCTTGGAGTCAACTGGGTGATCCTTGGCCACTCTGAGCGTAGAAACGTTTTTGGAGAAAACGACCTGGTAAATGTTTTTGTTTTTTGTAAATATATATCTGTATCCAACTGGTTTTTATTGCTCATCCTCTCAACTTTTGCTTTGTTTTGCAGCTTGTGGCAGAGAAAACTGCCCATGCTTTAGAAGAGGGCCTGTCTGTCATTGCTTGCATTGGTGAGAAGTTGGAAGAGAGGGAAGCTGGCAAGACCGAGGAAGTTGTTTACCGCCAGACCCAAGCCATCGCCGACAAGATCAAGGACTGGTCCAAAGTTGTTATTGCCTATGAACCTGTCTGGGCTATTGGCACAGGAAAGACAGCCACCCCACAGCAGGTATGTGGCACTCTGTTAATTACAGTAATGCTCACATTATGGAAGTTCCTCAATGTTCTGACAATCTATTTCCTTCCAGGCTCAAGAAGTCCATGAAAAGCTGAGAGCCTGGCTGAAAGCCAAGGTTTCAGAGAAGGTTGCCAATGAAACTCGTATTATTTATGGAGGATCAGTCACAGCAAGCAATTGCAAAGAGCTTGCCAAGTCTGGGGACATTGATGGATTCCTCGTCGGTGGTGCCTCTTTGAAACCGGAATTTGTTCAAATCGTCAATGCCCGCCAGTAACCAAGATAAGACATTAATGACAATAATGTAAGAAATATGCAACACCATTACTTCACTTTCCTTTGAAGCTGCCATTTGTTGAGTATGAATTGCTTTTAACAGGGTGAATTGATTTCACTCAGTTTACTGAGCTCGAGTCATCATTCCATCAAGTTTTAATGTTTTCTTAAATATGACTAGTCATTAGTAAATGTTATTTGCTAAAAACTTTGTTTGGCAGTTATGTTAAACAATTGTTTTTCTTCAAATTTTAAAGCCTGTTCTCAGTTTAACCCAAAATTTATGTACTCATGTGTAAATAAAATATATGCTGGCCATTATACTCCTGTCTTACTGCTTGCCAAACAGAAATTAAACCTCTGAAACACAAGTCACCACATTCTGAGGAATCAAAGGGCTGAACTAATTTCCACTCCATATTGTTATGTGCATGTAAGGCAAAGCTTATTTTCAACATGATCTTTAATTGCCATAAATCTATTTACATAACAATAGTTCAAAATGTTACTTAAGCTTTATACTCTTGCTGACAGTCTTCTTGATGCCAGTCATTTCTCCTCCGTAACGCTGCACTTCCGTTCGAGGTTGGCGAATCTAACACACAAGAGATCACAAACAATTAATACAAAAAAAGAAAAATAGGAATATTTTACCTTTTTCTTGAAAAAACAAAGCTAGAAGCGGTAGCAAGACCGCTTAAATTTTTTTAAAAAAAGGCTTGAAATATGTAGAAGGGAGGAGAGCAAGGTATCAAAGAAAAATGTCATTACCTGGCCCTTTATCCTGATTTGAGCCTTGCGGTACTTCATTCTGTTCTTGAGCCGTGGGTTGCGATCTATCTTCTTACGACGATGAATGAGACCTTTGTTGCTTGCCATTTGCCATGTGATGGCCCTCTTCCCATCTGCATCTTCTTGAGACACATCCAGCTCTTCAGTCTCACCCTCCATATTTTCATTTCCATCCTCGCCATCACTGCCACTGCCTGTAGCCCAGGGCACATCTTTAAAGAAAGACAAATATTAACCAAGTATGACAAAAGGAGAGTAATATAATAAAAAAAACTCAACAATGGTCATAAACTTCTCACCTCCACCACTTTCAAAATCATTTTCCCATGGCATCTTGTCCTCAATTTTCTTCGACTCCTTTTTAAGGGATCGAATTGCCTTGGATGATTTGGAATCTGGACTTGGAGTATCCTCCAGTTTACTGGAATCCAAGCCTTTGTCATCTACATCAGGGATCTTAGATAGAGACAGAAGTCGAAGCTGCTTCTTCTTCCTGATGTAGAAATTATTATAATTAATTATAATATATTATTATTATTATTCAGAAAAATAATGTAATTATTTTAAAGCAGAGAACAACATACTTTGTGTCCAATCCAATTTCACGGACTTCTGGTAAAGAACCACTTTTGGCTGCATTTAGTAAATCATCTAATTGAGATGATGTTACTTCCTCAAGAGGCTCCAACTGCTGCAAGAGCTGACGATACTGAAGGAGCCTCTTCACTACAGGATGTGCAGCAACAGGTAAGCGCCGAGCTCTTAATAATAGGTAGAATCCCATGTTCATGGCATAGCTTTAAAAAAAATACAATTGAACAAAAAAAATTAAAAACCGTCTTAAATACATATTTTAACATTTTAACAAAAAAAAGGGCACTCATACTTGTTAACTAGGTGGTATTTTGTGCGTATGTACTGTCCCAACTGAGGGGACGGAACCTGCTTGTTTTGAGCCAAAGCCAAAGCTGGCTGGAGTCTACTTTGAAGCTCCTCCATAATACCTGTAAAAAAGGAGGGTTTTACACTAGCACTACCTATCAGGCAAGTAAAGACGTCTTCATATGACTGCTCCATTCCTTCAATAAAAAACATGACTTTTCAAAAAACTTACCTCTGAATTCTTCAATGATTCCAACTAACTCTGGAGCCTCTTTTTCAAGAAGGGCCAGTTTCTGTCTGGAACTCAACTGGCTGAGGTCAGTTTTAATAATTTCTTCTGCAGTTTTATTAGTTGGCTGTTCTTCTTCCTTAGTCTACATGAAAGCAAGGCATGACAGAATAAGTAAAAGACAGTTGTTTAGGGATCAATTGTTTAGAAATTTATCACCTTTGTGAAGACATCTAGTGAAAAGTCATTATCATCCAATTCTGCAGCCAAGCGCTTCTGAATTTCTCGTGCCTCTTGTTCTTCAAGCTCTGCCACTTCTGCATCTTCTCCATCAAATCCTACAAAGAGAAAATTTCAGTGAAGTAATTTCCTTTATTTATTGTGAGTAGATGAGTATAAATTGAAAAGAATCTACTTACCACCATAATCTTGATCAACATAGTCAGTGTTGTAGTAATTTTTTCGAGTCTTTCCCCATGCTCGTTGATCAGGTAGGTTAAAATCATCATCTTTCCCTTCAATATCACTATCCATGTCAACATCTTCATCCTCCTCCCCTTCTTGTCCACTGTAATCAGCTTCTTCGTCTCCTTCTTCTTCATCATCTCATCATCAAGTGGCAAGTCCATTACTGCCATTTTCTTATTTGGCTTGCTCCTTGAAGAACTTGATCGTGCTTTTTCAAGAAGCATTTTTTCCTGTTGAGAGTATTCATCTTCCGAATCGGAGGGTTCATATGCAGGTTGTCTAGTTGACCGTGAGAGAAAGGCATCATCGTCTTCTTCATCATAGTTGCTTGCTGAAGGCATACTGACACCACGCCTGAAAAGTACAAAACAATTAAAAATGAGGAAGCAATAGTACGATGCCTGAAAAGGAAAATTGATAAAAAATCAAAGTCGGCTACGTGAATTGCACGTCAGTGCATGATTAAATGAAAGCAAAACAACCAGAAATAAAACGATGAAAGAAATTACAGCTTGAAAATTAAGAAGCGGTAGCACAGAGTTTATCAAAATAACATACTGTGCTTAACCTTCTCGTCATGTGCTGTTCGCACAGATGTTCCATATACTTACTCAAGTTCGGAGGAACCTAATGCAGTTTCAGAAGATGAATACAAAATTTACTTACTTCTTTGATTTTCTCATTGTGAAAAAGTCCTTTATTTTTGTACCCTTTGACCAATCTTTAAAGCACCACTCAAGCACACGACGGCCGTCAATCGGTAGGACAACATAACCTACAAACATACAAAAACAAAACTCTCGATGTATTGTTTCGATCTCTCGCTGACAATGTCGAGAGGGGTTCCATCTTTCTCCGCCAGAGTGCGGATGAGCAATTAATGGCTGCTGTCGGCTGAAACTAGCTTTCGTAGTAAAATTGGTAACATGTAAAATTCGTTCAAATCTAAACTGTATGACCTGCAAAACACAGCCGTTTGAAGATTTTTAATTTGTTCAACGCCACATGGTTTTGTTTTGCTGCTAGCCTCAAAATGTCGACCATAGGCATTCAGCAACTGTTCCGTGAAGAAAGGTTCGTACACATAAACATATAGCTGAACGAATGATAGAGTTTTTCCTCAGTGTTTTTTTTCGTCACGGTAAAATCCGTTAACACCTATTCTAGCCGTTCAAATTTAATTTTCTGGAGAACCTTTTTTTTTTTGATTGACGTGACTCGTTAAAGGACTGAGTTTTGTGGCCTTTTGTCATCTTTGACCTAGGAGAGGCTGATTCTTTGTTGTAGAGTTTCTGTTCTGTCAAGGATGTTTTTATTTTGGTGTTATGGTGACCTGAGACTTCTATCTATGATCATAAGTGAATGTTAACTGTACGATATAGATATAGTCTTGTGCCCTCCTTTAAGGAACTCTGGTGATTCAGCGTTTTAGCGAGGGGATCCTTAACACTTACAAGCTGCGTCACAAATCAAAATATTATTTTCTTTCTGTTATTACACCAAATAAATCAGAACAACCAATCGTCATATTATCATGAAATTGAAACATGGTTCATTTCTTATATTGCATTCCATTATTTGAATTAATTAGAATGCATTCTCTTTGTTTACAGGTTTCCAACTGGATGGCGACTGATACCTCTTCTTTTGTACTCCCCATTTGGTTTACTTTTGGCTTTTCTTCGTTCATTCATTGGTTTTCAAGTTTTATTGGCTGCAGCCTTTGTTCCCCATGTGTCATTCATTAAAAGGTAGCACCTGTGGATGAAAGCCTCTTATTTAACCAACTATGGATTAGATTTTTCTTAATCTCTGTCTTTGTTTTTGGCAGTATGATTCTGAAAACATTGTGCTTCACTCTTGGCATTGTTGTAAGAGAAGAATGTGAAGAAAAATGTGATGAATCAGCTCAAGTTATTGTTGCCAATCACATTTCAATGCTAGATTATATTCCCATTCACCTGTTGAGTGGATGTGTCACTGTAAGATTTTACAAATTTCACTTTGCCAGTTTTCTGGATTGTTAATTTATTACTTTTACATTGTGATTCATCTGTAAATTTTTGTGTTTAGCCGGGTAGGTGGGATGCTCCTTCTGCATGGGTACTCAGCTTGAAGAGTTGGAGTCATGGAGAAGTACTTCTGGCCAATATTAGATACCATCTGAATAGTTCTGACACTCCAGTCTTGGTTCAGCCTGAAGGAGCGACAACAACAGGCACCACGGGGTTATTGAAGTATGTTTTGTCTTTTTTTCCCCCTTATATTAATTGTTGCCTTAAACTGGTTGGCTGATTCCATGGACTTGATTTTTGCACAGATTCGAAACTTGGCCTCTGGAAACCACTTCCAAAATTCAACCTGCTAGTATTAGAGTTTGGCGTCCAGCTATTGCTGATATTGCTGTCACTGTGGTCGCAGCATCAGAACTCTGGGATATTTTTTACTATCTGTTTGTCCCTTTCACCGTATTTACTGTGAGGTATGTTAGGTTTTCTCCAATCTTCCCTGATTGCGCTGCGTCCTTGCATTTTGATACGTATTGTATATTTTGACAATTATAATCATCTACTTTGGTGCTTCCTAGGTACTTAAATGTTGTTGAACTGGACAAAAATGAAACTCATGCACAGTGTATGGAACGAATAGAAACTGCTATTGCCCAAGACCTTGAAATTAAAACAACCAAATTCACATCAAGAGATAAAGTAAGGAGATTTTTTTAAATACTATATTTGAAAAAGCTTGACTTATTATACATTATAATTCTTCTTTTATCATAAAATTAATTTTGCAGATGGAATATGAGAAACGATACTTAGCTGAACTTTATAGACCTGTTGCCATAGCTAATGGTGCAACAGCCTTAGATTGCAACCAACTGGTCAGCAAATGCTCCGAATGTCCAATCAAGTTAAGGAAGTTTTGCCTAATGTCCCTCTTGATGCCATTAGAAGAGACTTAGGTAAACAACCATATCCTAATAACTATGCCGAGTTCTGTTTCATGGTTTATGAAACCAATAATTTAAGTTCATTTAATTTATGTGCATATTCTTTCTTTGGCTTTGCAGCAAGAACATGGGATGTTGACTTAACAATAACTAATATTTTGGAGGGTCTGGTGCCCTTCATACCAGAGGGACAAGGTCCTTCTGTGCCGTCACGCTCTCAAAGGACCCCTACAGATCAGGTTGGTGTCATTATGTGTCAATGTGTATTTTGAAGAAACTTGCAATGTTATAATTTGTTGTTGTCTCTTTCAGGCATCTGCCACAACTGTAGCTTCATCTAGAATCAAGCCTGTGCAAGGAGCTGCCTTAACATTTCAAGAACGCAAAGCTAAAATGATAGAGGATGCACGGAAAAAGTATATTGAGAAACATGGCCTTGAAACAATTAATACATCAATGACTGACTCTGCATCTACTTCAGGGTCAAGGTCCTAAATCAGCTTATGTCAGATTTCATCAAATTACTTTGACTGATTTGTTCAAACAGAATATTTATGTTTGAATAGATGTTACTGGTTTTGTATTGTTACTTTCATTGAATGGTTTGTGAGGCCAGCCTCAAGATCTTGTTGAGATAGTGTATATTAAAATTTTGTTATTCGATCTCAGTGTTTGCTTTGATCCTCAATGGTAATGTCTTGTATTGCCTCACAATGAGGCCACAATATTGAACTGTTCATCTTCTTCAATATGAAATTATGCATCTGATATTTGCATTTCTCTTCCAGTTTTAATATTAGGTAACAAAATGAATGCATGAAATTGATGCCAATTTTTCGTTTTTTAGTTTTTATGGCTTTATTGAGCAATTTGATTGTTTTCATGTTATACATTTCAAGTATTTACAATTGTTTGTTCATGATCACATTATCTTATGATAGGCAATTGGAGCAATAAGTTCTTAAGTAGGCTGTACTGAAGGGAAGAAATTTTATGCAAGAGAAAAAACAATAAAATTAAGGAGCAATCTATTTACCACTTTTCGTTTAAATTAACTCGTCACCTCAACTGCTTTGCGACTGATTTAGAGAATGAGTGTGTCTCTAACTCATCCGGCCTTTGGACTGGCGCACAGCGGCCCGGGGCAGAGGCGGGATCGGATGTAGCTGGTCGGTCGACCGGTTTAAAACAGAACTAATCTGCTGGTCCGATTCTTTAAAACCTTAAAAAATTGTCCATGTTAAGATTCAATGCTGCCTGTATCATAAATATTACTGCAGGTTCTGGTGCTGCTTGTTGCGTGTGGTGGTATTTTATATTCTATTAGAATTGTACATATACTTAGTTTAACTTATTATTTTTGTTGTATGGTGTTGAAGCAATGTGAAACTTTGAACTTCCAGCTGTTTTCCTGCATTGACCGATCAAGCTCAACCAGTAACTTACGGGAAAATTCCTCATTTGCTGATGATAATCTCAAATGCTGCAAGAGTCAAGAATTGCTTTCTGTAAGATTCTATTAAAATATTTTGCTACATTTTTATTTTTCATGTTAATGCAGCACACATTGGCGATTCCCAGGAGGCTTACTAGGTCTAACAATGATAGGAGTTGAATCTGACAGGATAAGTTGGGTGTTGAATAAAGTAAAGGATTCAGATCTTTTTGGCTTGTTTATTCAAAATGCACATGTTGTGAAAAATTTTTGGTAGTTTTGTACAAAGGCAGGCAATTCATCATTAATGCCAAATCGTTGTTCACTTTACAGGGTGTAAAAAACCTAAATGCAACATCAAGTCAGAACCAGTTTCATCAAAAGTGAACAGAAAGCTAGATGACAATAGCTTCAAAAGAAAAGAAAAAAAAATCATGAAAAATAAAAAAGATCAAGGTCAATCAACCACAGTTTAACTGCAGTACAGTCCCCCCACCCCTCCCTCCCTAAAAAAAAAACAAAAAAAGGCAACAAAAAAACTCTCCAGCGTCATGAAGGTCAAAACACAATAATTCACATATTTTAAGTTACAAATAAATTAAATTGCTTCTCGTCAAAATGAACAGTTCATGACATGGACCTTTTGCGGTACCCTTACTGTGATCATATGTTCCATGACGGACTTTTTGTTTATTTCATCAAACACATGCATTGTTGGACAAGCATGAATTATTTGGCTGGTTACTTACTGGTAAGCCTGACCCAACTAATTTGTTGTTGATCAGCAATCATGCTAGTAAGGATGAGAGCAACGCGTGAGGCGGTAGAACGCAGCACACGATCTCCATCACACAGAAAAAGAAAAAAAGACGAAGGCCGCCTCCTCCGCTTGCTCTACAACTATACACTCTCCTACAAATAGCTTCCATAGTAGTAGTACGTAAGACTCAAAACAAAACCTTTGCATAAATAATGACAAGGGGATCGAGATTTCCAAAAATTGTGCTATGTGTTATAAATAGTACAAAGTATCAATCTTGATAAAGGGCCCACAAACATTACCTACAGGTTTTGAAAACAAAAACATTATAAAACTCATGCAAAGTCATATGACATGCTACAGAACACTATCAATCAACACAAAAACAAAAAGGAAAAAAAAATTATTAAAGATATGACAACACAACCTGACATGGCCAAGAAATAGCATCAGTTTCATTTTGAGCCTTGCAAGGAGGTGTAGGGCTTATTGCTAAACAAACTTGGATCTGCACTAACAAATTAATGATGTTTAGTTGGCCAGGTGTTAGGGCAGGTGGCCAGACTGCATTTAGGCAGAGCTCTCTGTGGTAGTTGTATGCTGCACAGCTTGTGACGAATCCTGAAAAATAATCACAAAATATTACCATCACTGAAGACACTAGCTAAGGATAAGAAAAAAAAACTTGATTAATTTAACATAGGAAAGTGAACCGTAAATCTCTTGAAAGGAGCAAAACATGAAGTATGTATACCCCTCGAGGTTGACAAAAGTGAGGACAGATCATGCAACTGAATAAGGAATGACCACAATCCAACCTTACATCTACTCTATACAGCACTACGACTTACTTGGGCAGGTGTGGTCTGGGCTTCAGTGGACTCAGGCTGTGAATAAACAAATAGAAAAAAATAGGTCATGCAAATACATAAAAATTTCTACGTGTCACCTAACAAGTGATCATAATATACATCATCATGCTACTAAACATCAACCTTAAGGGTACACTAGAATATGACTTGAAAAAATTTCCTGAACTACAGAGCTATGTAATGAGTGAAATGCTTAAGATGTATGTAAATTGTGATTCAAATTTAGATTATATGACAGAAGGATCATGCCAACATGGAAGGTCTGATTTCAGTTCAGAAGTGAAAGACTACAGCAAAGGTTTGAGATTCATTAGGTGTAAACAAGGAATGCAAATAGTTAGAAAATTATATAGGGAACTTCATCTTTCAGGATAGCAATACCAGTAGGGATTTGCAAAAATAAAAAATATTAAACACACAGGTGAGGAAAGATTTTTAAAAAATCATGGAAGCATGCTGATATTGGAAGGGGTAACACATTTAGCTGCAGAAAGCAATTCATGCTCAAACCACATTCTGTCCACCACCCCTGAAACCATATTCCCACTAAATAATTCCTAGCTAAATATTCTAGGGATGAACCATTTAAGTCTTGGTACTAAATAACCCTAATCTTTAGGGGCATAGTTAAAATATATTCCTCCCATCATATGACACAAACAGGGGAAAATGGGAAGGATGAGAGTGGTTCATTCAGAATGATGTAGGGCCAATGACAAGGTCAGGCAGATAGGGAGTGACTCACGAAGCTCACCTTGACCTTACTGTCTCCCTCACTTTGGCTGGTGCCGGAGGTTCGGGACGGGCGACGACGATAGCGTGGACGGGGCCGGGCACCCTCAGCACCTCCCTCTCCCTCGCTCACATTCTACACGCATACACAAACATTAGAGGATACCTTCCTCATGTCATTGCCTGACAAATGTGAGCAGGAGACATCCACTTTCAAAGAATGTAAGCACTAAGAAACTAGACCACCCTCTGGGGCATGAACTAGGAGCTTCTAGGCATATCCAAACTTAGGAAAAACAACTACCAATAGACAGAATTGAAGGTCTAACAATATGCCTAAGATGCACTCAAAACTAAATACACAGTGGAAACAATTGCTACAGTGCTGGACAGAATGCCCAATGCGCAAAGTTGTAAAAAATGCACGATCAAATTGCCATTTCACTACTCAAATGCAGGCGTTGCTTACCTGCCCGTCCTGACTCCTTGGTCTGCGAGGTGGCCCAGCTCCGCGACCCCCACGGAAGTTGCGGCGGAAGAAGCGACGGGGTGCACCTCTGCCTCTGGCTGGGCGGCCTCCCTCAACACCTTCACCACCTTCCTCTCCCTCCTTACCCTGAAAAATGAAGCAGACACTACAATAGGAAGAAAGCTCCAATCACACAAGACAAAATTTGCAGTCATAAGTACCTCTTCTCCGCCCTGCTGGGGTTTGCGGGCACGATAGTTATTGTAGTAATTGTTGGGCTCAAAGCGACGCCTTGGTCTGTACCGCCTCTGTTGCTGTTGACCTCCTTCACCTTCACCACCTTCCTCTCCCTTACCACCATCTCCACTTTCATAACCTGCGGGTAAAATGCCACATTAGAGAAAAGGCTTCAAATTTTAGAGAGAGAGACTGACGGAGAGAATAGAAATTAAACGGTACCTTCATGGTTGCCTTCACGTCGGGGGCGCATGCCACGGCCACGTCCTCCATAGTACCACTGACGGTAGCCACGGCGCTTGTCAGCGGCATAGGGAGAGCCCTTCACAGGCTCACCAGCAGGACCAGTCACGTTGGCGGCCTCATTCCCCTTCTCCCCCACGACGACATCAAACTCAACCACTTCTCCATCACCAACACTGCGCACCGCTTTTTTAGGGTTGTTTTTAACAATGGCTGACTGAAAATTCACAGAGAACAAACAAGTTGACTTAGACAACAATGTCACAACACCATGACAAAAGAATACAGCATGTCCCACACTTACTTGATGCACAAAGACATCCTCCTTGCTGTCATTCCTGTTGATAAACCCGTACCCACTTTTAACGTTGAACCATTTCACAACGCCGGTTACTTTGTTAGCTGAAACAGACAAGACACAACCTCATTAATGCAACAGAAATTCATCAAACATGCAAATTTACACTGCACTTTTATCAAAATAAAATTAATTACAAAATTTATAAATCTCTTCAATTTTTATAAACTACATCTCATTCATTACAATGTGCACACAACTTGAAGTTCTAAAAACTAGAACCAAAATAGTTGAAAACCGTTCCCCACCATAAAACCAGGCTGGAATGTGCAGCCCTCGGCCAGACAGAGCCGGGGTGCATCTCCGCGATTCGGCGCACACGAGACACGCATCGCTCTGCGCGTTATCGACCGCCAAGGTTAGCCTCTAGCTACCGGCCCAGCCCGGCCAGCCGCGGCCCTACTCCCTACGCTACGCGCTACGCGCTGCGCGGCCTGCGCGGCCCGGCAGTCATGGCAACTCGGGCTACGGCTGCTACGGCCCGGGGGCGTTGACCTCCGCGAGCTCGGCTCTCGGCTCGGCGCTCAATGAGCGGCAAAGGGCGACGGCGTGGACCCTTGGCGCCCTTTCCACTCGCCGCCGGACCAAATTTGTCACCAACATGACCGGGCCGGCCCCAAAACCCGGTAACGCGCCTCAGCACCGAGTGCAACGATGCACACCCGGGACAAACATAGCAAACTGTACACCCTCAACGAGGAGGCCCCCCACCCCACCCCGCGCCCTGGCCCGAGTCGCCCGAATCCAGACGAATAAATAACATGAATAGAAACCCCATCCCGCACCTCACCCGGAATCGCGCCACCTTGGACCCGGCTGCGGCGGCGAGGAGGACGCGCGGCCGCGACACCTCGTCGCCTCCCTGGCGAGCCGCCGCGGCCAGGGGCCCCGCCAGCCCCGCCGACCCGGGGGCCCAACAGCAGCCGACAAGAAATAACCTCTCCGGTGCCATCGCGGAAAACGTGGGGCCCACCTCAAACACGTCAAGTTTCGACAACAATGAGGGGGACACTACACACGCGGCGACGCGGAAAACGCCCAGACTAATTTCCCGCGGCGTGCGCAACGGCCCGCGCTGCACGGGGCACGCGGCGACACACCATCGAGCACGACTCGGTGAACGCGCAGCGCACGGCAGCTCGGGGCGCGCGGCGCTGCGCACGGCGGGGCCGCCGTGGGGCTCGCACCGCACTCTCGCGTGGCACCAAGCCGGCCGTCCCGTCCCACGCCAAGCCGGCCGAAAGGTCGCGACCCCTGCCGGAAAAAACAGCCCTCCTTTCCCCAACTGGAAAAGCGCGCACCAAGCCCCGGGAAAAGGCCGCGGCCAAAACCCGCACCGCACCGCCGGCCGGCCAAGCACGCTGGGCCTCCCGACCGCGGCACCGCGTAGGCTTGGGCCCGTATTTCTCACACAACACGGATCCCTGCGCACTTTTTGACATTACGTACCGATGACAGGCTTTTGTGGGACAGCCTTGGGTTGTTCGGGCTGTTTTTCCGGGTCAGCCATGATGGATGGTAGGGGTGCGGTGTTAACACGCCGAGCCGATCTTCTCCCTTCCTTCTCGTAGCTTTGTTCAATTCCAACTCAACATGGCCGGCGGTTTACATGCGGTAGCGAGCAGTTCATCAGCTGATTGGCTGGCCAAAGTGACGCAATAAGCGCACTCTGGAGGAAGGGTTGGAAGCACATGCAGCCAGGGTATCGCACCGAAAAAAACATTTCCCGGACGAACGAGGCGTCCGTCGGCGGGGGTAAGCTTTTCTATCGGTTCATTATGAATTACTGTACAGTTTACCATCTTCATGTGGTCAAATCAATGAGTATTTCGCGTCAAATCCGCGTTTTTCATTCATTCGATTCGCGGCTGATTCATTCGATTTGTTGGCAACACCGCACGAATTACAAGAAGGCCTTTTCAAACCGGCAACACACACAAATAAGACAAATAAACGTTTGAGCAAATAAATGTATTTTAACCCACCTCGCACATTGACTTTATGTTCGACAGAAGTAATTTGAATGTCACAGTATAATGAAAGTGTACGGACGCGTACGTTAAGCCAGATTCGTAGAACTGCGCGTCGTGGAAGGTTGGCAGCAGTCACGCCGGCTGGCGCGGTAGTTCAGTTGCGTGGTGGAACGGGTCACCGTGCTTTCTTCCGTTTACACTGGGTTTTCTCGACCAGAAAAAAGGTCGCTCCAGCTCCAGTACATCGCGAGGCGGCGAAGATTAAGTCACTGCAATTACCGACCTAATTCACGCGCCCAAACACATCCACCCGCAAACCGTGTTCTCAGGCGGGTGTGCAGGAGCACGAGGAGCATGTTATCTTGTTCCAGTCTTGGCGGTAAATGTCGCGCGGAATATTTACTAAAACGTCGGTTTGCAAACAAGCGGCGCTATCTCGCAGATAGCCGCGCGGCATGACGCTCTGCGTGTCTGCGGACGGGCCACCCCAGTTCCTCCCGCACGGCCCTCGCGCTCCTCGCGCTCCTCGAGGACCAGGTCCTGCCCGCGACATCTCCGTCGGCGGAGAGCCATGGAGGCTTCCCCTCGCGCCACGGACATGACCTGACCCCTTGGGGGCTCCGAAGCCGCAGCGCGCAACCCGCAGCAACCCGCAGCATGCAGGACTCGGCCCTGGACCGCCTCCTCCGCAGCCGCAGCGAGCCGGAAGTGCGCGCCGGGCTCGCGCTGCCCGCCAGGGAGAAGTCCCTGAGCGAGCGCGCCGTCCACCTTGTCCACCATGCCGGCGTCTCCGCGCACCCCGCGGCCGCGGCTCGCGCTATCGGTAATAGTACAGCGATGTCGTGTGCTGCGTGTGTTGGCGAAGCGGTCAGGGAAGGGCTGCCTCTCTCGCACTCACGGGGCTCTCCCTACTGTCGGCGTTTGTCCGGCAAGCAACATCCACGGCGGCAGGTCCAGGACCTCCACGATGAGAACGAGAACCACGCGCCGTGTGAATTACCCGCTGCCGGCCGGCCCGGCTATTCCACTTTCGGACAGTGGCGGGCTATCGGCCAGTGACCAGCGAGCGACCCTCACCGTCGAACGCGGTGGCATAGGTGGCATGCCGCCCGCGTGGCAGATTGGTGGCAGGCTGGCCATACAGGCGGGCTACAAGTGGATGGCGCGGGTTGACGCCGATAGTGCCAGACAGCATTTTGCCTGTAGTCTGCACTGCAGACTGATTCCGCCGTACTCAGCTGTGTGCGTCGCTCCGTCTCTGTCGCATCCCTGTCGGTCCGAGAGAGACAGGGCGACGTAACACTGTGCCGAATCAGTCGGCCGGCTCGGCCAAGGGCTCGGCCCGGCTGCCCCGAACACAATTCACAAAATAAGAGCAAACACCGATAAGGAGTCGCCGTCACTCCCCCGCCCCGGCGCCAGCGGCCTCTACAGCGGCCAGCCCGCGGCCCCTGCCCCCGGCCGGGCGGTGTCGCGTCATCCGCGGCGACGGGGATTCGGGATGCAGCGCGGCCTGCCGCGGCGACCGCGGCCTACTCGAGCCCACGCCACCGCGGGCACCGGCAGGCCACCCGCAACACACAGCTGCGCGCGGCTGGCAAAGGAGAGGGTGAGGGTGGTCTGATGGAACTTGGCCACGCTTGGTTCGGCTTTCAGAGGGGAATTCACTTGCGGTCGCGGGCAAGCCGGCCTACACCCTCATCCACATGGACGCGGACGACGAGCCAACGGCGCGGTCCAGCTCCAGCCACAGCTCCATGCCCGGCTTGAAGAGGTACGCGCCACGCTTCAGACTGATTACGAGAGTCGTTTTCGTCGCTCTGCCTCCCTCGCACCTTCAGGGGACGCTCTTTGAGTGCCAGACAGAGCGACGAAGACGACTCTCGGAATCAGTCTGTTAGCCGCCATCGAGTACTTCCGCGTGGTGGCGCGACCGCGAGAGGGGAGGACCGCGCCCACCGTCACGGCGCACTTGTGATAGCTCAGCCACGGCACGAGTAGTGTACAAACAGCAGGTGTCTGGGGCATGTCGTTGTCGTTTGCGATTTGCACGAAGAAAAAACAAATGAGGTTGTCGGGAAACGCGGGAACTACAGGGCCAGCCCGGGAGTTGAACCCGCGCTCTGCGCTCCGCGCCGCTCCGCGCACGATGTTGCAGCTGGTGCGGCCGGTGGGCGCGGCACCACGACGACGAGTCGGAGGCGCGCGCCATCGACAAGACGGGCGCCTGCAACGTGACGCCCGTCAACAACGTGGACCGCAACCGGCGCTTCATGCAGGACCTCTTCAACACGCTGGTGGACTGCCGCTGGCGCTACACGCTGCTCGCCTTCGTGCTGGGCTACGTCGTCAGCTGGATGGTGTTCGCCCTCATCTGGTTCGTGGAGCACTGTCTGGAGCCTGTCTGGCTTGCCCGTGCCGTAGGTGGCCGTAGGTCGACGTTGATGTTGCCGTCAGGTACCTGATCGCGGCCGCGCACGGAGACCTCGGGAGAGGCACGCCTGCGCCCGGCGAGCCTCCGCCCTGCGTCGTGAACATCAACGACTTCACGGGCTGCTTCCTCTACTCTGTCGAGTCGCAGATGACGATTGGCTACGGCACTTCGTACCCGTCGCAGGAATGCCCCGAGGCCATGTTCGTGCTCTGCATGCAAAGCATCCTGGGCCTCATCATCCAGGTACTGTACTACTGTAGCAAGCGCCCTGCGTCTCCTCTCGGCGGCGCCACCGTTCCTACAACCCTCCCTGCTGCAGGCCTTCACGGTGGGGATGGTCTTCGCGAAGCTGACGCGGCCGAAGCGCCGCTCGCAGACGCTGCTCTTCAGCCGGCGCGCCGTCGTGAACCTGAGGGACGGCCGCCTGTGCCTGCAGTTCCGGGTGGCGGACATCCGCAAGACGCACATGGTGGACGCGCGGCTCCGGGCGCACCTGCTGCACACGCGGCGCACCGCGGAGGGCGAGAGGCTCGACACGCACCGCACCGAGCTCAAGCTCACCGTGGACAGCGTGTACGGCAAGCTGTTCCTCATCTGGCCGCTGACCGCGGTGAGTGCCACGGGCCGGGGCTTCCCTCTGTCTCTCTGTCTCTCTTCGACTCAATGTCGCGTCGCGCAGGTGCACCGCCTGGACCACAACAGCCCGCTGTACTACCACTCGGCGCAGGACTTGCTGCGGTCCAAGTACGAGATCCTCGTGTTCCTCGAGGGCACCATCGAGTCCACCGGCCAGGTGGTGCAGGCGAGGTCCTCCTTCTTGCCGTCCGAGGTGCTGTGGGGACACCGTTTCGAGCCCGTGGTGCGGTGAGTGGGGAAATATTAGTTAATCGCGTCTGCTCTCACGTTACAGCGTTGGTAATAAATTCGCCTGTACAGATACGACCGCTTCCTGCAGAGCTACGAGGTGGACAACAGTCGCTTGCACCAGACCGTGCAAGTGGACGCCCCCCTGTGCAGCGCCTACGAGCTAGACCTCCTGTTTCAAGACCGTGCGCCCGTGGGCACGGACTACGGCATGGCCCCGGCCAACAACGCCTACCCGCAGTACAGCTACGGATACGCCGCCTACCCGGAGGGTTCCGACGCCCCCGACGGCAACGACCACGACCGCCACGGCCACGACCGCCACGGCCACGTCCATGACACGTACATGTACATGAATGCGGCTGTGTGATATTAAACATGCAAACCTCACGTCTTGGGCCTTCCCTTTGACCTCGTGTGCCTTCGCCCTGGACTTCCCCGCGAGTGCCGCGCGGCTTGTCACGGCGCACGGGCTGCAGCCCGAGAGTCGTTTTCATCGCTCTGTCTCCCTCGCACCTATACGGGACGCCCCATGAGTGCGAGAGAGACTCCTCGGCGTCCTCGGAGGGCCTTGCGGTGCGGCCGCACGCACGGTTGGGGGTGGTGGTTATTTTCGGACCCCGCCCGCAGCTTGGCTTTTGACGGTCATTGCCCGCCGTTCGACGCGGAATTTGAACTTCCCCGTCGGCATGCTTTCGCATGAGTTCGCCATAGTAGGCCTAGAATCTCGAGGCCAAGGGCAGTACGGAGCACGATGGGTTGCCTGCTTCGTGGGCGTTTGAGTCAGCCGCTTCGCTTCAAGCTAGTTGGCGGGTTGGCGGTTGGCGGCAGCCTGCCTCTGCTGGTACATCGGTCTAGTATCTACGAGATATACCGCCACTCGGTTATGTAGTTCTCTTTGTTTTCAGTGCATTCGTTGGGTGAAGGTGGCGAACCCAAACCAAACATAGGGAAGCGAAGGACACCTGGTCTACCTGAGATCGAGGTGGTCGAGACGTTGGGGGAGGCAGGCTGGAGGATGAAGGACGGAAGGACGGGGACGGGAGCGGGGGATGTGGGGGAGGCAAGGTACTGGAACGGCTCGAGCTCAACAAAAGCCTGCCCACGCCTGCTCGCGTTTTGTTTTTTTTTTTCTTCGCGTTTTTTTGTGTTTGCTCGCTGCTAATCCGGCACGAAGGTGGACCGAACGCCGAACGCCCGGCCCGGTCCAGGTTTGCCGCGGCCCGCCGCGAATCCTGCATCCTGCCGGCCGCAAGCTTGAAGCGGGCGCGACCGCAGCGCTGGAGCCTGCTGCGGCAGACATTTGAAGCTTGCAGTTTACAGTTAGTTCTTTGCGGGTGATGTGTGCGATGGACGCTAGCACCGCGTTAGATTTTCTATTTTGAGAATTAGTTAGTGAAGTACTTCAATCAGCTCATACCGGTCGACCACGATCGAGAATTGGGATAACATTGTTCGTAACCTATTGACATGTTCGTTTGATATTTGTGTCACATTTTCCCAACAACACGACACGACACATACGCTTCACCCACATGTTAATGAGAATGTTTTTACTGATCAGTACAAACTCAATTTAGTTTCTCGTTGCTTGGGCACCAATGCGCGTCCACGTAGTCCTTGACCAAATTCTTGAGCTTTGTTTCTTTCATTTCTTTATTTTTCTTGCAATTACTGCTGCGACTAGACAGTAGTGACGGACGGGATGCGTTGTCTCTGGTTTGGTGGCGGTAGACCTGTCAGGAACAGAATTATTCTCTAGAGGGGTGATATTACCTTACCTTTTCTGTTTCGTTTACTTTTTGCTGTAGTTCTCAGCCTGCATCTGTGTTCATTACTGTTAATTGGACTTCAAAATTGGACCCTTTGCAGCAGCGACAAATCTTGATTTGTATGGGCGCAGTTTCCAATTCCCCTTTGTTCAATAACTACCTCAATAAAATAATTTGATGATCATGCCATTGCTTGCCTTGCCATTTTTTAATTTATATCTATAATTTGAACCCAATTGCGCTGATTTTTGGTACTGCAGATTAAGGTTATGATGACCTTTGTCCGAATAATTTCTTTATACATTTTGTGCCAAATAAGTTGCAGCATTTTCTCATTTAGCTATTTTTTAAAAATCTCCTAATGATCATGAATATTTGTAACAGCTAGAATTGGAGCAATCACATATGCATCAGTGCCTTGGTTTAAAAGTTATTGTTAATTGAGGTCCTGCTGTTGGGTCTTAGCATGTGAAAAACGTAGCTTGTTAATGTGAAGCGATGTGCAAATGATGCTATAGTTGATGTTTCTGGAACTAAACTCTTGTCTAAAGGTCGAAGGCCACTCTACCTCCAGAAGATGTGATGTAAAATTGTGGCTAGTATCAAATTTTTTAAAGATTTAAAAAAAAATTGCTGCTAACAGATAGAAGAAAGATGTTTATGTAATATTTTGTTTGAGGTGGAGGGTTGTTATTCTTACTCTCTTAAGGATAGTTTTAATTTTGTGATATCAGAGGCCACAGAATAAGATAAAAGATTTTAGGAGTGCTGTGTATTAGAATTTTTTTTCATCCTTAAAGGTTGTGTGGTGACACTTGCCTTCAGTAACATCAACATGAATTCATCTTGGGATGAGAAGCTGCCAGCAGGCTTAAGATTTATGTTGACAAAAACAACCAAAGGGCGCATAGGTTTGATCATCGGACAGCACAAATTCAGGAAGGCTGGTGCTCAAAAGGACGGAACACTCGTATTCAGGTGAATATCAGTTTTCTAGTTTACAAAGTTTTGAGGATTTTGAAATATTTTCACACATTTTCTTGTCTTTTGACAGGTGCTCTCTAAAAGACTGCCCTGCTCGAGTAAATTTAGATGCTGCAATGCGCAGAGTGTTGCGGATTAGAAGTACCCACACTCACCCTGGTCGTGATTTGTCAGACATAATCAGTGCTCGGCTTCCATCTGGGCTTATTTCTTCAGACGGACAATTGGTACGTGTGTCATTGTCTTGGCATGCAGAGAAATATATATAAATTCGTCACAAAATTTTTTGGCAGTATGACACCAGGTCTGATATTCAATGGGTTTTCTTTATTCTTTATTTCAGGACCAAGAAGACAAAATTGGAAGGAAATCCCAAGGTTCTAAAAGGTACAGCTATGTGTTGTGTGCCATTCACTGCTGGCAGCTTTGCTTTCTCCCCTAAATCATCAAAATTATCTTTGTAAGGAGCCAATTTCTGCATGAAGAATATCACATTGAGTCATATTCTTTTATAAATAGTTTATTAATATCAAAGTGGTATTGTTGATTAATTTTTTTTTTTGCTTTTGGCCTTCTTTATTTTGTGGATACCAGCAATAATATTAATTGGCTGCTGGATCCTTTTTCTATGGAAAACTTTCAACTCTGAAAATAGTTAAAATATATTGATGATGGAAATATCATCTTTTACATTGAAGGAATCCCAATTATTTTGGATGTGGAAACCCTTTTCTTCTTCATTTGTGCGTGCAAGTGTGTGTGTGCGAGTGCATTCATTCAGGATTCAGGTTGACTTGGCTCATCCCATTGCATGTGACAGATTTAAGACTTGTTATTATCTATCTGTGCCTGTGGTTTACATGAATTTGGTTTGTACGTCAGAATTGATTTAGGGTAATCTGTGTTAAAGGAATTATACATAGAATTGACAAATGTGTGTTACTCTAAATATCTAGGTACAACTCAGTGTCATTTGCACATCCTGTTAAGAATGCTTTTTCTTTTGTTTTACTTCATAACTTCTTGCATGCTAAGCTCTGTGGTTATTTGATTGGACTGAATGCAGGCTGCAGCTAACTATGGTCATTGTTCTTATACCAACAGTGTTTACACACTCTCTCAAATCATTCCCTTCGCAATTTAAGTACTTTTTTCACTTGTGATAAAAGTTTTCCTGCGTTACTCACTGTGCTTTTGTGGTTTTCTCCAGTGTTCTAAAGTAAAATGAGAAGAAGTTTGCTGAAGAGACATTGAAATGTCGAACTTGGTACAAGCCCTACAGGGATTTCGGGAAGGATCTACATATTATACCACTGGGGATGGTTTCTACTATTGTTTAAATAGAACAAAAGGGACTAGAAAGTTTCTGAAATGCTTTCGACATGGGAGGTACAAGTGCATGGCTAGAGCATCATTTGAAGTAAATGATCGCCAAATGAGTGTTACTGTATGCCACAACCATGCACCTGAACCATGGGTTGAGGAGTTGCTGAAGGAGCGTCATGCTGTGAAAGGTCATGGATCTAGAGACCTTGACTTCTTCCAAATTAATTCATTTGGGAGGTAAGTTTCTTTCAAGATTTCCTTATAAGATGAACTAATTTGTTCCAATTGATTGATGTGTTTGTACATGTGTTTCTAGATATTCCTTTTCAGGTTTTGTTTGATGGTTGTTCAGATTCATGCTGTATTTCATCACAGCCTTATCAGTCCATCAAATAACTGCTCACTGTCTAGGTTTTCGTAGTATCTCAGTAGAAGTCACTATTAGTTTGAATTTTTTTTCCTCTTGTTTCCCAATTTGAAATAGGCTGTTTTGCCCCACTCAACATTTTTGTTATCTTTTTTCTTTATTTGTTTTGGTAGGAATTTTCAGGGAAGTTGATCATTTCATCATAGTGGTGTTTTTGAAGCTGAAAGCTGAAAGAAAAATGCATTTTAGATTTGTTTCAGCTAAGGGGGTAAAAAATTGTTTCTTTGTCATTATGTGTTGTGCACTCTGTTCGGAGACTGGAATATTTCTGTTGAACTTACGAATGTATGTCTGGATACAGCCGTAGGAAGAGTTCATAGAAGACATTTGCAAGATGAAATATTAATTACCGCCTTGGCAACTGACTTCAACCGCTGCCGCTGAAGTAGTGGGCGTAAATCCTGCTTTCTCTCCGCATCATAAAATTACTTCTGAAAATAAGAAGACTGGTGTTTCAAGCAAATAATATGAAGAAGTTATTCCAACGCTCATCAGACCTCTTTAAAACGAGTCTTCACCTTCATTTGGTGGACTCCGTCTCCTCTGCTCCTCCAGTGGGGAGAGTTGGCAGCATCGCTTGTTGTGTTGAGAGGTTGAAGTTTCTGTCTAGTCGGAACTTTCGTTTTAACTGTTTCTTCTGCCGTACAACTTGCCTTCGAACGTTTTCGCCGCTAAGAAAGACGCCTCTTGTACCTGAAAAACATTCGAACTTGACTCTTCTGTCAACACCGAACTCTGGCGAAGCAAAAGGAGCCTGAAGCCAGAGTTAGGTTAGAATGTCCCGGTCCCGCAGCAGGAACTGCCAATGGGACGCCCTGACGTTTTCTCCGTGAAATCGTGAATTGTGGTCTGAGCTGGCCGTTTTGACTGGACTATGGAAGAGTGCCCGGGCCAGCGCGATGGCAGCACCATCTACTACTTCGACGGACACATGTACCGCAAGAACAGGTCCACCGAGTCGTCTTCGTACTTTCGGTGCGCCACCCGCGGCTGCATGGGGCGCGTCATTCACAAGCATCGGCTGGGCACCATCGTGGCGGTGTCCCCGCACAACCACGACGCGGACCCCCACAAGCACAACCTGAGGCGGTTCCTGGCCGCGATGCAGCGAAGGGTCAATCTGGAAACCATTCCCATTCATGAAATTTACCTGCAGGAAGCGAGCAGGTGTGTGTGTGTGTGTGTGTGTGTGCACTGCGCACTGGGTGGATGGCACCATCCTTGGACTGAGTGGTCCGCCTCTTAATGAGCTACATGTTCATTGGACTTCAGGTTTCCGGGGATTGAAGAAGTGATGCCCTACCAATCGCTGCAGTTGCAAATGGAGAAGAGACGCAGGTTGCACGAGATTAACGAAATGAATCAAAGCACCGAGATGAAACAGCTTCATTTCTTAAACCTTTGTGATATTGAGGATATGACCAAGAGCATCAGAGCAAGGGAAGCCCAAGATCCCCTGTTTCTCAATGCATCTGGAGGCTCCATGTAGGTACCTGGCGCACCTCCTAAACTGCATGTCAAGTGTGATACCCAACAGTCTATGTGATATTGCGTTCTAGAAATTTTCTACCTTTGATAATTTTGCGCTGAATAATATTGCATTTTATTTCATGGAAAATGTTTCACATTTGTTTCTTTTAATATTATATGTTTCATTCATTGGTTAATATTGTATGATAAATGTGTAGCAAACTGAAGCCCGTACCTGTATTCCATTTGTAGATTTTTTGAGCTTAAGACAAAGTGCCTGAGGTTGCAACCGCCCTACTCTGTGTCAAGTAGAATAGTAATAAACTGGCTATGGTGATGGTTTCATGTTTTGAGTGGGGTTAAGCATTTGATGGTTTGGGCTTCTAGTGTTCTAGTTCTTTGTCTCTGTTCAATCTGTATGAAGCTTTTGAAGGAGACGAGCAAATGCATGGTGTATGAGGAACTCCTCTGCATGGTTTCAAACACAAAACACTTACACTTAACAGACACTTTTCGATTACCCAACTTTGTTGTCTGATATTGTCTTTTAAAGTAAATTTTCCTCCATTTTATTGTAGAGGTGATGATGGAATCCCATGTTGAACGATTTCTGGAGCAGCGCCTAGAGCATTTTCCTGACCATGTTTCGGACAGTAATTTTGATCAAAATTCAGAACTAAATAATGCACATCCAAGATGTGAAGTGACCATGAACAATCAGGGTGGGGATAAGCTTCACTTCAATGGTTATTCATACTCTAAAAAAGCCATATCAGCAAATGCTATCCGCTGGACATGTGCCACTCCCACTAGGTCTGACACAAGATGCAAAGGGGCCATCACTACAGACCGTGAGAGACCAGTAAGTTTACAAATGCATAAATGAATTGAATGTAGATGCTTTTGATATACACATATGCTGTTACAGCAAGACTTCTGTTTCTTACCTTTTGTTTTCTTGCATTACAGTACCACAACCCCAGGTCTTTGGTTGAGCACAATCACCCCCCTGAAGATTCTGAAGCTAGCATTATGAGAGATATTGCAAGAGCCAAACGTCGGTTTTGGCGTAAAACTTTCCCTCACCCGTTCCAGATCTACCCTTGGATGTTACCTTTGTAAGTGTAGCAGAATGTTGGTCAGCACGGGCAAAGCCTGGCTCCTGAGGCATTAAATTGTCTGAACAATGAATCTCTTGTTATGAATGATCAATTGTGTCGAGTCAGATCCAAACAATTAAGTGTGTTTTATGACAATAGTAAATCAACAAGAGAGTATATTTTTTTAAATCTGTGAATTTCTGTCTTTTTGTTAGGTTGTGGCTTGAATATTTCTCTGTTTCAATATTGTCTGTCATTGTGATTTTTGTCTATTTCCTAAATTATGTTTTACCTGTTGAACCTGCAAATGAATTCTTAATCATTTTACTACTTTAAAAAACTAAGATAAGAAGTAAGGATTATGTTGAGTAAATGTTTATGTTGTCTTTGAAGAATTTCTGTAATCTTTGTACCCACATACTCCACTTTTGCATATAATGAATCTGTTGTGTTGTGCACAAAAATGTTCTGACAGATCCACTTTTCTTTTGGCTGTCATTTGTATTGTCAACATTAAGTGTTTCTGCTCTTGAATGACTGTGATTCTTGTAACAATGGTATGAAATTATTTTAGCTTACTATGCTATGCAACATTGTGTCAAAGCATTTTCGCCAAAGTTTTTATCAGCAGGAGTATTAATTTTCAAGTCGTTTTTATCTACAGGACTGTAACAGTTTTTTACTTGAGAGCATGCAAGACTGAAGAGAGATCTATACTAATAAGACATTTCAGCCTTCTAGACAACAGCAGCATTGGAGTTCAGAATATTGTGCAACAAAGGAGTATAATGATGCAAGTTAGTGAAGTTTTTAATTTCTTTGTTCACAGGCAGCAGATGCAAGAGCAGTCCGGTAGCAGAGATGATCCTAGCTCTTTAGAAGCTACCTTTGGTATGGGGTAAGTAAATTAATATGATAATTTCGATCACCTATTTCTATTAGATTTAGACAGTCAGTCAAACGCTAGTGAATTGAAGGGGGTTGAAGGTGGGGAAGCCCATCCAAACCAACATGAACAATAGGTTGTCCTTTATTGTTTCAGACAGAAGCCCTTTTTTTTTTTTGGGGGGGGGGGATGAAAAATAATGATTGCTGGGTGGGAAGGCAAGGGATGGTTTTCTTGACAATTTCTTGTGTATGGGTTTAACTGGTAAGTCCAGCTTCTGAAATCGTCACGATTTTAACCCTGCGCGCCTGGGTCTGCTCGCGGTAGGCAAAGGGAAGGGATGTACGTTTGGCAACCACGCCCGTGCACATGTTGGCATCGTCCAAGCCCAAAGCCAAGCAAGCACTTTCCCCTTTCCCCGTCCAAAGTTAGCCGCGCGCCCCGTCCGCCTGCCTGCCGCCTCGCCTGCCCAACGCTCCCACGGCAACCACGGCACAGCTCCCACGCTGCGCTGCTGGCTCGATACGCGTTCGGCACTGGTTCGGCACCGCTTCGGCAGTCTCCGCTGCACTTCCTCCCTGCCCCCCGCCTCCCCCTGCCAAATGCCGAGCGCTCTCGGCGCAGTCCGCGCTCAGTCCCCCCGCTGCAGGCAGGCTGTGCCGACCGAGCACACTCACTACACTGTAGACGCCGCCGACCACGACGACGTTGACATGAAGCACCGCCGGCGGGAGCGAGACCCTTACGTCCAGCAGGGCCGGGTGGTCAGGGACGAGCGCGCCGTGTACATGAAGACGGCCCGCGGCGCCGTCAAGCTGGTGCTGGACGGCTATGTGTACCGCATCAAGCACAAGAAGCCGGGCGGCCGGGAGTACTACGCGTGCGACTTGGACTGCAACGCCACGGCCGTGGTGCGGCACGGCATGGTGCGCTCGCTCAGCGGCCAGCACCACCACGGCCCCGACGTGGAGAAGGACAAGATCAGGGGCATGTTTCCTTGCGGCGACCTCCATGACGCCGCGCCGGGGGGGTCGGGGGAGGGGGGCCCTGCGCGCAGAGCGCGCGGAGAGTCCCTGGCGGAGGTGGAGCAGCTCGACAATGACGAACCCGGATCCCCTAGCGGAACGAGCAGCGCTGCTTTCAAGGCGGAGTTTTCTGTCTGGGATGAAGATTCTAGGTAGAGTTTTAGGCACTGGGGCAATTCTAGGTTCAATCGCCTGCCTTTTAGGAGGGATGGGCTTCATGTTCAACAAGTGCTGGGAATTCCCTGAATTTGAGGGACGGATGTTGAATAGCTTCTCCCTCTATGATACAAGCTGTCTTGCATTTCTCATCTTATTTTTGTCTCTTTCCAGTGGGGCTGCTGGTATGACGGATCATCCTGAGGCTGGGCCCAGCGGCTACATGGATGATGATGTTAGGGTGAAGATGGAGCCTGAATGGGTTGATGCTGGAGCCCTGGAACCAAACTGTGAGCTGGAAGGACAATTTGAAGACAATCAGGACTTCAATGCCTCTTACTCAGAGGCTGGTTTGAGTGGTGCAGATAACCAGAATTTTCAAATGTATAATAGCCAGCAACAGTCTCAGTCACAGCAGTTACCTCTGGTAGGTACCTTTGAACTTTTGAATTAATTACTGTGGCTTGTGTGGGTAGTAATTTTACTATTTCTGTAACTATTGCAGATTCAGGATGCTCAAGATCCTGTTAAACTCCATGTTCCTGGTAAACCCAATTTAACCATTACTGTGGCCCCAACTCGTCAGGGGCCTAGCCAGAGCAGCAACACATCCATTTCTACACCACCACCACCACCTCTTCATTTGCTGAATCCTCTTCTTAATCGTAAAAGAGGAAGGCCTCGGGGAAGTGCTTATGGAAGCTACAGTGAAAGTGATGACAGAGTAACAACTATTCTCACTGATAGCATTATCGCAAGTCAGAAACTTGAAAAGATGGGTGTAACGGCTGCCTCTGCGTACCGCCCAACTCCAGTGAATGCAACGGCTATGCCTTCAAGCCTTGTGAAACCAAGGTCAAGGGACCCAGAAGCAGTGAGAGCAGCAGAAATTGTCAATGGTGCCCAGAACAGATCAGGACCACGAGTCACAGAGTAAGATTTAAAAGTCACCTTTTACATTGAAATTCTCAGTTTTCCTGAGCTGTGAGTGTTGGGAGCCTAGTTACTAATAAATTAATTTTTCTTTTTGATTTTTACAGAGAACTGGAGAAGGTCCACCTAAAATTAAGACAAGAAGTGCTGGCACTTGAAGTTCAAAATTTGAAAGCAGAGCGAGAAAAACTGAAAGCCTATCGACGTAATGTAGCTATTCGAAGAGAGATAATGGCTCTGCATTTACAGCTAGGGAAGGGCTTCCCCTCTGAATGTGCAAGTAGTGGTAGAGGATTTGAGACAATGGACACTTATGATAATTTCATGGATACTGATTGTGATGTGGATTTCAGCCCACCAACTAAAGACCCAATTAGTCTCAGTAAAAAATTACCTAATGTATCAATCACAAGGCAACAAGCAGGTCAATCGCCCAAAATTTCAATTCGGAAATCACTTCAAACTTCAAGCCAGTCCCCAAATGCATCACCAATGTCCATGAGTTCCAGTACTAAAGGTGTGACTCCACCACCTGCCAGTGTCAACAAGCCTGTCGTTGAGACTAAAGATCAAGGTGAAAGTTCACAGTCCTCTGGCAATAAGAGAACCCATAGCAGTGACAATAGGCAAACAAGTACAGGCAGGCGAAGTAGTGATAACAGATCTCCTGTGGATAGTGTAGAAGACCAATTGGGAAGCAAATATGAAGATAACCACAAACCTAGTGTTAAATCATCAAGTGACCATCAAAATAACCAGGAAAATGAAAGTAAGGGTAGTGGAGAGAATTTCTCTCAATCCGGTGATACAGTGAAAGATGAACTTGTGCCATTAGATTCAGTCTCCTCAGATTTGAGTATAGAGATGCTGTCAGAGCCGGGTTCAAGTCAATGGACTACTCAATCTTCTGCACCCATGACTGAACATGAAGGTTTTGATGATATCCACTTTGAAGGAGACGACAGTTATGATAATACAGGTAGCATAGGTGAATTTTCTGGTGAGCCAGTTGCGAAGGAACCTCCGGACGGACAATACAGCTCTTTTGCCGAAGACCCAAGCAGCCATAAGCGAAGAAGAGTTGAGAATATGTGGGAGCCAGATGAACCATTATGACCGGCTCATCAATCATCAGCATCATAATCAGCGATGCTATTTTACTTGCCATGTGTCCTCATTTAAGCTTTTCTTTTTAATTTTTTTTATTATGGCCCATTGCTTTGAGTGTTTGGTCTGTGTTAAGTCTGATTTAAACCTTTTTCTTGTGATAAAAAGTTATCAGAAGTTGACTGAATCAATAAGTGCTTCTATGCTTCAGGTTTGTTTTTTAATGTCATTGAATGTTTGGACGTGGCATAGGTACTTAAAATTCTTGACTTCAAATGTGACTGTTATGTAGATTTAGTTTGATGGATGCAGGACATCCAACTCTCTTTACCTGTGGCTCTGACTATTATCTTCATTAGGTTTGCTTTTAAAACAGCATTCTAACCCCCACTAATACAAATGAAGAGTTTTAAGTTTTGTTAAGGCTGTGCAAGACTCATTCCACTTTTAACATACAACAAGCCTTTTTGTTGTTATTTTGTACCTGCTAAGTATCTGGATTTCCTTCTCAGTATTGACCTAACAAAGTGATTAAATTAATGTCCCTAATTTTAAAGAGCAGTAATAATGAACCGTAAAGTGCCTCATTTCTATAAAAGAAAAGATTCAAAAAAAGAAGTCTTTGATTTGTCAACATTGAAATTATTCTTGTTAAAAATGTGTTTTTATTACCTGTTACAGTGCAATACTGGAATGCACTTTGTGACAGATTGGTGAAAAATGTCTCTTCACCAGTTTCATGCAACAAAGACCTGCCTGAAGTGACTTCTATATGATGACAGCTTGAATCTCTACTTTCTCCTGACTTTGTCTGGATATTAAACATGTCTAAATTCACAGTTGATTTACTTTAGTTTCCCAAACTGTAAATAAGTAACTTTTGTAGTTAATTATAGTTAAAATTAAAAATTAACTTGAACCTCTGATGTTTAGTAGGCCTTGTGTTGTACATACAGCATTAGGTCAACCAATTCCTGTTGCAAATTTTGAAAACAATATGATTGCTTGGTTAGATTGTTTTTCTTTAATTGCATTTAAGCACAGTTGTCTGCTTAAGATCTCAAATTGACTACTTGAAATGGCCCAATTGTGACACTCATGTCCATTTTGTACAATGCAAAGTGAGAATAATCATGTTCTCAACTGTATAAATACAAATAATAAATCATAAGGATAAAAAATAATACTTTCCAATATTTTATTTCACTTGTGTAATCCGTGAGAAAATATCTGATTGAACTAAACAGTACATTATTCATCTAGCACAATATCTCAATTGTTTGTTAAAGTCAATGGGGAAAACACTGGGTGCTTATCAAATGTTACCTTGAAGTGAGGAGGGAACGGAAAAAGTTGGAGGTGTGGAAGGTCCCACCGAGATTTGAACTCGGATCGCTGGATTCAAAGTCCAGAGTGCTAACCATTACACCATGGGACCGCCGGTGGAGGGGACGGGCGGCCACCTAACCTGGCGCGAAGCGCTCGAGCCGCAGTGCGCGGCGGCGCTTCCTGGCGGCAACGTTTGAATCGCGGCCGGCGGCGCGCTCCGCTCCGCGAGTGCACTCTCGCGTGTAATTGCCCACTGGCGATGCCGCGGCGTTTAATCTTTTGAGGCTGCTTTTCAACACTCGCCAGCTGGCTCGCCGTGGGGCCGTGGGCGGAGTCGGGGTGCGACGAAGAGGTCCGCTAAATCGCTCCCGTGCTGTGTCTTTCCGCGGGGGAGTGTCCATAATTTCCCGGAATTCAAGCCAATAATTTCGAGGAAAGCGTCCGCAGTGTAGACGACACACATTATTGTTATTTTTTAGGGGAGGGAATTCTCTTTTGGGTCACCACGTACCTCTTTTCTGAACTGTCCTCTCGAATCGTTTCCAGTGAGGTTGTGCCCTCCAGAGCGACAGATTAGTACCTCCCTGTTCGTTCCCGAGGAAAGTGGAAGGGGGACCGAGCGCGGGTATCGGCGGCGTAGAGAGGGTCAGGGAAACAATGAATGGGCGCTAGGTGGAGTGGAGGCGACGGGGGGCAGGGAGGAGCCGCAGGGAGAGGTGACGACGTTCGAGAGACGCGATCAGAATGAACGGGCTTGGGAGGGGAGCTTTGGCTGCTTTGGCACCGTGGTGTGGCGTGGCCCCACCACCGTACGCCCAGCCCAGGGGCCCAGGGGAGACAATGGGGACGTTATGCAGACAAACTATGCTCTCGGCGTGAATGGCGCCCGGGATAGGGGGTGGGGTGGGCCGGGGTCCCCGAGCCTCGGCGGCGACTGGCGACGGCGATCGGCTAAGCCCTCGACCTCTCAATCGTTGGCCAATCGAGCGCGACGTCACCTCGCGATCGTGGTTTCGAATACCAGTGACTTTTAGTAGGTAGAAAATGTCAGCCAATTTTTCCACTCCTTGGCCGTGCTTCAAGTGGGGCGCGCGGCGCGTGCGCCGAGCCCCCTGCCGAAGTCAATGGTTCGTGCGGATTCCGATTCAACTCGCCCGGCCGCGGTGGCACTGAAGGGAAGGCCCAGGAACGGCTTGGCCTGGCATTCTCCGAGGCGCGGCGACGCGTGACGCGTGCGGCACGCGGGCGACGCGAACCTCGCGGATGCGCGGCTTTGACGGTGGGCCGTCCGTGGGCCGTGATGGGCCGTTAGAGTGCAGTACTTCCTCGCGCTCGCAGCTCGCAGCTCGCGGGCCACAGGCCACAGCAGGAACGAGGGTGCGAACACAGGGCCCTGGTGCAGGGGGAGGAGGTCCAGGCCCCACCACTGGTCCGCTTGTTCGCTTCGCTTCCCGGAACCGGTTCGCGCGGGATGCCACCGCGGCGGCCAACGCCACGGGCAATGCCAGCACTGCCCTGCCAGCGCGTCGAGGGGCTGCGGATGCTGCGGACTGCAGAGCGACACGCGGACCCGCGTCCTGCAGCGTGCTGCCCGTCAAGAACGTCATCGCCGATGACAGCGCCAGCACGGATACATCAGGCGCGGTGCGTGAGACACTGCCACACTACACGCGCGTCGCTCAGTTTGCACGCCTCGCCAGGACGGCTTATGGCGAGGGGTGTATTTTAGGAGCAGCATCCCAGGCGGCCAAGGCGCTGCGCGGCGCTGCCTGCGGCGGGGCGCTCGTTTAACGCGGCCCGACCAAAAGGATGAAGAGGATGCTAGAAGTAATGAGGGACAGAAGACAGAAGGGAGGGCAGGACGGGCAGGACAGAGGGGGCATTCTAGAGAGGGCGGGCGGCGCTCTCGCAAGAACACGATGTGTCCCTCACCCCGCCCCCCGCCAGGCCAGGCCCCAGGCCGCCACCCCCGCGGTGCAACATACTGCAGTGCCTCGACTTTGCGCCGCGGCGCCATCACCTCGGGGGCGACCCGCCACCCCGCCCAGCCCCACGCGCCGACGCGCCCAACACAAACACGCTAAATAATGGACATTCGGCGACCGCCGCGCCTCTCTTTCTCTTTCCCATTGGCGCCCACGTGGCCGCGATCGCCTAAATATTAGTGTCTCCGCGCGCCATTTCTCTTGGACGCCGACCAAATTGTTTATCTACCCGTGAACAGCGCGCTCAGATTTTGTCTCTCGAAATGTTGGGGCTCTGGCCCCTCCCGAGCAACAGACAACCAGGACAACCAGCGTGTCCGTGGTGTCGAGAAAGACGCCGCGCTAGACCGTGGGTCATACGCGGTCCGGCGGCAAAGTAGCCTACACTGTACTCCACGCGGCCAGCCGCGACGAGACGAACCCGGCGGAGGCGCCGGGTCGTAACTACCAGCAACTTTTAGGCGTGTCATAACAGAGCGACGGACGCCCCAGGGGAAAATAATATGATGCATGGGCGGGTGCTAAGAATGATGCCGGCAGGAGACAGTTGGCAGTGGGCAGGGCCGGCAGCAAGGCATCCCCCTCCCCCTCCCCTCCCCCAGCTCATCATCGCGGCCCGGACAATGCTATTTATAATGAAGAGTATCCGCGCGGCCCATATCGCACGGCAGCGCAGCGTCACGCCCCGCCCCGCCCCGCCCCACCGCGGGTATCCAATGAGGCGAGGCAGACGCAAGGCCCCGACTTGTGTTTCAACAACGAAGTGCATGCTGCAGGAAGACGAAGGCGAAAGACGACCCCGCGGCGGCCGGATAAGCGAGGCATGCATGCGTGATTGCGTGCTTGCCTGCTCGCCGTGGTCCAAGCTATGTGCCGCGGTGGGCGAGAACGGCGAGAACACGGAAGACACCAGCACGCACCTGCGCCCGTCCTGGGTCACCCAGTGGCCATCATCGGCGATGATCCGTCCGAGGAATGAGTGGGGCCGACCTGCCGGCTGCGGCCACGCCCCGCCCCGCCCCGCTACGCCCCGCCACGCCGCGGCGCCACTAGTCGCGCGCGTTATTTATCACCAGTGGCGGCGAGGCGCGGCGTGGCGCCGGCTAGGTAGCAGCACGCATTCTTTTGGCGGGAGGGAAGGCCTTTGAGCGAAGGGGGCTTTTATGCTGCGATCCTTGTTCTTGTGTGAATCCACCCCACTCTGCCCGCGGCCCGCGCACCGAAATACCCCGCGAGTCGCTCCGCGAGTGCGACAGAGACGGACAGAGACGGAGAGACGGCGCGAGACACGCACGGCGATTCGCCACAAACTGGCTGTCCCGGCCGTCATCAAAGGCTCGCGGCAAATGAGAGATTGTCAAAAGGGTCTCAACACCCCTGCGACCCCTGCGCGGCTCATCTGCCGCTCAGGCACGGCGGCAGGCGGCAGGCTGCTGCAAGCTGCGCGCCGCCCGTGGCACGCTGCGCACCGCGCTGCACCTCGCCGAGCCTTGTCCGCTGGCCGGCCGCGTGGCTGTGTATTTCTGGGGCTTCTCCTCGCGACCCGTCCGTCGGGCCATGGTGCTGGCTGCGTTTGCCCGGAACCACCCTGTGGGTGGACACGACGGCCTCCACGGCCACGAGGAGGAGATGAGCGCGGCGGGCGGGCGGCGCCAGGACAGCTGGACGCACTGGCGGTGGCGTCTGTGCCGGCGCCGACCCGCTTGATGCAATAGTGGCCTCTTTGATGGGCGGCGCGCACCGCCGGCGGGGCCCCTCTGCCTCTGCCCGTCCGCGGCAAACGGCCCAACGACCAAGCGACGGCACCCCGAAGGTCAACTCGGTCCGTGGTGAGCGGCAGCATGGCGGCGGCGTGCCCTATGGCGGTCCATGGTCGAGGTCCATGGTGGCATGCCTCCCTTTCGACCTCCGTTCCGCGAGCCAGCAAGCATGCCGTCATCGGTCCGCCGGTCCGCGAAGCACTCCGCGAGTGCCAATCGACGCGACGACGGACTGAAGACTGACTCCGAGAGTCGTTTTCGTCGATTTGTCTCTCTCGCAGACGCCCCATGAGTGCGAGAGAGACGGAGCGACGAAAACGACTCTCGGAATCAGTCTCCTGGGGGAAGGAGGAAACTGGCGCCTAGCGAGGGCGAGTTACTTGGAATACTCGGGACTGCACGCTGGAGTGGTCTTCGATTTGAGTCCAACTGTCAGGGAGCTTCGATGTGAGCGAGAGGGAACGTGTTGTCGGTCCCGAACCAAACAACTGAGAGGCGTTCATTTCTAAGACCAACAGTGGGTGCGCCGGGGTGGTGCCTTCCAGGTCGCCGAGCTGACCGGAAGTGTGGTGACAATGGGCGACGGCGGACGACGCCGTGGGTGGGGCTCGCGGACCTCGTCGCGGACGCTTGTCGTCAATCGCACGACCCACGTGACGTGACGCGTGACGGCACGGCGCAGCGCGCGGCCATTCGACGCCATTCCACCGTTGCACTGGTGCACCGCCTTGCCTTCTCGATGCCACGCCACGCCGTTGCCTCCGCACTGCAAGCGCCGCAACAACCGCGTCGACGGCGTCCTCGCATTGCCTTGGCCGATGCATTTCCTCATAATTGACGGCGTCATAACGCCCAAACCAAACGAGCCGAACCGAACGGACGGGACGAACCAATGAGGGCTGTGCCAATGAGGGCTGTGGACGGCGGCCGGAGAGAGAGGGAGAGAGAAAGGGGGAAGGGGTCATGGCACGCAGGCAGGCAGGGCAGGGCGTGTCCAAGTGGTCTGTTTTCTGCGGCTCAAGGGGGTCAATGGGCTCTGCCCTGCCGCTGCCCGGCAGGCCCTGCCCCTCCCTTCGGCCCTGTCCTAGAGGTCCTACACGATAGAAGGGGCCACGGGGCGCCCATAATGTCCACGAGAATCGGAGCCGGGCCGTGTCGTGTCCCGGGTCCCGGGGTGGAAGGCGCGGCGTCGTGGACGGGACGGGACGCCCGTCGGCCCAGCGCCGTGCCGCGCCCCCGCCGCACCCCGCCGCACCCCGCCGCACCCCGCCACGCCCCTCGCCGCGGCCTGCAAGCCCGGCCGGCCTGGCCGGCCCGGCCGTCTCCGAGGTGCGGCCGGCTCGGCGGTGGGGCCGGAGGGGCGCGGCGTCGCGGCACGGCGGCGCTGCAGCGCGGCGACGGCGACAGCTGCGGTTTGTTACAGTCCGCGTTGTGTCTGGTGCGCGCGCGGACGTACCGCACCGCGCAGCGAGCCCAGCGCAGGCCGCGCCGCGTCCCAGAACAGCTCCCGACTGCGGAGACGCCGCGCCGCCGTCGCCAAGAGCAGCACCACAGTGCAGCGATTGAGTGCAGTGTCCGGCCAATCCGTGTTGAACTGACAGCCGCCGAGGCGGGGCGGGAGGGACTGATTGCATCAAGTGCGTCTTGGTCCACTGGCTACCCCGGCCAGCGCCCCGAGTGCGTCTTCGCGCCTTCGTGTCGGGCTTCCTGGCTGGAACCGGCATTGCCAACTTCCACCGCCGCCAGGCGTTCGAGGCGTTCGAGGCGTTCCAAGCGTGAGCCGGCATATATGGTCGCGGCACCAGAGGGGCCCAGCCCCGGGGGCGACCGCGCCTTGCACGCCTCGCTCGGCCCTGACGCCAGCACGCCGTGCTGAATAGCCGAGTAGTCGAGTGTTTGCACACGCGCCGGGCGTACCAGCGACACGCCGCCAGCAGGCCAGCACCAGCCAGTCGTGCCGCCGTGCCCCGCGCCGCGCCGCGCCATGGACACGCGCGCCGCCACGTCCCGGAGGCCGAGCTAGAGCCCCTCTCCCTCGCCGCGAGTGCCGTACATCACCATGACAACGACCGGCAGCCTCCTGGTGCGGCTGCTCACCGCGGCAGGTGAGTCGCGCAGTCAGCCTCCCGGCCACGGACCACGGCCATGGACCACGGCCATGGACCCGGCCATGGAGCAGCGACACGGCGACATGAACCACATGGCGGGGAAACCAGCGAGGGTGGCGCCCCTTGCGGTCGCAGAGTTCGCACTAGTGCTTTCAATTACGGGGTCCGCACTCGGCCCGGCGCCGGCGGCCTCGTCGGCCGATGTTCATTTCATCCTAGAAAAACAAGAAAGGGGGGGGGCGTAGTGGCTGTCACCCGCCCACGCGCGACATGACGGGCTGAAACACGCCGTGCATCACTCTGGATTAGCGCCGCGGGCGCAGCGCCACGCCGCGTTATGCAGGGCTGGCCGCACCGCGCCAGATCGCTTTATGCGTGCGGGGTGCGGGGCACACTCGGCCGTGTGGACGAAAAACAAGGAGCGAGTTTGAAGAGAAAGCACGGCTCTGCTATTTCAGTGCGTCACTTATGCACGCCTGCCACCACCGGGCTTACGGCTCACGCCCGAGCGCCGAGTCGCGCCGTCAGATCGCGATAGAGTTGCCGTTCGTTGAGAGGCAAGTGTAGCCGGTGCGCCCATTATTGGCCGCGGCCGCGCCATCACCGCGGTGTCGTCGGCTGTCTTGTCTCCCTCGCTCCTGTGGGGCATCCCCGAGGTGCGAGAGGGAAAGACACTGCGGCCGGGTGGGCCGGGGCCAAGTGGGAAGAAAGGGCCGGAAAATGGACGCGTCGTGCGCCAAGCTGCTGCCACCCTCGTAAAGCTGGCCGCCACGCACCGCCACGCGTGCAGCGTAGAACGTCCTGCTCACTCAGTCGTAAACATCCGCAGTGCCGTGCCGCGCCGCGCCACCGCGCTGCGTTAAAAGTTCTGACGGCGCGGCGCCGAAGGACGCCACTCGGCCCCTCAGCGTGGCGCCCGTTGCCGCGGGCCACACAATGGCTCCCGAATTCCCAAGGACTCGGGCAGCCAGACTCAGGCTGATTCCGAGAGTCGGTTTCGTCGCTCTGTCTCTCTCGCTCCTGGAGGGGAAGTCCTACGAGTGGGAGAGAGACAGAACGACGAAAACGACTCTCGGAATCAGTTTGCTGGCTGGCTGGCCGGCTGCTGGCCAGCCACAAAGCATGCGTGCCCTGGACCAGCTCGCCGGCCCGCAGTTTGTGTGCAGTTTGGCGGTGGCGTGGGGCTGGACCCCTTTTGCCCAGTCCTCGCGGTCTAGTGGGCCTCGGCTGCGCCCCGGCCTTGCCACCCGCGTGCTCGGCGTGCTCGGCGACGTCCTGGCCTCATTACCGACCGGCAGCCACGACCCCTGGACCCTGGACAGGACGGCCACTCCAGGCCGCGCCTGCACTGCAAGGAGCCCCGCTCCGCACTCCGCCCCGCTTGGCCCCTTGCGGTGGGCCGACGTAGGCAACCCGGTGGCAGCGCTGCGAGCTGCTGGCCTACCTCGCAGGCGTTCCGCGTTCCGCGCCGCAGCTGCCCGCAGCTGTCGCTTTACGTTCGACGGCGTTGACGTGGACCGGTCTCTGGCTTGACGTCCCTCTGTTCCCTCGGCAGCCCTGCTGTGCTGGTGCTCCGGGCCCTGCCTGGCGCTGCGGGACGTGCTGCTGCAGATGCCGCCCGTGGCGCGCGCCGGCAGCAGCGTCACGCTCAAGTGCCTGTACGACCTGGAGAACGACAAGCTGTACGCCGTCAAGTGGTACCGCGGCAACTTCGAGTTCTACCGCTCCACGCCGCACGAGAGGCCCGCCAAGCAGGCCTTCCCTTACCCGGACTTCCACGTGGACGTGAGTAGAGCGGCTTGAAACGGCTTCGATGGTTCGATCGGACGGGCCGCTGCCCTCCCCGATCTCCGTTCAGGGAGATAAGTCGGCAGGATGCTGAAAACAAGTTGTAAAAATGATGCATGCCCATTCCCCAGCTGTCGCGGTCGGACGAACACCAAGTGACGCTGAACCGGGTGCCGCAGTACATATCGGGCACGTTCTCGTGTGAGGTGTCCACGGACGCCCCGAAATTCACCACTGTCGTCAAGAACGGACAGCTGGAGGTGCTCGGTAAGGCTGCCATCTGGCTGCTCAGCTAGCCCGGTGTGTTGACGGCGTGCTCATGCTGCCTCTTCTCGCAGACACCGTGAGGCGGCCCCTGCTCACCGTGTCCAAGGACCTGTACCGGCCCGGTGACGTCCTGGAGGCCAACTGCACCTCCCTGTCGCCGGCCAGCGCGGACCCGGAGCTGCACGCCGACACGGCCATCGCGGCGACGCCGCACGGCCGACGCCACCCCCACGGCGGTGCCTCGCTGCTGCCTCAGGCGCCGCCCCTGCAGCCGCACCAGCTGAGCGCGCTGCAGCGCGCGCACCTCCAGAAGGACTTCGGCAGCGAGGCGCCCATGTCCTTCAGCTTCTGGGTCAACAACAAGCCGGTGAGCGGCGAGGCGGCGTGTACTTACGACGACATAAGCGTCGAAGCCGCGGGTAGCAGAAAGTACATTGAATCTCGTCGCGTTCCAGGTGCCGGGCGCCATGGTGCGCCAGGGTGCGTCCAGCGCCACGCTCACGCGCCCCGTCGCCGAGGACGACTTCTCCGTCTCGGGCGAGCTGCGCATCAAGTGCAGCGTCACGCTGGCCGGCAAGTACCGCGAGCCCAGCCACGCCGTCACCGTGCGCCGCCAGGAGGAGGACGACGAGGACTGGGAGGAGGGCGAGGACGAGGAGGACGAGGCCCCCGGCGTGGAGGAGCCGCCCGTCGTCACCGAGACGCACGCCGCCGTCAACGCGGTGCTCCCGGACCCGGCCAACCGGTCCGGCGGCGCAGGTGAGGGCAACGAGGGCCACGACCAGCCCCAGGACTCCGAGTCCCATTTATTTGACCGCAAGCTCTTTATTTGTTTATCGTTTGCAGGCGCGGAGGGCCTTGCGTCCAGTCCAGTCGGCACAGTGCTTCTGATACTATCGGTGCTCTTGGCGCGATTCCAACTCCCAAGATAAGGACCTGGTGAAGGGGTGTTACACCTCCGATGTAAATCAATGTAAATATAGATTTATTATTTGTAAGGTTTGCCCCTCTCACTGATTACTTTCAGTCCCAACGTCCCCCGACAACAAGTCTTGGCTGCCCGTCGAGACGTGAGCCTGGATTAGGCAGACAGGCCGACTGAATTCAGAAAATTGCTTTTGCTGCAGTCGAGGTGGGGCCGCGTTGTTTGCTGTCCGCCCACGCGGCAGGGCACTAGTATAGCCTACAGCCTACCTCGAGGCGTTGGGAGAGGGGTGGCGGGGCGAGGAGGGCTACGTGGGACTAAACGCTCACGAATCGCGGACTTTACTTCGCGATAACGTATCGGGGAGCGGGGGGCAATCTCTCCAAACAGCGGGCAAACGACTTACACGGTGTAAGTGTGGGGCTGCTGCTGTAGCAGTGACCTGACGCGCCGGGAGCTTCAGGAGTCCTGGCTCCATCGGGGCCACCAAGGCCAGGCCGCTGGTCTGCTTCCGAAGCATCGCATCGTCGCTCTGTCTCTCTCACACCCATGGCGCGCCCCGTGTAAGGGCGCGAGAGAGACAGAGCGACGATAATGCTTCGGAATGTGGTGGCTGGCCTGCTCTGCTAGCGCTGCCCGCCCCTGTCTACCTGTGCGGCGCGTGCATGCGCCTAATGACCTAGCCTGAGGGCCGGAGGCGACGAGGCGACCGGAGGCTCTCAACCGAGGGGTCGTCGTCGTCCTTGCATCGGCCAGCGAGGCGAGGGGGCTCTGGGGCCGCCTTCCGTGGAGGACAAGCTGGGCTAGGTGGCCGAGTTGGACGTCCAAGGTCCAAGGCGAGGAGGGGCAGCTCAGCTCCTCGGGCAGCTCCGGGCAGCTCGCTCTGCTCGCCTGCCCTTTGCGCTGCACCACGCTGCACCTGTTGTCGACTTCCTTTTGTTTGGCATACGCGGAATATGGAGGACAAAGCGAGGGACACGGAGGCCTTGAGACAGTCTGGTGGGGCGTAGCAGCGTACTGTAGCGCGCGGGGATCTGCCCGCAGAGGGCGCGGGGGAGGGAGGGGCACGGGCGCGGGCAGGTGGAGGTGGGGCTTGTGGGGCGGCCCAGAGGCCCCGCGGACAGCGGGCCGGTGACCTGCTACCTCTACCTGCCCAGACTCCCCCCTCCCTTTCCCCCGACGTGCCTCCGGTCCGAACCGAGAGACTTGGAGTCATGCGCGAGGCCCCCTTTCTACCCTCCCTTGCCCCTCTTCCTCCTCACTCCAGCACTCCACTCCACTCCAGTCCCAGTCCACCACGGCGTCGGCGTCGACTCGGCGTGCCGGAGAAGTCCATCAACAGCATCTGTCTCGTCGTCGTCGCCCGTCCAGTTCAACTGAGTCGTGGACCCCGACTCAACTTTTGCCAAGGACTCTGTACCTTGCACACAGAGGTGGTTTGAGCCAAGTTTAATCTAAAACTGTGCTGCAGAGCAAAACAAGTTTCCGCTACTATTTAAAAGCTTGAAAAAATTGTGAAGTGATGACTGTCTTGGTCGTTTGATCTGCATGAGATTCTGACTTTTGCATGATGTGCGCAAGAAATACTACCCATTGCCCTGGGGACAAAGGGATTCCTCGTCTTCTTGAAGATTTGCAACGACTTGCTGAAGACCACGAATCTGCTGATGTTGTTTTCCTGGTGGGCAGAGATGAAGTACCAGTATATGCTCACAGAGTAATTTTAATGGCACGGTGTAAAAGTTTTCAGACTGCGAAAAGGGGAGAACTTTGTCGCATTCCAGGATGTTCTGTTGCTCCGGCAGCACCAGGGACACCTACTCCGGTTCGACTTCCCCAGTTCCAAGGGGACACCTTCAAGTTGTTCACACGATATGTTTACACAGGCACAATAATGCTTCAGGATAGTGCTGTGTTTGAAATGCTCACCCTTGCACAAGACTTGGGAGTTGAAGAACTTAAAAACTGTTGTGAGGATCACGTGTCATCTACACTTTCAGTTTTGAATGCATGTACTTTTCTCGCAGCTGCTCTTGACATTCATGATCGGTCATCAGGTGGTAAGGGAGCAAAATCTTTTGTTGACCGGTGCACCTCCTACATTGGTGAAAATGCATTGGAGTGTGTCCAGACCAACTCCTTTTTAAACTTACCAAAAGAAGCATTACTGAAATTAATTTCATCTGACCATTTAGTTTTGGAAGAAGAAGATGTATGGAGAGCGGTACTGAATTGGGCAAAGCACCAAGCAGGTGTCACGCAACCAACAGCGCACTGGACAGAAGAAGAAAGAGTAAGGGTTTGCCAACATCTTGCAGGTGTCATTAATCATGTCAGACTACTCCTCATTGACAGTCAAGTTTTTGCCGAAGAAGTTGAGCCTACTGGAGCTGTCCCAATGGAATTATCCCTTGAAAGATACAGGTATGCTGCACTCCCAAATAAATTCAAGGAAAGGTCAGAAGACAAGCGATTGCAACCTCGAGTTTCATTAAGACTGTTTCCTGGGACTCAAATTCTGATAAAGGAGAAGACATCTTTTCAACGCACACTAAATTCATGGTATGGAAATACCAAACAACAATGGAGATTACTGTTTAGAGCATCAAGTCATGGTTTTTCTGCTGATGCCTTTCATAGACATTGTGATGGTGTTTCACCAACATTTGTGATTGTTATGGGCACAATGGGAGACATATGTGGTGGTTTCAACGATGTAGCATGGGAGAAGCCAAGCACCAAAAGTCACTATATCCAATCTGATAAAGCTTTCCTGTTCACATTGACAAATTCATCAGGACTTCCACCAACAAAATATAATATTCAAAAGAAGCCCTATGCTATATGTTATCACCCAGGTTGTGGTCCAGTTTTTGGTGGTGGGGCTGATCTTTTCATATCAAACAACTGTAATACAAATAATGAAAGTTACTCAAATTTGCCCCATTCTTATGATGGAGACGGGGCTTCAAGCAGTGTACTTATGGGTGATTATAACTTCACTGTCTTAGAGTATGAAGTATTTGCACCATCAAATAAATAATAATTTATATTTCTAAAATGTCTCAAGTGCTATTAAACAATTTGTACTAAGATAATAATATAATTAAGTCAATAGTATGTATGCTTGGATCACTGGAAAAAATTGTAAAATGGATAAATAAAATTTATTTTATTTCAAAGGCAGCAATTATTATGTACCAAATTTTTAATCCTCAGCTGACTTGAGCTTGGAAATAAAAGACACAGCTAAATAAATTAAAATACTGTAGTGCAAATGAATATCACAGATGAAAAGAACACTCCACATGAACATTTGACTTAACTCATGTATGGTGATGGATGCCTTACTAATTAAAATGCAAAACATTAAATTATCAGGGATGCAGAGGAAAAGTCTTCTTCAACAATGTACGTAACAGGCAGATGATTGTTGCTCTGTAAAAGACAAGTAGTACAAAGTTACAAATACAGTTATCTTAAAAGGGAAAAAAAAGAAGAAAAATAAAAAGAGGTACAATGACTAGTACATACCTCAATAAAAGAATACTGTGCTTGTTCTGGAAGTGTGTCACAAGCATTATTCACAACTGCATTACTGACTTCAACTGATCTTACAGTTTTAACTGGGTCATCAGAGTTTTGTGATAATCCTCTCTGCAACCTTCTCCAAATAGTAGTCTTAGGAACCTATGACGAAAAAATAAAGATTAAAACACCAGTATAGATAATTAAAGAAAATCTAAAAAATGTGTACACACCTGATAAGTTATGGATGCCACTGTTTGTGACATTTTACCTTCTTGGCATGCAGCTACAGCTTCTTTTAGCCTTGAATTTTTGGTTGAATGAAGTTGAGGGTCTCTTTTTTTAAGACTAGTCCAGGGCAGTTTTCCAGCCTGTACAAGGCGCTCTTTCTCTCTGAAAAGAGTTGTTTTTGGAATCTAAAAGCATACAAACAAAATGGAATAACTATTTTTAGTTGATCCCAGGGTACAGTTTTCTATTTTCAGAGGCACAAAGCAATCATTACATGGAACTCAGCAGAAACTTTAGATAGATTTTGGCCATCTTGAAGAGCCTGAACAGCTGCTTGCCAATGTGAAGGTCCATAACTTTGTCGTTTAGAGCACATCCGTCCAGTACTCCCACCTGCAGCACGAACTCGTCGCCACAAAACTGTTTTTGGTATTTGATACATTTCTGATGCTTGATGAAAGCTAGCTCCTCCTGAAACAGGAAACAAACATGGAACTTGAGAAATTATAATTCATAAACTAAATAGTAATTGCACCTAGTACTTTAACAACCTACTTACTGTTCACTGCCTCAACTGCAGCATTCACATTTTCTCCAGAGTGTTCTTGTCTTGTGACTGTGATTGGAATTCCCTCTGCTTTAGCCCGAACATATAAAGTAGATCGTGGAATATTGTGAATGGTTGCAGTCTCTCGTAGAAGTTGACCCGACTTTAAGTCCTTTAAAGCAGCGGCAAGCTGTTCCTCACTTTACAACAAAAAGGAACGTAAGTTTAACTTAGTTAATGATGCATAAATTATAGAATATAAGTCTTGCACCAAACCTGTACTCCTTCCTACAACTTTCCCTGCGTCTTCTTCTTTTGTGCTCCTGAATCTGATCATTTTCAAATGAAGCATCAGTATCAATCGACCAGTTTTGACAATCATTATTAGAGTTTTCTTTGAGAGTGCTGTTATTTGTTGAACAACTGTCCTGTGTTTTTTGTTTCTTTCCATTTTGTGCCTGTTCAACACAATGTTCTTCCCTCTCCTAATGTTCCACAAAAGCACAATTAATTTGATAAATGTTCAGAAGAAGTCACAGAAGATTAAAAATATACAGATGCTGACAAGCAGTATTTTACCTCTTGGATAGATGCAGTGTTTTCATAGTCAAAATCTGAAGTTGTTTGTGCATCTGTGCCCGAAGAATATGGAGCTTCTGTCATAGTTTTTGAGCACGTATTGGGAAGTGAATTCTTGCTAGAATCGGTGAAATCTTCATCTTGAGACGGCACGAGTTGAGGAAGTTGATCACACACCTAGCAGGTAATATGCGATTGAAAATCTTCAAACCTTAAATATTTTGTCTGTTTCATAAATTTGTATACCTCCATTAATCCTCGAATTTGTAAAGCAGCTGCCACTTGAAGAACTTCTGTCAGCTGTGCTGCTTGTACATTAAGTTCTCCATGGTAAACAAAATCCAGGATGCATCGAAGTGCTTCTGGGTTCACTTCACTAAGGATCAAAATTGGGTGGCTTTCTGCTGAATCGGAGAAAATCCCCTGCGTGGAAAACAAACTTATACCAAAGAAGGAGTCAAGTCTTATCAGTGCAAAAGGAAGGGCAGAAATATTACCTCAAAGTAAGGACTAGCAGCACATAGAACAATTTTATGCGCATGGAGCTTGTATCCATTGGAGGTACACAATGTAACATCGACCATGGATTCCGCTTCTAGAAGTTGAACTAACACACTTAACACGTGAGACTGGTAATCACTCCACTTTAAACAAAAGTTATCAGGCTTAACCGTGTCACTTTCAATCGTATCCATGACAAAATTCATGACTGCAATAGGATTGAGTAAGGTTAAAACTGCTTCAAAACATGGTCGCACACACGGATACAAATACTCTCAGGATTCAGTGTGGAAGTGGAATCTGATGAAACGTTGTGCGAACGCAAGACTATGGTTATATGTGCTTCATAAATCATAAATCCATTTAAAAAGAAGGTTAATTAGTAAACATAGACTAAACAATAACAGACAGACGACTTCTCACAACTTCTCATACACGCACCAATAATGGCAGCAAAAAACATTAGCTGACGTAAATAAAACATTAAATCAGTAGATCTTTTGTTTGATATTTCGGCTCAAATTATGCAATTTTTCATAATTGTAGTTGTTTTAAAAATGAAAGCTCTAAAGCGAAGATGGAAACAGGAAAACGTATGTTCCTTAAAAAATTAGTTTCTGTAGTTGGTAGAACCTTTTTTTTGAATTCGAACCGGCGGACCGGTGCGGCAAACTTCGGCAGTTTCAGTTCGGTGTGCTGTGCAGTCGGCAGTCGTTACTAAATTTGCCTGAATTCTGTTTGTATCCAAACGCTCAACATGTCTGTGAAGAATAAGGAAGACTCGTATGTCTCTTTAATATCCGCCTTGAGCGAATACTGCGACCAGAACATTAGCGAAAAGAATGAAAATGCTTTGATAAATGAACTGAAGGTGAGTACATTTTGGATATTCTGTTGGAGGTATCTATTTCCCCTAATTTAGTAATAAACTACCTTATTTGTGAACTTTGTGATTTTTTTTTCAGTTATTTCAGGATGTTAAAGTCATTATCTCGTCTGGAGATTTGGAGCTGAGACAGTTCGTTCATTATGTTGGGAAAACATTATCGCTGGTCGACAGTTCCAGTCAAGTGGCCTGGAGCATACTTGATATTCTTTTAGACTTGTGCAATGCTCCTGAGAGTGAGAGGATCTTAAACCATCTTCAGAAGTTGACTCCACTGGTCTCAAATTTGCTTCTTAGAGCAGTAGCAGAAGATAAACAAGTTGAGATGCTCAGAGTTCTGCAGGTTTGTTTCCTGCTTTTCATTGCTGTCCACATCCTTTCTGGTACGCATTGTGGTATTGATCTTTGTTTCCCATTTCCTTTCCATTTCTTTCTCTCCTTTAGGCACTGACTTATGGAATCAGAATTCCGCATCCGGATACATTTGTTGCACCATTAATTTCATTGTTGATAGATTTTTTAAAGCCTGGAACTGAGACCACCATTATCCAATTGTCTCTGAGTGTCTTGGCTAATTTATTATACAGAAACAAAGCTGTTCTGTTTTCATTGATTCAAACTGTGAAGATCAAGGATTTAATGAGTGATTTACTGAGTGTTCGAAGTAATACAACTTGCAAATTGGAGGTAAAATAAATTTACATGTCTGTCTCATTTGATAGTACTCGATGTTTTGTCTAGTTTTTGTTCCTTTCTAACTTTGACAGGTGTGCAAATTAATGTTTTTGCTTGAAGATTTCATACATGAAAAACCTGACGAAGGTGAAGTTTCAAGTTTTCTGAAATTGTCATTCCGTACTATTATGCAAAGTGCTAGTACCAAAAGCACATCCCATTTGAGACATTGTGTTTCATTTTTTGCTGATTTAGTGAAAGAAAACAAAATTAATGTTACATCTTTAGGTGAACCATGGTAAGAGTCCTGATTATTTTATAATTTGTAAATGTTTATTTTATTCATCATTTTATTCCATTTTTTTGTGCTTTTTCTCTAGGTTCAATGAAAGCGTTGAGAAAGTAATCAATCTCCTAGGTGACATGGATAAATGTGATACGGATTGTGCAATGCTGCTCTTTAAGTTTCTCAGAGTATTTGTACAATTGGAAATACCATCATTCTCAAATTTCCATTACAATATAATGAAGCAAGGAATAGCATGGACAATTGAACACAAAAGGAAAGCATCTGAGGTCATCATTACCATGCAGTGTATTTTGGCATCTCAGATACAGTCTCAGTCTAATCAAGGAAATGGAATGACTGTTGACGAACTGATAACAGTGAGGCTTTCTTCCTCTGCTATAACCCACTACAAGAATGGAACATTTGTCTTACATTATTTTTGTTCTCAGGTATTTGTTCCATTGTTAAGCGAGACCTCAAACATCAGGAGTGATAGTTATTTCCTGATAGGATTACTGAACTTCTTGAGTACAGTGTTAGAGGTGGACATCTACAAGATTGTTCTGAAAACATATTTTGAAAAGGAGGTAAGATCAATTTGAATCTGTTGTAACTTTGGATTGGATATTTCAACTTTGTGGCTAACATAAGAATTATGCTTGGTACAACTCTTGCAGACAATTAAGCGTCTTTTAGAATCAGCCTCCAACATAGATATTCAGAACAATTTTAATGTGTCTGAGCCGGTTATACAGATGTATGTGCATCTTATCATATTTGTCAACAAGGTAGTGACATGTTGCAACAGTTCATGGAAAAATTTCTATACCGGCCTGCTTCGAGATCAAAGACTTTTGACTATACTAGCTGCTGCCCTTGTTTATGGGTCAAGTGAATTGAAAGGCAAGGTTCTTTCTCTTGTAGCCAGTGATGAATTCCCAAGGGACAGGTACTTTTCTACTTTTATAATTTTGTTTTATTTTTCCAAGCAGTTCTAGGTTGTCAATTTATCTTGTACTTTATGATTTGATTGTAGCCTAGATCTTCTGTCAAAATCCATGGCTAAATCTGGAAGTAGACCAATTTCTGTCTCGACCTTGGATGATTCTAAGGAAATGCAGTTTTCATCGCAGCTTGCATCAATTTATGTTGATGTGAATAAGCTGATTCGGAACATTAAAAATTCAAAGCGTGAAGATGTAAGTTTTGTAGAATTTCTATAGAATTGTCCCTTTATATTTGTGTTCTCATTGTCATTTTGTCCTTTGATTTAGTTACAGCATATCTCATCCTCTCAAGTTTTTCAACTTCTTGAATATAAACAGGAAGTAAATTCTGATTATCAAAGATCTTTAATATCTTGCTTAACTCATGCGACTGGAGGAAGTTCATTGCTTCAAGAAGAGCTTTTCATTGCAAACGAAGTGATCTCTAAACTTCAGCAGCAGGTTAATTGTTTACAAAAAACATTGGACAATGTGAGGAAAGAGAACAGCAGTTATTTTAAAGTCTTGGAGGAAAAAGAACAAGACATGTCGAGCTTGAAGAAGAGATTGATTGAGGTAACATTAACTCTTGATTTACATTAATCTTAAGCTTGAGGAAATTTGTGTTTGAGCTGAACTTTGGTTGTCTCTTAATGTTGTTTATTTAGTTGAGTGGTTTTGCTTGCAGGAACAATCAAAAAGCCAGTGTCAGATTGAAAAACTAAAAGAGAGCTCTGAATTGGCTGAGAAAGACCTGACCAAAGCCACTTTACAAATACAGAATTTGAAAGAGCAACTGGTGGAAAAGGCGGATTCTCTCAAGTCAATTCTCAAGGATGAAGAAGGTAAATAAATTTTTAGCATGATTTAGAATACTTGGTTGATTGAATGAAGCACTGGTTTATCAATACGTCTTCTGTTATAGCACTGAAGGAGGAGAAAGAAAAACTTAACATCAAAGTTGAAGGCCTCACTAAGGTTGGTTTCCTTTTGTTTGTCAATTCTATATTAATTTCCTGCCTTTATTGTGAAAGTGGTACTGTATATTGAAACTTTTGCAGGATCTGGAATGCATGGGCTCACAGCTGGAGGAAGCAAGAAAAGAAAATGCACAACTGGAGCTACACAAAAAGGCCAAAGAGAAGGAGATAATGGAACTTCAAAGAATTCGTGACACTGTATTTGAGCTAACAGGAGGAAGAAAAAAATTTTCTTGAATTTTATTATTGTTGTATCATAATGATGTTTGTAAAATAATATGTTAGTTACATCTTCCCTATTTTATTAGTAAATTTTATTTATATCTATGTTTCTAAAACAACCGCTTATGAACAATGTACAGTACACATGCAAAAAAAAACGCAAATGCAAAGAATAGGAGAACTTTATCTGTCAGCTCTCTTCTGCCATACTTCGCCAACAAAGTCCCAGATTGCTGAATAACACTGGATGTAGTCATAAGCTCATCTCTGGTGCTATGGACACTTGTTGAAGAATTTGCTGCAAGGAACAGAAATGAAATGAAAATAATAATAAGAAGAAAGTGCTCTGAATGATTTTGGTGTTAAAAAGACATGAACAAACCCAAGGTTTCCAGTGTTTCAGCGCTGCGCTGTGTTGTGTCAGCCAAGTTGCGGCTGATTGTCAAAAGTTGATCTGTGACATTGTTGGACATTTTTGCTAATCCAGCTTTGTCTTTTCTTTGCCTGGTTAAGATTTATTGATTTGTTAATAACATGCCGAAGATTAATCAAAGTCCCACTTTTGAGCCACAAATAACTTTACCGTGCACCAAAGTCAGATGAATTATCCTTGTCACCGTGGCTCATAAGTTCAGCTTTGGCAGCATTTTCAATTCGAAGCATAGCATTTATATTTGCTTGTCTAAATGCTGTTAATGAGCTAAAACAATAAGTTTGTTGGGTGGATAAAACAAACATAGTTGACTTTTATTCAGTTGCCGAGTGCAAGCAGCTGGTTCAAATGATACCTGGTGTACTGTTGGCGATGACTCTCTACATCTTTCAGAAGTTCTTGTCTTTCCATGGAGTCTGTTGTTTCTCTGAGAATAGTTTCATACCGTTCAATAAACTTGCGGAGCTGAGATAATTTCTCACGACCATCAGCATTCATGTCATTCAATAGTTCCATGGGGCCATTGATGTGATTAATATCCTAAAAATTGTGACGAATATAGTGGTGAGCCAGGGTATACTGCAGAAGTTACACAAACTGAGAGTACTGTTGCTATTGTAAATTTTGACCACCCATGAAAGCGTTAAATGCGCAATGGGCATAAAATACACATTGTCGCTTCCAGGGAAAGGCATACTTAAATCAAGAATTGGTTCAGAAGTTTAAGGCAATTCATAGGAAATTGAAAGTGTGGGAATGTGTTCATTTTCTTGTGGGGGCCGTGAAGGATCGTCATTTCCTTTAATCGACCCGACGTCATCCATAACCCCCTTTTAAAGAGGCTCACCTGAATTAAGGCTTTAACTTGCAAATTGTGGCTAACAACTTCCTGCTGCACTAATTCTTTGGAAAAATTTGAATTCATTGCTGCTCTTGCTTGGTTATGACAGTAGATAGCGCGACAATGGAGAAAGTAATTTGACAGATGTCGGATTTAGTTTGACAACAGAGCCGGGACGAGCGACACTAGTGACATATGGAGGTGGCAACATTGTTTACACGAAGTAATCAAAAAAATATGCGAACACTGAATTATAAGAGAATCAGAATGGTTTTTGTCGGCCCATTTCTCTGCTTGGGTGTGAAACTAAACGGGAATAGTCTCAATTGGCGCGTGTTAAGTTCACTGGTAATTGGTTAGTTAAGTTGGTAGTGCTTCTAGCGCGGGTAATTGAATCTATTCGTCCGTAGTTCATGTTTATTTCACCAATTTGACAAATTTTTATTTTTCACAATAAAATTTTCTTGTATTGTTACTTAGTAATTTAAACATGATCTCATGCAGCTTGTTGATGAATGCAGTATCTAAGGAAAACAGTACCGAACAGCAGTGCAGAAAGGTTCAGTTATGAAGAGTAGCTGTAGCTGGTGCCAGTAAGTTTTCATGAAAATCTGTTTTTAATCACATCGTAGTAGGCAGGAAATTCTTGGCATATCGTTTTATAGATGTGCAGAATACTGGCTACTATTGATTGAAAGCATGCTGTCAGTTGGGATTTCATTTCCTTGACAGTTGGGTGCTTGAGAGTGTACTCAACTTGTCTCCCAAAGAACAATATAAAACTGGTGAGATCATCTGGTATGAAGTTGTAACTCCTTGCAATCTCGAAGAACCATTTGCGATCATAAGCAGCAAAAAGAACACTGCCTACAAAGACGGCCAACGCTAGAGCACACAGCAGAAGAAAGGCTCGGAATATATGTAATAAAATACCTGTCAAAATAAAAATAGATTAACCATCAGGGGAAATAACAAATTTGGGTAAGAAAGGCATTTAAAACCAAGAAAATTTCTCACCACATAAGAAACCGGTTGGCTTTTGAATTTTATTGGGGTGTTTTTGTGACTGCTTTGGTTTGCCTTCAGTTGCCTGTGGTACAGATGTTTTAACTGTTTCAGCGCTAACTTGTGCTTGTTTTTCAATTTTGCCCTTTTTGGACTTTTTCTTGGACTTTTTGTCTTCTGAATCAAGCTGCTTCTTTTTCATCAAATATTCCTGCTCAATTTGTTCTTCAAGGATACAACACAATTTAAAAGTTAGTAATTTATGCTAGGTGTGAGCTATCCTGTGAGCTTGAGGTATGAATACAAACCTTGCTCTCGTAATTTCTCCTGCAGCAATCTCTGCCTATCCTCTTCCACCTTAATAGCAGTTTGTGCTAGAGTTGCTACTACATTACGAGCACATTGTTGACACTGCTGAGTGTCTCCACAGGGGCCAGCAATATCAGCTAATGTTGGCACAAGGGGGTTGTTTTTTAGGTCCAGCCAACGAAGTGCCTTTAGATGGCAAAAGCTTAAGGGCAAATGAGTGAGCTGAAAAAAGAAACAAATGCATTAAAATTCATTCACTGTGACACACAGCAATTACTGCTATAAATTGTTGTTTACCTGATTTCCATACAAGTCTAAACGTCTCAGGTTTGTTAGGCTACCAAAGGATTCAGGTAGTTCTCGCAACAAATTTTTGCTCAAATCCAACTCTATAAGGTATGTCAATGTACAAAAAGACGGCTGAAACAAATTGGATCAGAAGCATTAAAATATCAAACTCACGAAAAGATTAAAAAGAGGTCTAATCAAAGCAAACAATCACCGGTAAGATGGTCAGTTGGTTGTTAGATAAATCCAAACTCGTAGCCTTTTTTATTGCACCCTGGAAAGAACACCATGTTATGAATCCATAAAAACTAGGCTGGAAATGTGTCAAATAGACTCAGCCTTACTATATCCTTGACTGGAACCTCAGTGAGGCTTGACATGCTAAGGTCCAGCTTGTTGCCATCGACAACATTCTCACGAAGCTTAGCTTGGGAGGCCATTCTGCAAACAAAAGATAATAAAATACAGCTTGTTGAAGATAACTTAAAATCAAAAGTGACAATTAATTTATTTGTTGTTTCCTTTATGGCTGTCCCAAAGTGTGTGTGTGTAGTTTGTGCAGAATGAATGAATGAGAACGAAACAAAATAGATTACAGTCTGCTGATGTGGCTAACCGGTGATACTTTTCAACACGTTTAAGTTTCACTGATACATCAACAACAGCCGTGAAGGGTGACCTCTGGCCGCTCAACTGCCTTATCACTCTCACCTGCATAAAATTGAACTGCTTTGCAAGTTTGAGAGTACGATTTTCGGTTGCAGTTGCAGAAAAAGCCGCTGTTCGTCTAGTGCCGGACCCGGATCAATCGTTTGACGTTGACAACTAACACTATCCCTATCTCTATCTTCTCCTCGTCTCCTCCTATAAGAGCAACAAAGACAGACGACCGGAGGTTTGAACGCCCACTTCGATGCTGCGAATAGTGTTGGAAGATTCTTCGCACGATAGGATGAAAAATCTTTGTTCGTGGTGTCAACAAAACCAAAAGTTACTTGAGTTGAGTTTCTGTTCTTGATTCTTTGATTCGAGCATGATGGAAGGAAAGAGACGTGAAGTTAGGAGGTTGCCTCATCATGAACAATTGAATCTGTGCACGACAAGGCCTGCATACCGACAAGGGAGGCAATTAACAGCTGTTAAGGTATTGTATGAAATGTATCCTACCAGAGCCATGAACCTTGGTTGGCTGACATTTTCGGTTTCCATTTATGATGTCCATTGAACTTTGTGTTTTATTTCCTTAATTGAAATGCCAGTTTAATAATTCTATAACAGGTTTATACAGTAAATGATGAATCACAGCATCTGATAATTACTGGTGTGCCTTCGCTAGGCTTACAAGATGATTTACGCAAGCTCTGTGGTCGGTTTGGAGATGTGAAGTCACTCATTTATGTCCCAAATCATGCCACAGAACAGTTTGTGGAGTCATACCATATTCAGTATGCCAGGATTCAAAGTGCTAGGCAAGTATCCATCAGAATGAGATGTGCATCCTTTTTAGAAATCGTCATTATTTAATTAAGCAATTTGGGGTAGATTTGCTAAACGTCAAATTGATGGAAGAGCATTTTTTGGAGGCTCACTACATGTGTGCTATGCCCCTGAAATGGAATCTATTTCTGAAACAAGAAATAAACTTATTCAAAGAAGACGAGATGTAGCTAAGAGATGTATTTCAAATGACAGTTCTGTCCCAACCACTTCTAAATTTAGGTATGCCATAAACAGTACAAATTTAAGCAGTTGGATGATTTTTTTTTGTTATTAAATAATGCTTGTTACTTTTGTTTGAGGAGATTCAGGAACCATTCAGGAGCACAAGGGAACATGGATCATGCTATGAACAGTTCATCACTCACTAATTGCATATGGAATGGTCAAGAAACTAAGCATGACCCTCGTGTTTTGGCTCCTGCAGAAATTTTGGAAAAGGTATGTTTAGCTGTCACCTTAAGTGCAGCTGTGAATGTGTTAATCCTCTTATGTAAGTTGTTTGTTTACACATCACATCTCAATTAAAAGGTGTCATCTGACGTTTATGGGCCACTGCCATGTGCACCTGACTGGAGAGACGTTGGTGTAAAAGAAGTTTCGTGGACATCCCTGCCCTCCAAACAGTCATCAGCTTCATCTAAAATTGCTCATGTGAGACAAGCCTTGCCTCTAGTACTTCCTAGCCAGCAAACGAAGTCAATATCAACAAGTACTCCTTCCCATTTGAAAGTGGTTCAATCCACTTTCAATAGCAAATCTGTACCTTCAATTTTAAAGCTTGTGCCCTCCCAAGTAAAAGGAGTTCAAAAGAAAATAGTTTTCCATCCCAAGAAATGGTAAGTTACTTCACTTTAAGCAATAAAGGATGGTGGGAAACTTGACTGACTCAATTGGTTTGATATTTTTCCAGTGCTCCTTTGAATGAAACAACTGGTATTCAATCATTAGATGCTACAATCCAGTCAGTTAGGGAGAAAATCAGAGCGGTACGTAACTTCGTAGCTGGATCTATCAGTTATTAACTTTCTTGAATATAATTTTGGTCTTGTGTTGTACACAGGTTGGAGTCCCAAATGTGAAGATCTTGCTAGAGAAAAAAGGAGAGGGGCATTTAACTAAATTTAAATGAGTATGAATCTGTTGAGTTACTATAGCACATGAGTCAGTTGTGTGTGATTAAAAAAAATGTGATAGTTACATGAAAGCTGAGTTGATAAGTAACATGGAATTTATTCTTAACTTATTGCTTTGGCTTACAAATTTAATTCAAAATAAGACTGCCTTTGGGCAAAATACATACTGAGTGTCCCATATTTTCTTTAAGATTGTTTGAACTGAACTGAATACCCTCCAGAACCAGAGTCTTGTAGTTGAAAATTGTCAGTTGATAGTCCAAAAGGCCGTAAGAAAAGGTTTCCTAAGTCTTTCAGTTTTGCTGCAACATTAAATGACAAGCATTGAAAACACAAGTATGTGGTAACAACAAAAAGCCTCATATTAGAAACTCACACATCATCTCAGTCTTGAGCTTTTCATTCCGCTCATTTATTAAATCAGGGAGTCTCTGCAATAAAAAAGGGAAGAAACAAGGTTTATAATTATTTTCATAACGATTATATAGCATAGTAAAAGCAGTCAAACCTACCCTCACAGCAACATTGGCGTCAGTGTGACCTGGATCGAGCTCTAAGATCTTTTTGTAATCTTCGAGAGCTTCATCTAATTTATCAGCAGTCTCAAGTAGATGTGCACGTCGCAACAACGCTCGCATGAAAGTTGGGTTCAATTCCACAGCCTGGTTACAATCTTCAATTGCAGATTTTGACAAGCCCTAGAATCACAAAATACCAAAATGTTGCTGGATAAAAAAGGCGATTCTGATGGGAAAAGGAAAAAGAAAGGGTGAAGTACATGTATCATCAACATACCAGCTTCATCTTTGAGGCTGCTCTATTTGAATAGAGTTTGGATCTTTCATTTGAATATGACAACGGGCATGTTCTGAGTGCTAAGGTATAAGATATGGCAGATTCTCTGAATTCTCCCAGTTTAAATTGTTGATTTCCTTTTTCTTTGACATCCTCAGCTTCATTTTTCATCCGCTGCAATTGTATAAATAAATAAATAAATATATTAAAAAAATATATAAGCAGGAAACAATTATGAACACGTGTTTTGTATCAACACAGAAGACAACTGACCTCCTTATCTTCATCATTTAGAGTAAGCTCTAAATCTTTCAGAGCAACTTCATCAATGAAATCATCCCAATCTGGGGTGTCCTTGTTTTCAGACTCATCACCGCCGTCTTCAGTACCCAGCGAAGGTACTGCTTCGGCAGCATTTGTATTCAGTTCATCTTTCTCAGAGGCACTACTGGCATCAGTTTCAGTGTTAATTTTATTTGTCTCAGATTCATTACTGGTCTTCTCAGTTTCTTCTGTTTTACTGCTATCCATGGTTAAAAGCCTTGCCTTGTGTCTTTACAGCAGCAAGTGGTTAGTCCTTTAAGAGGTTAAGTGAGCTGTTGACAAAAGACAAAATTCACATGGATGTTCCCACAATAATTCTGACGTACAGAATAATGAATGAATCAACATAACAGTGACATAAATTAAAATTGAAGTGTATCACATTTCAACAGAAATCATGCTTTTATGTCAAGCAGCTAATCACCTAGTTCTTGGCCTAGAATGACACAAACAACGGTACATTACAGTGTACTACCTCATTAAGATTGAAGACAAAATCAGTTTGCTGGAGCAGTTCATATGCCATCGACAATGAAACCCAAACCGTCAAGAAAATAGATGATCACAACGCTCTGTAGAAACCTGTCTGTCAGTCTTTGGTCTGCTGTCTGCTGGCATCTCAGCGTCGTCGGTCGTCAGTCAGCTGTTTCTGCATGCCAAGTCGTGCCGTGCCGTGCGGCTTGCCCACTGTCAGGTTCGGAGGGAAGTTTCCCGGCCCCATCAAACATAACTGATGGAAAACTGTTCAGATATTTTGATAGCTCAAGCGAAATTTTTGACAGTGTATCAAAGGTGTATTAAAGCTTCTCTGCTCTCCAGCGCGTGCATTCAATTGTTTCCGATAATTGAGAAATCTGAGAATATGTTCCTTCAGTTTCCATCAACTGGCAATGCCACTTTTTTTTTTACCCCTTTTTGTAATGAGTTATCTGTTCTTGAAGTACAGAAACAAAAGGAGTCTGTGCTTTGTCATTTAATGTGCTGACTTCCCAGAATATTTTGAGTGATACGTAGACTTTTTATCTAAGTTCAGGTGGCATTTTTAAAATCAAATATTCTTAGTTTGTAAAAGATACTGATACAATGACTAGACCATTTACTGTGCTGAATGTTTCCATTGTCCCATCATCTTATGAGCCAAACTCAATGACAACAACAGCACTACCTTCTGTACATACCTCTCCAGAACAAGAAATTCAAAGTTACAGATACTCACTTTTACTAGTTGCAATAATGGCAGTTCTCCTTGTGGCATTTACTTTGGTAAGAATCTGCTCTGTGGAAGGTTGAACTCATCGACTTGTTCTCATGGTCTTATACTACGATTGTTTTTTTAAGGTGATACTGCTTATAAGAAAAAGAAGATTCGACCAATACAGACACCATCTCATACCACTCTATGATTTGGATGACCAGGACTGGCATGTGGAACTACCACATGAAAAGGTAGAGCACCACACTATGAAATTAGTTCCCATCTAAGACTGAACCTTGATGAAATACACCCAGCATTGCTTACTTGAAAGAAGTAATCATGGGCTATCTCCCACAGAATTACTGCAAACCATTGGAATTTCCTGCCCATGCAACCACAAGATTCAGTCCATGAAGATAGATTCGCTCATCTATGGCATTGTAATTTTTGGTTTGTCAATTAACTTTTGATGTTATTGGAGTAGGTATTAAAAGAGAGGCAAGATAAATTATTTTCCAACTGACATTTATAAGATAAAATGAGATACATTTTGGATGACTGCAATGAAAAATGAGACTTTAATCAAGATGAATTTCAGGAACACAATGAGATGATAGGCATGAATGAAGATGAAAGAAAATTCCACATCAGGTTCTTCTAATTTAAGTATTTCAAAATCTCTGTATAGATTGCTTTGGCCACTTGAAAACAACAATACTAGTGTTAATTGCAAAAATTGTAAGACAAATAAAAAATAATAACACGACCCAAAAAGTAACCCCCTTTGAGTTTCTAATTTCCTTAAATGATCGTAAGTCTACAATATAAAATCCATAGGGAAACAAAATTATAAACAGAATACCAGTATTAAAAGGATAATTTGCAGCTTCAATCAACACACATGAGACTTCACATCATTCAAAACAGTTAGTTACACATATATGGCTACATTCTGGGGTATTTAATTAAAGAACCCTTCTAAAAGTGTCATAAAACAAACCATATAATCACATTTGTGCAGTCTAAAACATAAGGTAAGACAGTTGGCCAAGACAAACAAAACTGCCAATTAGAAGAGCAGCTGCTAATAGGGAGATCTCTTTCTGGCAGTGTCCAATGAAACAGCAAAAACCTGCATGTTTTTTCATGACATTCTAGTTGTCATCAGCTTCCTCCTCTTCATCCTCTTCTTCAGCTGATTCAACCTTCTTCTCCTCCTTCTTTGGGCGACCACGTCCACGCCCAGTTCCAGCTGCTGGCTTCTGCATTAGTTCAAGAAAGCGAAAAACAGAAATGGTTAGGGAGGGTAATTATTATAAACACCAATTAACCATAAGAATAAAGCTTAATCAAAAATTTAAAGGAGGCATTACAGTCACTTTAGCCTTGGCAGCCTTGGCTTTCTTTCCCGATCCCTTGGGCCTTCCACGTCCACGCTTGGCAGGTGCATCACTCTTGGAGGGTGAGGCAGAGGCACGACCCTTCTTGGCGGGAGCCTGGTAACACAGCGGGAGCACAGTAACAGTTGAGTGCAAACAACCAATTCTAAAATCCATCAAGACATCTAGCGAACTTCCAAATAACCTTACCTCCTCAGATTTATCCGCTGCAGCCTGACGGCCTCGCTTCCTCACTTCAGTTACAGCTTCGTCAGACATGGTCAATTGTAAGCTCAAAAAGTTAACTGAAATACCACCTGGAAACAAAATTGTGCTTTAGAAAATAGAGTCAATCAGAGCTTAACTTCCTTTCCCGACATTCTTCTTCTAAAATGAAATGAAAATCAATAGGAGCATTAGGAAAAATTGCATGAAACAGGCATAAAATTAACAAAAATTTGAATCAATATCACTGCACATGTTTACAGAAGATGATGCGATGTCTTCCTTGTCCTCTTCTGTAGTACGGATAAATTGAAGAAATTTATCAAAAACAAACTAAATTTGAGAGCAAAAATAGTAGAAATAAACAGCCAAGAGGATTCTTTTTGCTCAAAACAAATATCCTTAATATAGCAAATGACCAAATCTTCTACTCAATATTATTTTGGAAGGAAATTTACTGAAGTTTTCTTTTTACTTGATTGAAACTTGTTAAAATTAAGGTAAGATAATGTTATTTAAGTCTTGAGATATGACATGATGAATCTTCCGGCTGGATGGATGAAGATAGTATTCTAAATATTCATAACTTAGCTTACCTCTTGGTGTAATATACAGAGGCCCCCCCTCTTAGCATGTGATTCCTGCGGCCCCTGCTGAAAAATTGCTGTGATATTAAGCGTGCCTTATTGAATAATGAGTACTTTTCATGAACAAGAAGGAATTTAATGAGCAACTGCAGGAACTTGTCCTGGTAGGACAATCACCAAGAAGAGGGGACTTAAAACTTAAACTTTTTTTTTGGCACAGATAAAATAATGAATGGCACCAGAACTTTCTAGGCAAATTAAGCAGCATTGTACAAAATTAACCAGCAAAGAGAAAAAAGATCTTTTGAAAGCAAAAGCCTCGAAACAGATTAGAATTTTTTCTTATTTACTTGAATAATGTTCTTTGATAAAATTTAATGATTTAACTGCTGATTGAAGGCTTTCATCGAGGAGCAGCGTCGAGGTCCAGAAGTGTTTCAGCGCAGCATCGATGTACGCGAATGCAATCCACGCCAAGCGTCCAAGCGACGCGCTTGCACCTCCCCCCGCCCCGCCCCTTCCAACCGAATCAAGTCGAACGTTTCCGAACTTAATTAATACGCTGACATTAAAACATGCTAGAAAGCTATCCTTACTTTTTCACTTAATGCAGAAAACAATGAAATTTTGACTGGTGAAGGCGGGGGAGGGTTTTTAAACAAAGACTAAGTTTGGCAGAATTATCTTGAGTGTAACAAATTTTCGGTGAAAGATATTGAACTCATGACAGAAAGAAACAAATCTGCAAAGGAAACCAAATAATGCTCAAATTTAACTGAAGCGAGGGTGCGTTTGATTCAATGTACTATCAGAGAAAATAAAGTTCGGCTAAATCAAGCAAACTAAGCAAAGCACCCGCCATTTTCAAAAATTGATTTTGTGCGCAGAGTCCTTTTGGAGGCAAACTGCTTTAATTTACGCTATGAGGAATCCTTTTCCTTGAAGAATAAGTCACGGCGAGCAGAAAATTAAAATTACACGACAAGTGCAGGGACTTGTTTGGTCGCGGACCAACACCCAGAGGGGGAGCCGCTGACGGGCAACCGCTGCAGCCTGCGCGTAGGACGCCATGGAGCTTCGTTCCGTCATCCGAAGAGCTTCATTTTCTGGGTAGCCCCGATACTTTAAAATTCAACCGCTAACGGTTAGTCATTTATTTTCCAAAAATTAGCCATATTTTGAATTTACTGAGGGCTGCAAACCGTTGCAAGTGAAATCTACGGAGAGAAATTGCAGTAAGGAAAACGGAGCACTTACCGCTTATGCTAGCACCGGCAAACAGACTGATCGTTCGGGTCGGGTCGGCGCGGGTCGGGTCGCTCGGTCGGTGCGCGGTGCGCGGTACGCCAACGACGAGACGACGCGACGGGTGTAGTTCGGCGACGCACGGGGAGAGGGCGCTACTGTTCTCGCGCCAAAACTACTTTGTCCAACTAGCCCGCTGCGGCGTAAGGGCGAAACTAAAACCAACAGCATCCAAGATAAAAAGCCGTTTTAAATTTTTAGTTTAATTATGGAAAGTAGTTTGAAACTTCAAATGTTCCTAAGTCACCAGGACGAAACATGTTTACTTTCACACCAAAGTGGGAGGTACGCTGCAGTGTTGCCAGATTGCATTTGTTTACCCATTTTCCATCATTTTTTATTTATTTGTACGCCCGAAAAGGTTAAATTTCAAGCGACAAAGATTGTAAACACACCTTTTCTAGTAAAACATTCAAGTCATCGCGTTCCAGACGCGGGTATCAACTCACTTAAATTTCTGCAAGTGCCATCGACTCAGCGACTTGGCAACAGCACGTTTATTCTTTATGAACGGGCCGTTTTGTCTGCTATCTGAAAAAATTACTGTTGATTTGTTTTTATTAAATAAAAACAATTGAAAGTAATCGAAAAGGGTTTAGATGAAATGTGCGCGAGAAAAAGCTTTGCGGAGTTTACTGTCCGTGGTCCACATGCAGTAAGCGCTGTCGATCGTCGATCTCTACTGAAATATTTTTCTGGAACATGAGCATCTTTATTTGTTTGGCGGGACTGCGGGACCGTCGTCAACGCGAGACGATGAGATGAGACGATAGGGTCAATGATCTTCAGTGGCCGTGACCTCACGGCTCCACTAAACTACCTTGCTGTACTGTTTCTTTTGAGCTACTTGAGAGTATGCGCTCTTCCCCCTCCCTGCGTCTGCCTCCGTGGCGCAATTGGCTAGCGCGTTCGGCTGTTAACCGAAAGGTTGGTGGTTCGAGCCCACCCGGGGGCGGCTGAATTTTGCTCCGGTTGAGGGGTGTGGAGGGGAAAGTTAGAAAAACACACCCCGCCACCCCACCCCACTGCTGTCCCCCTCGCCCCCTCCCCCATGCTGCTCCGCCTTCCGACCCACGTAGCATTGCTCACCCATGCCGTTTTGTTTACTATACATAAACGTGTTTTGATTTCATATTTCTTATTGTCAAACCATAGAACTGAATTATGGTAAACGTTGATATTTCAGAGCTTTTTCGAGAAAAGGACTTTCTGAAAATATGTGCTCCAATGGTCAGATACAGCAAGTATGTATACGGATTGTAGAGGTTATACACTTGTTTTAGGTGTTCTGTCTTCAATTGCTCTGATGTTTGACGCTTTTCATAGGTTGCCGTTTCGTGTTTTGGCTAGACGTTATGGATGTGACTTGTGCTATACTCCTATGATTATGGCAGATTCGTTTGTTCAATCTGCCAAAGCGAGAAGTAATGAGTTTACAACTTGTACAGGTTGGTGGTGTCTTCTCATAACTTGTTTCAATTATTATGACAATTTAATTACTGAAATGCCCTTTTTAATTTCAGATGACGAACCTTTGATAGTTCAGTTTGCTGCTCATACAGTTGCGGACTTTGTGAATGCAGCTGAAATTGTTTCTCCGTATGTTCTTCACCTATATTTTAATTACCTTCAAGTTTTATTACCTTTTGTGCCTAATGTAGTGGTAAATATTTTCTCAGACTGTGTGATGGTGTGGACCTCAATTGTGGATGCCCACAACGCTGGGCCATGAAAGAGGGGTATGGTGCTCACCTTCTGACCAAGCCAGAACTGATACGGGACATGGTTCTTCAAGTTCGCAATCGAGTCTCTGAAAGATTTGCTGTATCAGTAAAAATACGTCTTCTTGATGAGGACAGGTATTTCTATTTTTTTCTGTTTCTTGGAATTGTATTATTGTGTGCATTATAGACTTAATTTATTTTTCAAATTAGGAAAACCATTGAGTTGGCTCGATCTTTGGAGGCTGCTGGTGTCACATTCTTAACTTTGCATGCACGGACTACACAAGAAAGGCACTCACCAATTCATGAAGACTCTTTACGAGAGGTTTGTCAGAGTCTCCATGTTCCACTGGTAGCTAATGGTGATGTAAAATCATTGCAAGGTGCCACTAGATTATACATGGAAACAGGTTGTAAAGGTGAGAAAAATAAGATATCACTGTAATGACTGCTCTTGCTTGCAAGTCTGACACAGCTTTCTTTTCTAGGTATGATGGCTGCTCGGGGCATGTTGGAAAACCCTGCAATGTTTCTAGGGAATTCCTCTACTCCTCTGGCTTGTATTCAAGACTGGGTCAACATCTCTTTAGATTTAGGAGCAATCTTCAACTGTTTCCATCATCATTTGGTCTTTATGATGGAGCATATTCTTCCTAAGGATGGACGAAGAGTATTCAATTGCCTTAAGACTAAAACTGACGTGCTGGACTTTTTGCGAGAAAATTATAATATAACTTACATCCCTGGAGAAAGTGGTTTAAGTGCTGAAAGTGATGTGATCACCTGCAATGAAAGTAGTGACCGAGAAAATAATTCAACAGGCTCCTTTTTTACATCATCTATTCAGAAGTATGAAGTTCAAGATGATGTTCTTGATAGTTTGGGCGGATTATATGACTAAAAGAAAATATATTCTTAATTTTGCTTTTTAAGTAATAATAAAAATTTATCTGAACATCTGCTTAATGGTTCACTGTTTTTTACTATTTTGCATGCACTGACACTTATATGAAGAGATTCAAACAAATGCCACATCGAAAAAATGAACAAATAAATTCATATGAGTCATGTGGTTAACCGATATATATAAGGAAACAGTTTGAAATCACGAGCGGGGAAGACAGGAAGGGAAGGGGCCGGGATGCAATGCAGTGTTATCAACAGAATGTCGCCCGAAGCTCCCCCAAAACCTGACCGAATAGCCTAGGGCTTCACGCACAGCCAGATCTACTGTGTTACTATTTCATTTCTTATTTATTGAGACGGTTCTTATCGCAAAAGCTCTGTATTCGTAGACTGATCAGTTTTCAAATGAAAAGTTTTAAGTTGGTAGTAGAAATCACCACTCGTGTTTCGCATGGTTTGTTGTTGTTGTTGAAACTTCTGTCTGACAGTAGAATATTGCACTTGGCGTTGCATCTTTATTTTTTAGCAAATGGGCCTAATGAACAGGAAGTTGTGTTGAATAAGTTATGCGGTGATTCAAAGTCTGTCCGTATTTTGGGCTCAAGTACCTTTCCACTGTCCATCAAACAAATCTAAATAAGCATGTAAGTTTCATTTTTTGCACACCTTGTCTAGGTTATAGTAAGTTTTAACTCTAAACATTTATTCTACAGTGCATTTTACAAGGCACCACACTCAGTTTTAATCTAAATCTTTTTTTTTGTTTCTTGGTGAAAAATAGTTTATCTTTAAATCTGTTTCCAACGGCCAAAATTCTACTTATTGGCCAATATTTGGATTTAAGGACACTACCAAGCTGTGTTCCAGCAATATTCTATTATATAATTTTTTTTGTTCGTGTTTGTTTACCCTCATCTGTACTTGACTGTTTATTCTTTATTTTTCTGCAGGGGCAAAAACCATTATACGTTTGTTTACATGATTTATCTTGCATCAAGTGGCCTCCATCATTATGCTTTGTACACATTTTAACTGTCTTGTACAGTGAAAGTTTGAGATGCCGGGGGAAAATGACAGTTTGAATGATGTTAATGAAACAAAGGTATTTTTCAAACCTATGATTACGTGCTATATTCTGACATGCATTTTAGTCTCTACTTGGTCTTTAACTTCTCTTGTCTTTTTTTCCCTCAAGGTCTGTAGAGACTTTTTACGCAACGTTTGCCGGAGGGGAAAGAAACGCTGTCGCTATTTACATCCAGATGATGTTGATCCAAATGCTCTTGGAGTGACAAATGGTGCTTGCCGGACCACATTCCTCTTTTGTCATGACTATCAAAATGGGCAGGGATGTAAAAGAGAAGATTGCAAATTCCTCCATTGTACTACAGAGGAAGAACAATATTTTAAAACAAGAGGGAAACTTCCAGACCATGTAGTTGACATGGCTCTCAGGTAAGAGTGTAGTAACATTCTTGATTGATAGCACCCATGCAATATGCAATCCGTTATTGTTTGTTTTTGCATGCTATTATTGTACAATTTTTGCAGCAAAGGGGCTCTGGAGGCACCACCTCGCCATGGAGAACCCCCAGTGTGCAAAGATTTTTTGAAAGGAGAATGTCGGCGTGGAGGACAGTGCAAATTTAGGCACCTTACTAAGCGCGAGTTTGAACGTGAACTTGAGTATGGGCCTCAGTCTCCATCACATCAGCCCATTGGAGAAATTCAACCTCCAGTTCAGCCTCAGTTTCAACAACAGGTGCAACAAGCGCCACCTCCACAACCTCAACCTCCCCTCCAACAGCAGCCTCTCCCTTTACCTCAGCCTCTACCTCAGCCACAAATCCAGCATCAACCGCCTCCATTAACAATGGTAAACATACTTTCTATATCCTCACTTGGAAACCTGAAACATTCAAAAAATTGTCTTCCATTTATTAACAATTATTTTCTTTTTCAATCGGTAGGTTCAATTTAGCCATGCCTCTCAACTAGTTGATGGAGATCAAAAAAGGTTCCATTATGCTCCAGCCATAGCAACGCAGCCAGCTCCAGCTGCCAACATTCTCCCTCCTACTCATCGGCACCATCCATACTCCCGCTTGCCAAACTCGCAGCCTCCTACTGAAGTCCCTCAAGGCATGATGGTCCTGCACACTCATGCAGTGGCACAGGCTCCTCAGCCTTCACAGCCTTCGCCTCCTTATGGATTGCACCAAACTGTGTCAGCACCACCCCAACACCGGCTTCTGACTCCTGCCGAAGCACGGTCCCTCATGTTGGAAGAGGAGAATGTTGTTTTAAGGAGAAGATTGGAAGAATTGAAGAAACAGGTACAAGCTTTAAGTTTTGCTTCTTTCTGCCTGTGAAATATATGCAAAAATTTATATATTTATAGCTTTTATTTCTTTTAGGTATCTGACTTAACAGTCACCAATGAATTTCTCCTTGACCAAAATGCCCAGCTACGACTTGGTTCCAAACGAACAACAACAAGCCTTGCGGCTCTTACTGTACCTGCTGTCACTATCACTAATGCTGGTCAGCCTCTGCCAGCTCAAATTACATCAGCTCAAACTCCCACACAACAACAAATGATGGTTGCCACTGGAACTCTTCGAACTGTAGCTGCAAGTGTAGCAACCGTACCAGTGTCCATTGCAACTGTGGCAGGCACTCCAGTTTCGATCGCGACCGTGTCTATGGCGCCAGTGACTATGCAGCCACCTGTGGTTACTATGGCACAACAGTCTGTTGTTGGAGTTTCTCAAACTATAAGTGTGTCTGGTCCTCCCCCACCTACCCTTACTGCCGGCGCACCTCCTCAACAAGGTGGCCAGCCACAGAATGCTGCTGCTGCCTGTACCCAGAGCCTTCCACTGGCAATCACAGCTGGTGCAACACCCCTTGTAACTTATCCCATACCAGTTTTACAAACAAGCTTATCGCACTAATTTAAGAATTTTTTCTAAATCTCTATTGTACAGTAAGGCCCACCAAGTCATACCCAGTATGGCTCCTCACCATGGCTCTTAATGGAATTAGAAAGAAGAAAAGTGTTTGAGGGCAGACAGACTTGCCCTGGCACACCTTTGCTGGGCCACCCTGTATTAAAGCTGAACAATTTGGAAAGCATTATTTTGTTGTGTCAAATGCCCTGTCTGAGAAGCCGTACTGATGTGTTTTGGTGTGTCTTGTATTTTCGTATTTTCTTACTAGATGTTTGACAAGATTCACAATTCTTTCAAATTGTTGTAAGTCGTATCCAGAAGATATGGGTACTGTATGCTTTCATGTTGTCTGAAAGATCTTGTTCTTACAGTTTGCATGTAATCTTGATCTCTCTTGTAAATACTGTACAATACTATGTTGTAAATATTACTTCTGATTTATCAAGTGTACATTATTTATTTTTTATCTGATTTGGTTCCTGTGATAGTGATCTATTGTTATGCCATTGGAGATATAGGAGAGATGAACCATACCACTTCTCTCTATTTCTCTCAAAATCTTAATTGACATTAGCTATGAAAGTTTTATCCTTAGTGCTAATACTTCATTTTGAACAATTCAAAGAATACACCTGTCACTGGTAACATTTGTCTTTTATTTCTTGTTTAATAATGGTTGAATCAAACAACAATTATTTATGTGGATGGAAAAATTGTGTCTAGTCTCCCTTCCTTTTTATCTTATCTGGTGACTCTTCCAAGAGTCAGATATTTTAGCCACTTTCACTCAGTATACTGAATTGCCCTTTTTGTTTTTATTGATTGTAAGTAAAAAATGGAGATTACATAAGCACCAGATTGTATAAATATGAAAAAGAAAATGAATTGAAAATTATTGCTTTCTTCTGCCTCTCAAAGACATCCCTCTCTGGTTTAATTTCAGGGTATGATACTGTATGTTGATTGGAAGTAAAGATTCAGTTTTGGTGGAAAAGCTTGTTAATTTTGTGCCTGTATTTCAAACACACCAACAGAAGGGGGAAGTACAAGGGAAACAAACAATTAACATGAAAGAAAACTAAAATTATCTTACAGAGGCATAAACACTTATCCAAATACATACTGGTCAATGACAACAAATTTTTGACTTTGGACAAGTCAAAGTTTTTCTAGAAAGGGTTCGACTAAGGCTTGGAATACCATGGAATGTTAAAATAATGAAATATGCTTCATTCTACGCAGTTAGAAATCTATACATGGCCCTCTTTGCGTTCAATATACAAAACATACTACACACTGTTTATCAGAGAAAATACTTACAAAAGTCTTGTATTCAGTTCTAAAGATTTCATTCAACAAATTCAAATTTATCATTTAAAGAATGAAACAGATCAAATGTCGAATTGAAGCAGCCTTTTGCCATATCCTCATTCATTGGTTCATACATAATACCACCAATACAAGATTGGTAAAAACACCACTGCGGCTAAAACTCCAATGTAGAGACGGATTCTCCAATGCTCCCAAGAGTCATTAAGAATACCAATGACCCGCTTTGCCTGAACGCGAGTATTTTCAATGTCACTCGTGTTGTCAATGATGTAATGAGCCTTTTCACACTTGACCTCTAAGGGCATCTGTGCAGCAATTCTCTGCTCAGCAAGGTGTTTTGACATACTGTTGCGTTTGATCAACCTTTCGAGTTGCTGCTCTGGAGTGCTGAAAATTAAAAATTTGAATAATCAACAGATAATTGCATAATATTAAATTTCAAATTGACAAATTGACCACTTACCAGGTTACACAAATGATCTTATAGATGTAACTGAGCATAACTCCACTTTCAAATAGCAGGGGCAGGTCCAAAACAACATAACGATGACCTTCATAATGTACAATAAATTTAAGAAAAGGTTACGGTAGGATAGACAAAGTCATGCAATCATTAGAGAAAGTTTACATACCTGCCAAAAAGTATCTGAGAACCTCGAACATAATTGTACGATGGATTTCTGGATGAGTCCACTCATTCAGTTTTCTTCGCTTGTCAATATCACCAAATATGATCTCTCCCAACTTTTCACGATTTAATTTTCCAGAAGGCAGTAGAATTTCTTCTCCAAACTCTTCTTTTATCTTCTTCCAAGCTGTCGTGCCAGGCTCAACAACTGCAACCAGATAAGCGTAGCACTCAAAAAGCTCATAACAACATTATAAAAGGACAATCAGACATACGAAAATATTGTTGAAATTATGCATCGGTAGAAAGACAAAGTTTCAGAAAATCTTAAATACTAATAAAGCCCACCTTCACGAGCGATTGCATCTGCATCGACCACCGGTATTCCATTCTCACGGAAGACATTTGCAACAGTGGATTTACCACTAGATATGCCTCCGGTTAAACCAACGATAAACATTTTTCAGTAATAATTGACTGACGTCAACATAAGTGTTCTAACTGTCGTCAAAAGGTGCAAACTAACAGTCACAACAAGGCAAGGCAACCCACAGCAGACCACTGCAGACGACAACGCTAACTTCCTTCATTTGTCTCCGCCCAGCATAGCCAAACGCTAACAACAAACTTCATTTCAAAAAATACATTTAAATTCTATTACTGAATACCGCACTGAAAGAGAGCATTTTGATAAGACTATTTTTTGAGTTTCATTATTTTCTTTCATTATCTTTCCGTTTAGTGCATGGCAGTGTTTATCATGCCCTTTCGATTTTTTCCCATTTATGCCGCCATCCCTGACAACAAAACGTAAACAGTACAAACAATCCTAACATTTGTAAAAATTTGCCATTACTTTCTTTGTACGACTTTGGCATGGTGTGGATGTAGCTGTGAAACGAACCCAAAGCTTTTTATTTCCACTCATAAGCCTTTCTCTCTCGACATTTTTTAGTCTATGGGTTTAACAAGAAACAGAAAGGCTCCAGACAAGGTTAGGGCATAGTGTTATATACACATGTTTTACTAGTTTCAGTTTCACTTGAGTCACTCTTTTCATTCCAGATGCCCAGACATAAGTGGATGTTCTTATCACTGTTTGGCCTTGTCATTGTTGTCCTTATTATAAACTTTTACTTTGCGTTTGTAATGAACTCAAACAAGCTCCAAAGCCAAACTGAATCTTCTAAAGCAGTAAGTAATTCAAGTCAAGCTACTCCTATGCTCTTTTACTATTTGTTATTTATAGAATGTGATGCAAATATTATTCTTTTTATCAGGTGTATGCTTTCAACAAAATCCATTTTTCTTCCTCATCGTCAAGTAAACAAGTTATTTTATTAGACACACCTGTCAAAAAGTCTGATATCAACATAGTGCCACCCATAAAAAATGCATCAATTAGTTCTGCTTTAGAAATTGAGATCATGTTTAAAAAATTACCTCTTAAGTATTTAAAGAAATCAACACTTGTCCCAGGTGAAGTAGGTAAATTATTGAAATACCTGCAGCCTTCTGTAGGCACAAGTACTCAACTGTGGTCTGTTGCTAAAGAGGCAAGTTCTGTTCTGCTAAGGTAGCTGTGTTTAATTTGACTGTGCAGTGCTAATGTAGGCTTTTGTTTTCTACAGTGGGTTGGAGCTCGTCATGTGGTGCCAACTCAAGCTCCACTCCTGGGAAGCTTGCTAAAAACGATTAGCACTGCAAAAATTATAAAAGCCCAAAATGCGCCTGGTGGAACTCAGTTGAAATTATTATTCACCCTTGAGGGTGGACAGAGAGCTCTCTTCAAGCCTCAGTGGTTTGTGCCATTCCTAGGAATGTAGCATCAATGTATCAAATCATGCTAGAAATGTACCATTTGTTTTTGTTTGATCAAGGTACAAGCGAGATGAGCTCATTGAAGGCCCAGTGTTTTCTGGCAAAGACCGACATAATGCTGAAGTAGCTGCATTTCAGCTAGCCTCTCTGTTGGGACTGCGGAGAGTACCTTTAACTGCTGGACGGAAAGTAAATCTGCTAAGAGATATTATGCCTGTAGCCACAAAATCTCTGCTTAAAACCTTTGTACCTGATGGTTTGTTTTTATAATACTTTCACATTTGAAGGAAAATATACCTCCCTGGTGCAGACTCTCTGTTTAATTAAATTCTTTGTTTCAGGCAAGAACAACACTTGCTTCTATGGTACTTGCCATTACTGTAGTCGCAGTGATGCAGTTTGTGGAAATAAGGCTTTGATGGAAGGTGCTTTAATTCTGATGCTGCCACAGAATTTTAAGTTGAAACAGTATAGAAGCCCTTGGCAGCGGACTTACAAAGAAAACAGAGCCGCCAAGTAAGCAAGCAAATAAGTGATCATTTTCAGGCGTTTTATTTCTGGTCACTTTCAAGATAAGCTATTTCTCAATTTGCTCATGTTGTTTTAGGTGGGAGTTAGACAGTAATTACTGTGAGAGTATAAAATCAAATAAAATGTATAGTCCTCAAACTGGACCCAGGTTATTAGACCTGATTGATGCTGCTATTTTCGATTTTTTAATTGACAATGGGGATAGACATCATTATGAAGTTCTCCTCAATGTTTCTGGAGCTGCCGTTATGTTCATTGATAATGGTAAAAGGTATGTGTATTTTCCTCTGTAAGACCACTATCAATGTCTGATTTCAGCTACCAAATTGCCTTTCAAACTACTGTTTTTCCTTGTTTTAGCTTTGGCCATCCATTCCAGGACCATTTGGACATACTTGCTCCATTGTATCAATGTTGTTTGTATGTGTCACACCTTTTCTTTTCATCTTCGCAATTTGTCTCCCTAATATTTAAGAATCCTCTCTAAATTTGTTACAGGATTCGCCAAACAACATGGGAAAGACTTCTTCTATTTTCTGGTGATGTATTAGGTGCATCTCTTGAAAAACTTCTTGCCTCAAGCTACATTTCTCCAGTTTTGACAAGCCCCCACTTTGTAGCAATAAATCGTCGGTTGCGCACTATCTACGCAACAGCTGAAAATTGTTTTGAAAAACATGGTAAAACCCATGTTATTGTTGATGATGGTTATAGATAATTTTAACTCCCCTCATGTGCCTTAGTTTTCTCCTACCGCCTGTGCAGGACACAGCGATCTACATTTTGTATTAACACAAAAGTGATTAGTGATTGGTGTATTGATTATTGTTGACTGCTTTTATTTAACTAACAATCATTTTAAGGAAAAATGAGCTGGCCTCTTCCTTCCTTTCTCATTTTTGTCATTAGATATATGGAAGTTTTATTTATTTGTGTACGCATTTCTGTTTGTTTGTTCTTTTTGTGTCATTTGAGTGCCAATATTTAGTGTCAGGCCATAAGCTTGATTTTGTACTGTTTTCTCAATTGCTCAATATTTTTTATATTTTTATCAAAAACTTTTTTTTGTTTGATTTTTATTCATTAAACTGTAAATTTACTCTCAAGTGGGTTTTTCTTAATATTTTTAATTTTCTATTCCACAATAGGATGCTTGTTGTTTATTGCGGGTTAGTGATCCCCTAACCTAAACCCTTAAAATGCATGTTGTCAAGCTGACGCTATAACTCGATTGCTGTCTGGATGGTCTTCTTGCAAAATTTCTTTTCTCACCAGAGAGGGGTGGTTGGGGTAGTGCGTGGTTTCGACGCCGGCCTAACCGATGTGGGCGAAGCCCATGTCCAGGTCCTTGCTGCTTCATCTGACCTGGGGGTAAGATCTCGGCCTGGACAGCCTCTCCAGCCGCGCAGTCGCCACGAAGGTCTTGGCTCTCGGTGATACCTGCAGCCCAGCCGGTCGAGGGGTTGCCAATGGCATGGCGTTGTGCAGGGCTGGGCTGGTGGTTCAACCAGCACAGTCACATTACCTTGAACGGATCCCAATCGCTATCCACTGGTCTGCAGCGGTACCGCTCGGACGGCGTGCTGAGGACTTCCAATCTCGGCAGCAGTCTTTTGTACGGCATGCTCTTCCGCTCCTGAGCGGGGCCAGCAACATTGAAGTGAACGGTCGACAGCGAGGCGCACCTGGTTCGGCGGGTTGGCCTACCCTGCAGGCTGATTCGGAACACTGCTTGTCTTTCTGTCTCTCTCGCACTCTTTCGGCACGCCCCATGAGTGCGGAAGGGACAGAGCGACGAAGACAGCTCGGAATCAGTCTGCTGGCCATTACATCCCAGGCACCGTCGCTCCCCAGTGCGGCGCCAGGCCAGGGCGACTCGCGTGATAGGGGGCGCATGGCGGCCGGGGCCGGGGCCGCATTGCCGGTGAAGCTACAAGCACAACTACGCACCGGCACGCGCTGGAACACCGTGAAGTCGCGCTTGGGCTGCGAGCGGGCTGCCTCCCACTGCTGGCGCTCCTCCCTGCTCTGAGACTGGGTGCTGGCGGAGCAGGCCACCCCGGAACCAGTGTTGGAACCGGGCCCCACGGGACCGGGCCCCACCGGGGGCGCACCATGGGGGCCGCTGGCTGGGAACGGCTCGAAGGGGCCTCTGCCGAACGGAAAGACACTCATTCCGGTCAAGGAGGTGCAGCGGGTTGCCTATCACCCGATCCGCGGGCGCTCTAGGCTGAGGCTGGCCTTGGCGCCCCCTCTCCCACATACTGCTTGTCCTGCTGTTGGTAGAACTGGCGCATATCGGAGGCGCGCGGCCCGAGGGAGAGCTCTGCGTACGAAGTCCCCAGCGTGTCCACAATGCGAGTCCGCATGCGCTCCTTGAAGTGCTCGCCCAGGCTGTGCTGCATCTCCACCGTCAGGCCCACCATGTACCTGGGAGGGGGAAAACGAAAGGCGCCTTGAACGGGACTCGAACCCGGCCCGGGCAGTGCTCCCCGCCACGCCGCGATACTGTACTCACGTCACTTTCGGCTGAGACATTTCGATGGTGCGGGCCGACGGACGGGCGTTGAGCGCACTCTTGGACACCGAGCCGATCTCCCTGCAAAAGCGTGCCGCAGGCCGCAGGCGTTGCAATGCTCAGGTTGTACTTTGGTTGGAGGGCCGGGCAACAGCGCATCTCCCCACTTACAGCAAGGGCGTGGGCTGGGCCGCGTGGATCCTGGGGTAAGCCAGCCGGCCGAGCCGGTCCGAACACACGGCGGACTTGGTGCCCTCTGCGACCGGCCAGATGGGCGCCTGGCCGAGCACAGGCAGCACGAGAGCGTGCACGTGATCGCTGTTGTCGAAGCGCGGCGGCGCACAGTGGGCCAGAAGACCGGCGCCGGCGGCCAAAACTCTAGGCGCGTTTTGGGCTCCAGAGTCGCTTAACAGCCCACCAATGGATTGCCCTCTGAACGGGAAGCCATTGGTGGGGTCACACGCTCGGTTCGAGCCTTAGCGACAACTCTAGTTCAAAGGGTGTCTTGAGTTTTGGCCGCCGGAGCCGGTCTTGGAGGCGAGCTTAGCATACCGCCAGCATGGCGTTGGGCTGCTGGGGCTGCGGCAGGCTGCGGTCGTGCCGGAAGTTGGGCGCCGACAGCTGGTCCCGGTGCTGCTTGCGCGTCAGCACCGCCCGCGCCGTCACCACCCTCGGGAGGAAGTGCCGCGGCCGCCATTCCCGGCGCATCTCCCGCCGGGCCGAGCCGCTCACTCCCCGTCCTCGTCGACCTGGCCGACCTGGCGGGTCGCAGGTTCAACACCCCGCCTCGGCCACGCATTTTGCTCCTCTCCCCAACTGGATCACGTCGTCACGTACCTTCCAGGCATACCCTCTCTGCCTAATCGTCCTCCTCTTCTCCTCCTCCTCCTCCTTCGCCTCCCTTCTCAGTTTCACTTCCCTTCCTCTTCATCCCTTCGTATGTTTTGTCGTCTGTTTATGGTTTTACATTTTTATTTTGGTTTTTGCCATGGCGGGCGTGAGGTAGGCCGGCCGTTGCCGGGGCGGGGACACGCCGGGACAATGGCACCGGGCCGCCGGCAGCCACCACGCCGTCATCGTGCGCCATCGTGCCCCTGCTTGGGGTTCGTCCACATTCCCGCATTCATTGGCAGCCTAGAAGGAGCAACAATGATAGGGCTATGAAAAACGTTACGTAACGAGTGGACGAGTCCTTGGACCTTTGGCAGCCTTTGGGCGTCGGCCGTCTTGGCTTGACCTTTGCTTTGCCTCCCAGCCGGTGGGCCGAGCCGAGCCGAGGCCGCAGAGGCGCCCTGACGGACCGGCGGCGGTTGCCAGCCAGCCTCCCAATCATTATTTTCCGTTTTTGTTGGCCGTCTTCTGCGGGTGAAATTACAAAGTCGATTTCCCGTCGGGGTGCGGGCGGCGCGGGAGGGAATGGGGAATCACTGATTGGCCTGGCAGGCTGTGCAAAGCGCGAACCGGCCGGGGCTGGGCCGGGGCCTCCAGGACGCCGCCGAGCCGAGTCATTTCCGAGCAGGAATCCGGCAATCCGGCCGGAGCCGCCAAGCGTAGCGTGTAGCGAGCGCACTGCTTCATTGGGTCGCCATTTCCGGCGCCTTGTGCCTAATTTTCAATGGTGTGACGTCCACCCCGGCCTCCCCCAAGCAGGGCGAAGCGGCAGACTTATTCCGCGGGCCGTTTCCGTCGCTCTGTCTCTCTCGCAGTCATGGGGCGTCCCGCGTAGGTGCGAGAGAGACAGAGCGACGACAACGACTCTCGGAATCAGTCTGCAGGCGAAGCAGGGCGCGAAGTGCCACACGCGCTGTCCTTGTCCTTGTCGCCCCCGTGGTGGCGGCCCCGGTAATTCGATTCTTGCGAGTGGAGCAAGGCAGGAGAGGAAGGGAGACGAAATCATTGGCTGCCCTCCGGCAACAAAGCTACCCGCCTTCACCGAGCTCGAGTCTTTATTATTTCTCATTTCAAGAAAAGGTTCCATTCAGAATCGGCCACTGATAATGGCATGGTCAAGCTTAATGCTCTTTTAACAAAGTTATACCACGATGGACCGGAAGAAATAAAGATTATTCACGACGCGAGTAAAGTAAGAAACAAATGGAATGCTACATGTAATAAATGCAAAATGTTAAATACACGCATATGTTAAGGCCGTTGAAAAACTACAGCCCGGCGGAAACAATGCAGTGATTATAGCGAGGATATACTGTTGTTGTTCTTGTTTTTGAAATTACGTGGAGCACAGTCAGCATGAAGTTTGATAACAATAAACTGGTCACAATAGCATTTACAGTTTCTTTGCCTTGAATCCCATGAACCTACCAATACATTGACTAGAATTCTCTTTCCGTGTTATGATCATTACGATACAAACGATACAAACAAGGTACAAAAATACTTATACACCAACCTACACTCCCATTCAGAGTGCAGAACATTTAAAAAATCTCAATAAAATACTATTTTAATACTTGAACATACGACGCACGAACACATTCAGAGGGAGGACATGGCCTCCCCTTGGCGAAGCGATAGAGATATCACAGCATTACACATAATTTAATCGCAGCGTTGCTTTGTACGCTAAAATTAGAGAGAAAACATAGCATTTATGTTGCTTTAAAGGAAAAGTAAAAGAAGAAATAAAAAAAATATGCGAAAACTACAGATAGTCAGGTACATTCGAGTGTCGGGAAGACACCACAGGAAGAGAAATTGAAAAAATATTAAAAGCAAAGAGAGGAACATTGAATTGACGCTCTCAGAGGAGCTGTAAACGAAGCCAGAAGCGGCCACGCACCGGAGGCATGCCTGGGCATGCTGGGGGCCAGCATCACGTCTGGCTGCGCGGCAGCGCGTGGCGCGAGGCCCGCGGCTCGCGTGTCGCACACGCTGCGCGCGCCGCGCCGACAACCACTCCGGCGAGCGAGGCGCGACCGTTGTCCGGCCGGGGGGGCGTTGGGTGCAGTGCAGTGGCAACCAAGGCGAAGGGGGAACGACCCCGACAGGTTCCACTCCGCTCGTCCCGCACGTCGCGCACCCCCGGCCGGCCACGCCGCGCCGCGCCGCCCATCCACACCGCAGCTGTACCCGGCAGGGCCACCCTCACCTCCCGATGAGCAGGTGGCCGGCGTGGCGTCCACGCCTCGAGTCCACGCCTCGGACCTGGCCTTGGACGGACAGCATCGCCCCACGCCCACGCGGCGCGCGGCACGGCCACGCCAAGCAAACAAATCTAAATGCCGAACGACTAAGGCAGCGCAGAGATTTGCGGGCAAGAGGCTTGTCTAAAATACATTGAGCATAGCGCCAGAGCGGCCTGCGAGGGCGGGGGCCTCTGTAGATGCATTCCAGGACCTGCCCTCGGACTAAGACTGAAGCAAAGCGGCGCGGGAGGCCCTGGATCTCTCGTCAGCAGAGGCCGTTGCCCCAACAGGCGCACCATGGCACGTTGCCCGAGGCGGTGCTGTCCTGGCGCGCCGGGGACATGCTGCGGCGGGCCCAGGCCCTCGACCGCGGGCCCCAGGACGACGAGGACGACGTGGACCCCGTCGTCGAGGAGTCTCCCTTGAACGAGTCACCTCCAGAGGCACCGCCGGAGGTCCCGGAAGAGCGGTTGTCGACGGCGTCCTCTCAGAGGCAGCCGTTGCCCCAGCAACCGCACCACGGCACTTTCCCCGCGTCGCGGGCGGCGTCGCGGGCGGCCTCGCGCTCGGCGCTGCCCCTCCGCAGGGACGACAGGCGCCGGCGCCCCGACTGCGCCGCGGCGCGCCACACGGACACGTGCGAGTCCCTGGACGAAGCGCTGTTGGTGCGCTCGCGCTCCGACGCCGTGGTCGTGTGCTCGGCGTGCTCGGCGGGCAGGATGGCGTCGGTGGGCGAGGCCGCGCGCCGCGGCTTGCGGCTCAGGATGGACACCCGGCGCCGCCGCTCCGACTTGTTGGGCGACTCCTGGCCCGACGACGACGACTGCGACACGTCGCCCGGGTGGCGTCCGCCGTGGTGCTTGCCCAGGGGCGTGCCCGGCCCCGTGGCCGCCGTGGAGCCGCTGGACGACGCGGCGCCCGGGGTGCCAGGGTCGGGCTGGCCTGGAAATGGGAACACACCTCGCCGTCATCGCCGCGTGTCCTTGATGGCCGTCAAGGCCCAATCCCAGGCCAACGCACTCACCGTGGCTGTGGCCCTTGTTCTTGGCCGCCTTCCTCCGGGTGCCCGGCGACGCCGAAAGGGCCGTCCCGTTGAGGGCGGGCTCCTCCAGGCTCTGCGCCGAGCTCTGCTTGCGCAGAAGCCGCTTGCCGTGCGCCGCGCGTCTCGAGGGTGCCGGCGACGCAGCGGGGCTCGCCGGCAGCGACCGGAGACTGTTGGGCGCCTGTCAGAGAGAGCGGCGTTTAGAGCGAGGACTTGACCGGGTCCTTGGCGTGAGGACAGTTAGCACAGAGAGCATGCGACAACGAGAGGCAGCGAAGCTGTCCCGGGGCATGCGCGCCTGCAAGGCCTGCAACTGCAACTTCACCTCCAGTCGGGACTCGGACGTCTGGCTGCGGTCCGCCCGGTCGCCGCCGAGCTCCGGGGCCGCAGGGTCGACGCTCACGCTCGACGTGGACCCCAGGGAGTCCTGGGTCTGCAGCCCGTGCTTGGGTCCGGCGGGGGTGGCAGGCGGGCACGGAGTGACGCCACCGGTCGCCGGGGTCGGGGTGGCGGCGACGGCCGCCTCCGTGGACGCCGTGGACGCTACCAGGGCGGGGACCTGCAGGACGTGGTTAGCCGCACAAGGCCAGTAGATGAGAAGCCATGCTTGAACTGATACAGAGAGACTAGAGAGGTCGCGTTCGTGCGCACATCGAGTCCGGCAGTCCGGCGCATGCGAAGGGCGAAGCCAGTCTGCTCCAAGAGTCCAGGAGAGCGTCATGCGTCATGCCGCCGCACCCGCCGCACCTAAACGAGATAGACGACGTAGATGTGCGACGACTTAAACGTACCAGGGTCGTGGTGGCCGAGGACGCCGGCGTCGCCACTGGCAGTACGACGGGAACGTCGCCGGGAAGGACCGGCCGCCCGTTCTTGACGGCCACCAGGGGCATCGGCATGGCGACGACGGGGAGGTCCGCCCCGGACAAGGCGTGGCCGGCGGGGCCGGCGAGGCCAGCGCGCCCCGCGACGTGCTGCGCCAGGGGCGCGCGGAGCACGGCCATGGGGAACGGCGTGCTCGGGCGGCGCAGCGTCCCCGTCTGCAACAAGACAGTCGTCGGGAACGCACCTTGGCGCCTGCGAGAGGTTGTTCGAGCGTCACTCACGTGGTAACCGGGGATGAAATGCGGCTGCACGGCCTGCACGGCCCCGGCGGGACCGAAGAGTCTGGGCCGGAGTCCCTGCTGAAGCCCCGGGGCGGGGGCGGCGGCGGCGGCCGGGGCGGGGCCGGGCACCGGCAGGGGGGCATTGGCGATGGCGGGGGCGAGCGCGCACAGCGGGCGGCCTCGCAGGGGCAGGGTGGCCACTGCTCGCCGGCCCGTCGGCGGGGATGGCGCCACGGCGGGGCGGGGGCCGCGGGCAGGGGCAGGATGGCGCAGGCGCACCTAACGCAAGAACGCGCACACTCATTTGGGCTCGAGGCGTCAACAGGGGAAGCAGTCTTACCTGGATCTGGGATCGGAACGGCTTGTCATTGGCGGCATTCAGGGACTTTTCTCGCATATCTTCCGCGCGGGCTTCGAACTCTGAGGAGCAGAAGAGCATCGAATTAACAGCAGCGTGGGGGTTGGGTGGCCCTACTGCTGTTGTGCAACCCTGCATCAGGTTCCCCGCGTACCTCCCAGGTTGACGAGCGCGGCCTCCTGGTCAGACAGGTGTCGAAGCTCAGCCAGGGCACCGGCCACGGCGATCTGCTGGGGCAGGGCGTGCTGGGCGTGCTGGGGCCAGAGAAGCAGGCGGGCCAGCCTCTCCTCGCCGTCGCCGCCCTGGCCGAGGCCCTGGCCAAGGCCCTGGCCCTCTCCGCCGCCGGGGTCGCCGTCCCCCGCAGCGCCGCCGTCGCGCGGACCCCCCAGGCGACGGATGCCACCTGCCAATCATGAAAAAAATATGACAGCCTCGAGGCAGATGCAAAAGGCCGCTGCTGGCGTTCGAACAACAAACTGCGTCTGAGGTCAGGCTTTGAAAAAAGATAGGCTGACAGGCTTACCGACGACAGCGCCCAGCTGGCCGAGCGCGGCGAGGACCTCGCTGTCCGGGACGTCGGCGGGGACGCCTCTGAGCGCTACGACGACGCCCCCGCCTGGGCCGCCTCTGTCCTCCGCTGCCTGTCACACACAAGAGCGCCACGCGTTACGTACACGGCCGCTCGGCGACGCAAGGAACACTGCACTGTAATTGGAGAACGGAGCATGCACGTTTTCCACAACCAACTGCGCACTCATTGAGATGCTACCACGGCGCCTGCGGAACGGAGGATAGGCCACCACCTCCACCGCCGCGTTCACTGGAGCGGCGAGGTGCCTACCCCGCAGGGGCTCCAGACGCCACTGCGACATGTGTCGGCGTCCTGGCGGTCGCTGCGAGGAAAGCGTAAATATGGCGAACATTCCCGGCGGGGCGGGGCCACACAGTGCTGGGTGCTCCAGCTCCAGCTCGACGCTCATGATCCATCAGGCGCGGCCGGCGCACGGCCAGCCGCCGCCCAGCACTCGCTCAACGTCACGGGCCCTTTGGACTGCGCTGTGCTGCCCTAGGCTGCCCTTCGGGCGGGCCGCCGCTGCGGGCCAGAATAAGTGCGCCCTGAAAAGGCACCCCGCGACTTTTCCAATTTGGCGGCAAGATGGAAGAGGGTCGGCCGGCCGGCCTTGCCTGTGCAGCCCCGCGCCTCCAGCCGTGGCCATGAGGCCCCGAGGGCGTGGCCGGCGCGGGACGAGGCCACGGGGCCGCGGCGAGCACCACCTCCGACGACGACGACCAATTTGTATCGGATCTATTCTTGCGAGAGAGCGGCCTGGCTTTTGTTTGGACTGCCATTAGTCCCAGAGACAAAAGCCAGAAGCCCGTCGTAAGTCACGGACGCGGCGCGCGGCGCGGCGAGTCCCGCGAAATCCCAAGTCCTGCGAACGCGAGGCGTGCATTCCGCAGCGAGGACTCGCGTCGTCGTGGGTTCGAATACCGATGGAAGCTACCGCTTTTTCAGCGGCACGTGCGTGCCAGCGGGACTGCGGCTGCGCAAGCCGTGCTTTACCAGGCACTCCATCGCGTGGTGGCGAGACGAGGAGACGCGCGTCGGCCGCCCCGCCAGTCTCCAGCAACCCCCACGCCGACAAAATCACATTTAGTCGTTTCGAAACCGATGAGCGATGCGTCAACGATTTTTCCCTCCCCGCGGCCGCGGCCGTTTCCCCGGCTCGGCGAGGCGCTGCTAGTGGGGGAGGAGCTCGCGGAGGACTGCAGGCATTGCCGTGGACTTGACTCCTCGACGGCGACGGCGACGGCAACGGCCCGCCGCACGGCGCGGGTTGGAGTGCCGCCAGGAGCAGGCCTGGGACCTGTAGGCAGGCGGGCTGGCACACTGGCACGCTCCTCTCCGGCCGAGGCGCGTAATCCTCGGCGCCGAGGAGTTGAGGACCGCGTCGACGACACGCGAGTCGAACTCGGCGTAACTCGGCGGCCATTAATTATCTCCGCACCCGCACGCTCACCACGCGCGTGTGTGTATGTGTGCGAGTGCGTGAGTGTGCGTGTGTGTGGCGCGATGGAGCCTGATGCCGCCAAACTTGGCGCGCGAGTCTGGCGCCAAGCCGTCCTGGCTGATTAGGCACGTCACGGCTAAACACGCGGAGCGCGAGGCGGCAGCGTTTGTTATCCGAGCAGCCCGGGGCGGGGCGGGGCGGTGCAGGGCGGCCACCTCGGGGGGAAGTGAAGTGAGTCAGTGGGTCGGAGTGCTTGGACATGGCGTCAGACATCACTGGTCGCAGTCGTCACACAAATAACCTGCCCGCCCGCTAAATCCCCCGAAGCGCTTGGCCGGCTGCGTGCGGAGCGGCGCGGAGCGTTGGACGTGTCGGAGTGGCCGCCCCTGCCGCCCCCTGTCCGCACGCCGCCATCGGTCTTCACCGGGCCCTGGCCGCCGGCCGTCGCGCGCCGCGTCGCCGTTTCCCTGAGGGCTTCCCGCCCCGCCCCGGGGCCTGGCCGCCGCTATAAACGATGTCCCACGTTTCATCATTTCAAAATTTGCCGCGCTCCGCTGGCCCCGGGGGCCGCCGTGACGGGGCCGGGGTTGGGGACGGCGGCGGTGAGGACGCCGGCGGCCAGGTACTACAGCGCCTCTTCTGTTTGTCGAGCCGCATGGCTGCGCCGCGCCCTTCGGCCGCTGCCATTTTTCGCGCGTCGTTTGAGGCGACAATGCGGCCCGTCGTCCGAGACGTCCGAGACCAGACCGAGTCCGCTGTCACGGCAGTTTGTCATACTCGGCCGCGCACCTGGGGCAGCATTGTGTCCGGCACCACGACGACGTGGGAGGAGGCCGCCGTCGGCCGCCCTGCACCCCGTGACGGCGACGGCCCGGTCGCATGGCTCTACACGCATCACGTCCACACTGCGCTTTAAAAATAAACGCCGTGGCGGTGGACCGGGACGCACCGCACCACGCGCATGCAGTGACGACATTGCGGCGTTTAGCGGCCCGGGCGGTGCGGGGGCAGGGCGGGCAGGGCGAGCAGCGCCGGCCCTTCCGGCAGGCAGCTCCGTGGCGGCCCGGCGTGGCGGCGCCACACCCGCGGCCCGGCCCAACCCTCCCCACGCCGTGGAACGCGTCCAAAAATTGATATAATATGCTTTGACGCGTGTGATCTCAGCTACGGGGCCGTGACCATATTTTTATTTTTGTTGCCCGGCGAAAATTTACAGCGCTCCGTTCAGCACAGCGTCACGCAACAGGCAAGGAGGCTAGCGCCAAACCAGCGAGGGTTAATAGGCATCACACGGCGAGCAGCAACACGGCAAGACAGGCAATGGGTTAGGCACAAACAGGGCGGTGTAGGGGCACGGCCGGCACGGCACTCGGGGACGCACTCGCACTGCACTCGGAACACACGCAAACCACTCGGCACACTCGAGGCTGGGCGCACCAGTCTTGCGGGGGCGGCTGGGCCGGGGCAGCCGGGGCCGGGGGGCGGGTGCAACTCTGCGACGTGGCGCACAGCGTGCACGGCGTGCAGAGGGGGGCTGGCGGAGAGCCGGCCATCGCCCAGGGTCAGGGCGGCGGGGCCCGCGCCGGGGCCCTGGACCTGCAGGGGGTGGTGGGCTGCGGGCAGGGTGTTGTAGTACGGGGTGCAGCCGGGTCTCGGCACGGGGTGGACGACGCGGCCCTCGGTCGGCGCTGCAGACAGGTTGGCGCCGGCGGGTGGGTCCGGCGACGCGCCGCGCGGTGGTGGTGACGGCGACGGCGTCCTCTCGGGGGGCGGCAGGTACAGCTGCAGACTGTGCAGCTCGCGCTCGTGGTACGACTTCCGGCGGCGCTCGAGCAGGCTCTCGGTGCTGGTGGCCGCGACGCCCTGCTGCTGCGGCGGCTGCGGCCCGCCCCAAGCGACGGCGTCGGCGTCGGACGCGGCGCGGCTGTGGCACGCTGCGGTGTGGCCGTCCGACTGAGGCTCTGGCACGGGCACTGGCACGGGGTAGTCGGCGGCCCAGTACAGCGTGGAGCAGTAGCTGTGGCGGTGGTCCTTCCCTGAGGTCTGCGACGCCTGTGACGCCTGCGACGCCTGCGACGCCTGCGACGCCCCCGACGCCGACCCTAGTTCGGCGGCCTCTGACGCTGGCACCACGAGCGGCTCGGACGGCCGGCGCACCACTATTCTCGGTGTGGTAACTGCCCTGCCGCCGCAGCCCACAGGGCCCGCAGGACCCACAGGACCCGCGGCCGCAGGGACGCCGCAGAGTCGCACGCGTTCGCAGCGGCACGGACACGACGGGCTGCCCAAGTCGGCGCTCTCGCTGGCGGCGCTGTCGCTGGCGGCGGTGTTGTTGTCGAGCGGGTGGCGGCGGCGCCAGGGAAATCCAGGCTGCTCCCAGGGCTTCTGAAAGACAACAACTGCCAGGTGGGCTGAGGGGGCGGGGCAGGCCGGGGCAGAGCGGCGCGCGCCGAGGCACAGCGCCGCACAGCGCCGCACAGCGCGCAGAACAGGGAGGACGCATTAGCCACACTCGGCCAGTTGCAGCCGGCCAGTCGCACAGGACAGGTGTGCGTGTGGCGTGCGCGGAGAAGCACGTCCAGAGCGTCGCGTTAATATCGAGTTAGCAACATTGACCTCTGCACAGAGATTGCAGAGTGGTGCGAGTGCAGGCGGGGTAATCGGGCAAAGTCATGAGCCTAAAAATACTCGCGGTGTGGTGGCGGCGCGACGCGCGCCCTCACCGCGCGGTGCGGCTGTCATCGCCCGCCCACCTTGACGTCAATACGTCGCGTCCCGTCGCGGCTCGCGGCCCGCGTCGCGGACCATTGTCGCGTCGCGGCCCCGACGGCCACGGCGGCGGCTCCCTCCATCACTCGATCAGAGCGCACCATCGCCAAGAAGCGCGTCATTAGCACGGCGCGGGGTGCGCGGCGAGAGAGAGGGGCACCGGGACGCCGAGCGAATTAATTAAACGCGATTAGATCCCCGGGAGCGCGGCGCGACGCGGTACGTCATTTATAGACGACCCTCTTTACTTTGGGCTGCTTCGCGCCGCGTCTTTGTTCTCTGAGCGTGCTGCTGTGCATTAGCCGAGCACTGCAGCCACCCCGCCCCCCGCCCCGCAACTCCGAAGAGGCGGTGGGGCGTGGGGCGCCCCACGAGTGCGACGGAGACGCCGACCAAACGACTCTTTGGACTCGGTCTGCCCTGCCAAGTCGGCCCGAGTAGCTCCCCCGCGGACCCCGCGCGACACAGCAGCTTGGTTCCGGCACAGCGTGTCTTCGCTCCGTCTCTCTCGCGCCCTACGAGACGGCAGTGCGACTGAGGCGGACCGACGAAGCGCCATTCGCGAAGCAACCTGCAGCGACCCACGGAGCGATAATCGCGTGATTGGCGAAAAGTGGGTTCAGTTTCCTCAGGATGGGATGCCGCAGCTGTAAACATTGGCCGGCCGCCACCGTGCCCCGCCCCGCCCCGCCCCGCCCCGCGCCGGTCTTGGCTCGCGGTGCGTTGTGCGTTGGCGGGGAGCCCCGCAGCAGCCCGAACCGCGTCCATTCGGCGTTGGCGCTACCCCCCGCGTGGTCACGCCCCTACCCCGCGCGCTGGGGCCAGTCCCGTCCGCGTCCGCTAGGGGTACTGCCACTGCCGACCCCCGTCCTCCTTCTCCTCCTCCACTCGGTGTTGTTGCAGTCCGGCCGGCCATGGAAGCGGACCGTCTGGGACCTATTTCCATCTTTCCATCCCCGCTTTACGAGGCCCTCGCCCCGCCTTCACGTTCCTCTGCGGTTCTGTCTGTTGTGACACGCGATGCTCGGCGTGACTGTAACGAGTCTAAAGACAACGGTGCGGCCAATGTTGTGACGCGCTGGCTGACATGCTGGTGGTACAGTACGGCCCGGCGCAGCAGTGACTGTCAAGATGATCGCCGGGTCGCTTTGCTTATTTTGCTTTCCGCGCGATCACGTTTCGGCTAACACAAGTCGCAGCCGCGCCGCGGTTCTCGAACGGGACTCACCTCGCCGTCGGCGTGCCCGGGTGCATCGGCGACGCCCAGGTTGATGTCACGCAGGAGCTGCGCGATGTTACCCGCGGCCGGCGCCTCTGCTTGCGAGGTCGCGGCGTAGGCGCCCTCCACGAACACGTCCGGGGCGCCGCGCGGCTGCAGCGTCACGTCGCCGCCGTCCTGCTGCGTCCACAGCGGCGACGCCGACGACGCCCGGTCCGCCGGACCCATGGCCGCAGCGTCGCCGGCCAGGAGCAGGCCGTCGAAGCCGAGGGCGGCTTCGCCGTTGACGCGCGCCGCGTCGCCGCTCGCGTCCAGGTAGACGTCGGCGGGCGGCTGGAACAGCCCCGTGAAGGGCATGCCGGTGGCGGGGTCCACGGCCGGGATGAGCACGCCGCCGACGACGGTGCCGGTGGCGTAGCCGTACGCGTCCGGGTACTGGAAGGGGTCCTGCGCGAGGTCTGCCGTCGTGGCGAACTTCCCCGCCGGCCCGCGAAGGGGCTTGCCGTCCGCGCCCAGCAGGTACTGGTCGCACACGAGGTGCATGGGCTGCTCCGGGGCCGCCTGCGCCGCCTGCGCCGCCTGCTCCGGCGCCTGGTTCTCGGGGAGCGGCTCCAGCAGGAAGCAGACGCCCTTCTTGCGCGGGATGACCGGGGACACGCTCTGGTCCTCGCCGCCCGTCTGCGCGGAGGAAAAAGAAAACAAATTGTGAGTGGTTCCCGGACTTGCACGTGTTTAGATGCGCATCCCACACTGACCAGCGAGTCGGTCTGGTCGTTCTCGGTCTCCTCCTGCACCACGCTCAGCATGTCGAAGTCCACCTGCCTCTCCCGGTAGGCGGCGGCCCCCTGCGCCGCGGGGGCTGCGGCCGCGGACCCATCCTGGGGACTGGGTTTCCCTTCCTCCGCGCCCTGGTCGCCGTCGTCACCGTCGCCGTCCTGGTCCTCGTCACCCTCCTCCTCGGCTTCCTCCTCTTCCCCCTCCACGTCTTCAGCATCCTCTTCGTCGGAGTATTCCTGCAAACAAAGCACTCCGTTGTACCACTCCAGCAGCAAGCAACTCTGTTATGGCCATGCTAGGAAACAGTAAAACTTTTGACAGTTGCGAAATTTGCTGACTTTGGGTGGCCACTGCGTCCAATCTGGCTGAAGTCAAAGGCCTCCCTCAACGTTCTGGTTCTCTTAGGGCTCTACTCTTTCACGCCTGAACTCGGGAACGCCTTAGCCTCAGCTAGATTGGGAGCACCAGTCTTGCAAAGTTGGCCAAAAGGTGATCCAATCTCTGAAATCTCTTCTTCTACTCCTTACCTCCGACTCTCCGCCCTGCTCCTTCTCCTTGAGCAGCGCCTCCAGCTTGTCGTACTCGTCCCGGAGCCCCCACAGCTCGCGGCGAAGCTGGTCGTTCTCGCGCCGCAGCTTCTTCACGTCGTCCTGACCTGCCCCCAGATAAGCAGAATGAGCGAAACTTGCTGAGAAGTCCTCCCTGACAGTAACACGAGAAAAATAATACATGTCCCCCTTATGTTTGGACAAGAAAAAGTCTGATCAAGCCGTTTTTTTTAAAATCAGTCCAAGCCGGGTAATGAACCCAAAAATTTAACTATTCAGGTGTACCGTACTCTCCCCTCAACCCGGGGGCGACCGCCATGCAAATTTCATTTTGCCACACCGCGCCACACCTGCGGCAGGCGGCGGGCTTTGTGGAGGCGGTGTGTCGAGGTGTGCCGAGGTGTGCACGATAAGAAAATGAGACAGAGCGGCGCAGCGGCGTGCCTTGGAGGGGCGTTTCCTTTGTGGGTCGAGCACCGAGCACGGCGACACGGCGGGGACGGCCTAGTCATCTGCAAGGTGGGTCGCGTCCTGGCTTGCGCTACATCCCTCGGCCCCTCGGCCCCTCGGGCATCGCGGGCGGCATCGCGGGCGGCAGACGTGACCGCCAATCTGCTCCGTGTCGCACGGCGCACACCACGTGGCTGAGGGGGGTTGCGAACCGCGTGACCATCTGAGCATTGTTTAAAGGAGGAAGTGATTGCAATGGTAGCATGGTCGACAGAGACAGAGCGGCCAAAGCGCCGTTCGGGTTCCGAATCACACTGCTGGACAACGGCTTGTCCATCATCGCCCTGCTGCCGCTGCCGCTGCCCCCAGTGCTCTGGCTCCAAAGCCACTCGCCCGCCGTCCCTCCGCTGCTCCGGTTCCTCCAGCAAGGCCGTTCCAAACAGCGCTTTCGTCGCTCTGTCTCTCTCGCACTCGTGCGGCGTTCCGTGTAGGAGCGAGAGGGAGAGAGGGCGATGCAACGCCGAGCGGAATCAGTCTGCAGCCGGCTTATTAATCAGCGAAATCACTGGCACTCTTGTCATCGCTCGGATGGCGCCCGCCTCGCCCCGCCTCGCCCCGCCTCGCCCCGCCCGGACGGCAGCGAGGCGGCGAGGGGGCCTGGCCTCCCCTTCTCCGGCCGAGAAGCCCTGATGACGAAATTATGTCGGCCTCCCCTATCCTCAGCCTTATAGCCGGCGACTCTCCCCCGAGCCCGCCCTCCCCACCCCACCCCGCCCCGGCCAGGGCATGCCAGGGCCACGCCAGGGCCAGAACGAACGGGAGGTGACAGCCCGACGTGGGGTGGGGCCTCTGTTGTGAGAGTGAGTGTTTGTGTCAGGAGGCATGCAGGGCGGGACCAGCCCCAGTAAAAGGTGTGCACCATGGAACGCGGTCAAACCGGAGCGGGGCGCCCTATCCCCTTCTCTCTCTCCCACACGCCGCGCTGGAGCCAGAGCCGAGCGCGCTGCTGGAAATCCTGGAGCCTTTCCGGCCTTTCCACTCAGCCTTTCCCCGCCAGGCCGCCTTGTCCTTGTCGAGGCCCAAGCTCTCCAGCCCCCAGTTAGCGCGGTAACTGAATTAGCGAGTGGCGCGGCGCGGCGCCGATACGCGGGGCGAGGACCACGACGACGAGGAGGACGACGGGGGAGACCACGAGGACGAGGACGACGCCGGCCAAGCCGGCCGGGGGATGGCTGAGCCGGCGACAAATGCACGGCCAGAGCTTTTTCAGAGCCAACAGGGGACCGCACTCAGCCACCTGCTCTACGGCATGCTAAGCGCCGACCGGGTAACGGCCCCGCCCGCCCCTCCCCTCCCCGCTGCGAGGGAGAAGGCACTTGGGCCGTGGCAGGCGTCGGGCATTTCGGCGACACAGCGGGGTCTTATCTTAACACGCCGGAAGGTAGTGAGGGCTGGGGGGGGGGGGGGGGGGGCGTGCGCCCTTTCCCCGCTCTCCCCGTGCGGCGCGGCCCCGCCGGCACGCGTGTCGCTGACAAAAACGACGCCGGTGGCCGTTACCTCCGCGACAGGACCGCGGCAGCCGCGAGCGCGCCGAAAAGTGTAAAAGTGTAAAAGCAGTAAACCGGTTGCGGAAGGGCCTTTCCACTCCAAGGTGACGGCCGCGCCCAGGCCGTGGAGGCCGTGGAGGCCGTGCTCGTGTTATGCAGTGTACTCGCGACGCACAATGCTTATTCGCTCCCGACCGCGAGGTGCTCTGTATACACAGTCGCTTGTTGCTCTTTCGCGCGGCCCGGCCGCAGAGGCCAGGCTACCAGGCCAGGCTACGGGCCAGGCCAGGCCAGGGGGCGGCCACGGTTGTTTTATGATGTGCAGATTGCCCGAATTTTCCATCGATGATGTGTATTCTTCGGGCCGGCCCAGGGTTGGTGCGGGGGCGGGGCGAGCTGGCTTCTGCACGTACAGGCACATGCCTCAGCCACCCCCGAGAAGCAGCTCCCTTGGTTTAAGAAGAAGCAGCAACCCCATGAAAATATCATCCCGCAAAAAACAAGTGTGGCCGAGTGGCGTCATGCAGAGTCGATGCGCGACTCGACCTCTGGCGAGCACCTCGCGTTAACCGACTGCGCTACGGCGGTGGCGGCGGTGGCTGCTGGTGGTACTCACTCCTCTCCACCTCGGCGCTGATGTTGATGGTCCTGAGGCGCAGCTCCTCGTTCTCGTAGATCATGCCGCGCGTCGAGGACCGGTCCAGGCGGCGGTTGGGCTTGACGCTCACGTCGCGCCGCCGCGCGCGCATCATGGAGGACGTGCCCGGGGCCATGGCGCCGAGGGAGGACCGCGCCGAGCTCAGCCCCGAGCACCACGACGACGACCCCGACGACGTCCACCGCGAGCCGAAGCGCTGCCTGGCGGAGAGCACTGCGACAAGGAGAGAAAAGGCACTCAGCACCGCGCGCTACGTTTCCACGTTCTAGAACAATAAATTCACCCCGGGAAATCGCGCGAACAATAGTGCACCGGCAAAACCAGGAAGCCAGGTATTGGGACGCTGCAGGGCAGGCAACTCGACCTCGAAGCACAAACACATTCCCCACCGAATTACCCCAGGAACACTGCAGGCCGTGCACTGCACTGCCGGCACTGCCACACACAATGGCCAGGGCGTTTGTTTTCCACGACCGATGCGCTGACAGTGCCGCGGCGCACCGCGCGCACCGCCAGCCCGGCCGAGGCCAAGCTAGCCGTCCGCTTGGACCCGGTGCACCTCAACCTCGTCAACCCGTTCGCTCGCTCGATAGCCGGTCCTGCCGGCTGATTCCGACCAGAGTGTCCCCCTCCCCCTCTCCGGAGGGGTGCGAGAGAGACAGGGCGGCGAAGCACTGCGTGGAATCGCTCTGCGCGGCCGGCGACAGGCGTGACAGGCACGACAGGCGAGATGATCCCGGGATAAATAGCCATCGGCCGCGACAAATGACTGAGCGTGGCGGGGCACTCGGCCGTCGGGCTGATTGGGGGAGGGCCTGACGCGAGGCCCGACGCGGGACGCACGACGGCGAGGATATTTACTTGAAGGCGGCGCCACGGCGCCCGGCCCGGCGTACTTGCCCATGTACACCATGGGCTTGGCCGCTTGTCCGGTTCAGGGCGCCGCACCGCACCTGGCTGGGGTCCGGCGACCCCCGGGCCCTGCGCGCTACGAGGCGCTGCACGAGGCGCTGCAGGCCGTGCCGGCGGATGGACGCGGCGCGCGGAGACGCGGAGCCAGCGCGGCCGGCGTGATGCGAGGCGTGAATGAGGCTGCCGATAACTGCACGCCGTGCCCGCCGGCCGCGGCCCTGCTGCCTGCCCTGCCCTGCCTGCCCGTCGGCCCCCTGCCCGCCCCCGCCGGCCCCCTCCGCGCCTCCAGGCCGTGGTGGGGCCGCCACGCCGCCACGCCGCGCAGTGTAAACTCGCCGCAGCGCAAAACACATTAGTGCGGCGCGCCCACGCCACGCCCTGCGCGCCGTCAACGCCGTGGTCTCGCGGAAGCGTGACGCCGATCGTGACGGCGCAGCCTGGCACAGCCACGACGTCACCTATTCTTCATGACGTCACGGACGCATAGCGGCGCCGGCGGTCAGGCTGCGTCGGGCGACGGGGAGCGCCCGGAGCCAAGCCAGCCCGCCGAGCAGCGGCACGCGACGGCACAGCCTACCTCCCAGGCGGTGGGAGCGCCCGGAGCCGCTGAGCTGCGGGGCACGGCGGCACAGCCTCCCTCCATGGTGCGTGTGTCCAGGACGTTCCAGGACACAGCGCGAAGACATTTTGAACACTTGAAGCGACTTGAACGTCACCTCGGTTCTCGGTGGTGTCGGCCGGTCCGACCGCGGCGGCCTGCGTCACCGATTGGCCGAACAAACGCGTACGTCATCGAGGGGCCGGTCCTGGTTGGTGCGGATGACGTCAGTTGAACGAGCCAAAAGACTAAACGCAGTCGCTCTTCTTTTTTCAATCTACGATCAGGGAGAGAAAACAGGAGCTGGGTCAAGAGAAAACAAGCACCGCTCACACGTGTCCGTGGCTTCTCGACCTGTCTTCGGCGTAGCTTTTGGTTTATCGCCGAATAAAGTTGTCTTTTCGTCTCCCCTTTTCTTATTTTTTCCTCTTGGCTACGATGAGAGCAACGCCCTGGACACACATCTGAGGAAATTTTTGAGGCCAGACTGCCATGACCCAGGGGCCCAGGGGTACAGGGAAGTATAAAGGCGGGGGGGGGGGGGGGGGCGGAGGGAACCGCCAAGCAGAACGACGCCCGGCCAGCCCAAAGAGGTTTGTTTGCCGGCCGTCCTGTTTGCGCGAGGGCTACACCACTGTACACCACCCAACCAGGCCGCGCTCTTTCCTATATTGTTTTCCCGCACAAAGCGCGTGCGCGTGTGAGTGCGTGCGTGTGCGTGTGTGAGAGCAGGAGAACTTTGGAAAGGATACACTGCTTCTTGTTTACGTCTTCGTCCGGTCCGCACCGTCCGCACGGCAGGCGGGGCAGTAGTCACCTGGTTCGGGTTGCACGTTGAACCTTTCCGTCGAACTCGTTGGCCGTTTCGGTTTCCTCCGTGCGGCCCTATATTTAGCGGCCTCACCGGGCCTCACTCACAACGCGGTGCAGGGCGTGCAGGGCGTGCAAGGTGCCCGGGACCAGACACTCCCACCGTCCGTCCCGCCGAGCCGTGCCCGAGGCCGTGCCCAAGGCGGTGCCCCCGGGGCCCAGGCCGAGGCCCCGGTGCTGAGTCAGACGGGGCCGGAGTGGGCCAGCACATCTCACCGCGAGGCGAGGCGGGGCGTGGCGGGGCGTGGCGGGGCGTGGCGGGGCGTGGCGGGGCGTGGCGGTTCACACGGCTCCGGCGCGCCCTCGAGAAGGCCGTGGGGCCGGAGGGACGGGCCCAATGGACAGCCGGAAAGGGTTCCGTGTTTACGAGGCCAGCTTCATCACCCTCCTCTTGTTCCTCTTGTTCCCGTTCGCGTTTACGGGCCGCGCAACAAACTCCATCCGGCTGCCACTGTGTGCGTGTGTGGGTGGCCGTCCCTGAGCCCCGATGACGGCCAAAGTTCTGCAGCGGGGAATCCTCCGGGCACTGCACCGCGGCCACAACGACGGCGACGCTCTGGAATGTCCTGCGCGTCAAACAGGCCGCCGCCAAACAGGCCACCGCCGTTCGGAGCCGCAGGACGCCGGCCGGGGTCCCTCAGCTCGCGGTTTGTCAGCCGGTTGAACGGCCGCCTCCCCAAAGGCCGCCAGCCTCTCTAAAGGCCCGCAAGGCCCTGAAGGCTGCAGGCGTGGTGTATCTCACTCGGCGCCTTCACACCTGAGACAGCCGTGCGGGCATTAGCAGACACCGTGAGCAGCACATGTGTTCGCGCCGATCACCAATCGCCGCCCCTCCCCCGGCTATTTCAGTCGCGGGGCTCGACGGCGCGCTGGCGCGGGGGTGCGCGGTGCGGGGGAAGGCGCGGCGTGGCGGCGTGGCCCTCCCTCATGGACCGGCACCGGGTTATGTTGACAATCGGGATGACATCATCGCCGCACGGAGCGGGGCCGAGCGGGGCGCGCGGCGCTGTCCGTCTCGTCCACGCCGACGCCTTACTCCGCGGCGGCGCGGTGCGTGCGGTGCGTGTGATGCGCGCGCGGACGAAAATAAAAGCAGGTTTATTGTCACCGTGGGTCACTGGGACCGCGGCCTGAAGCTTCGGGCTCTGCGGGGAGAGCCTACGGAAGTGCTGCAGAAACTACGAGACCGCGTCGCCGCGTTGCCGCGTTGCCGCCCCGCCGCGCAGCGCCACCTCGCCGTCAACGAGGCAGTAAAGCCGCGGAGATTAGGCCAGCCGGCCGGCCATCCGGGCCAACCAGCAGCCGGCCCGGGAAGCAGCCTCCGCCTTCAGCCGCCCGCAAGAGAGAGAGAGAGAGCCATCGGGACCCACCGGTCAACGCGGGAATCGCGGCCGCTTCTTTTCCACGCAGAAAGATTTACTTCGGTTCTGGTGCATGCTTTACGCCGCTGCCCCCCCTTTCCACACACACACACACACACACACACACACACACACACACACACACACACACCACGCAACCAACATCATCTATCGACAAGCGAAGGCCGCTTCTCGAACGCAAGGAGTATTCCCAACGGCGGGTCGCGGAGATACCCCCTGCCTTGAGGCCCCCCGGGCATACCCACACCGCCTCGGCCACCCGCGCACCCGCGTGCGGAATGTGGCTGTAGGGGGAAGGGGAATTCCAAACAATCCTGGCGATACCCAGCGCGCTGACCCTCGGCGCGTCGCTGGGCCCAAGCTAGGCCCAATGAATGAATCGAATCAACAGGGCAGGGCTGCGAGTCAGTTTCTCGTGATTGGAAATTCAGGAAAAAGTACTCTTTTGTCTTGCCACGCGGGGATTTGAGCGGAGAACCCTTTTTAGGGGTTGACCTACCTCTCAGTAGACCCACCCATATTTCTACTCCAGAAAAATTGATAGGAATATTATAAAAATATTGTTCTGGAAATTCCAATATTTTGCCCTTTTCAGTTGACCATCGCTCAGTTGACCTACCCAATAGAAATAATGAATAGAAATCGCGAGCCGAAAAAGGTTGGGAGCCGCTGCACTAGGACGTTGCCCGTCCAGGCCAGGCCAAGACGTTGCCCCGTCAGACTTCGAGTCTTCCTGACGCCCCACCTAACACTAGTTTTCTCGCGGAAACACATTCACTACCGGACTGTGTCGACAGCCGACTGACTCCTTGAGTCGTTTCCGTCGCTGTCTCTCTCGCACCTCCACGGGACGCCCCACGGGTGCGAGAGAGACAGAGCTACGAAAGCGATTCTCGGAATCAGTCGACGGGCCACCGGGTGCGGCATTGTGTGCAGAAGCCTGCAGTTTGGATTGGGCCGCGTAAACAGCCCCTTTCCGCCTCGCCGTCAAGGCCTCCACTGTTGAGGTCGCCGTCAAGGGTCGCCGCCGAGGCCACGGCCTGCCTCCGCGCCCAGTGACAAGTCGCGCCGTGGCGCCGTGCCGTAGGTCGCGGGGTGGCCTTCCCTGGCTTGCGCTGAGATGTGGGCGACCCTGGCAGCCGGCAGCCCGTCGTACCCACTGTACCAGTGTACCACACGAGTGGGCGCGGGTCAGAGTCAACAGGGCGGTATTTTGGGGGCGGCCGTCAGCCGGCCAGCCCGTAGCAGGAGCAGGCCGTCAGGCTGAGTGCACAATGCAGATATTGGGGCCAGCGGCTCGGCCCGCTCGCTCAGGGTCATGGCCAGCAGCGCCAGCATGAGCGGCGGCCGCCGAGCTGCCAACGGCGTGCCAGCCGGGCTGCCGCCCCCAACGCAGCGAGGCTGCAGTGCTCGCGTTTCGGCCAGACTTACCTCAAGACACACCTCCTTGA